AAGCCTTTCCCGATGAACCTGTCTACGCCGAAGCCATCCACACGTCCCAAGACATCTTGTACTCCGGTTCCGAAGATGAAGCCTACAACTCCCCGGCCGAGCGACGAGAGCGATACGAGGACAAGGGCCAGCGCTTTCTCCAGGGCAAGCCCATGCTGCTGCTGTCTGCGTCGCTGAGAGGTCCCTTTACCAAAGAGAGCGGCTGGACGAATCCATGGCGGTCCAAGAGCGGTAGACAGAGGAGGATTCAATCACAGGCGGCCCATTCCACTCCAGGCCCTGCCGAAGAAGAATCAATAGTCATAGCAGCTACACCAACGATTTTCGAGAGTGAAGTGCGTGGCCAACAAGAGCAGCCGCACCTCCATGACGAAGCCAGCTCGAGGCCCAACACTCCCATTATACCCCACCGCTATCTAGACGACGAAATCCTACACGAGATCAAAGCATGGCAAGACACGGTCGCAAATCAATCAGGACTGGAGGACCCGTTTGATGAGAACACCTACGAGCCGAGTTCACCCGACACATTGCAGAGCCTCCAAGTTGAAATTACACCAAGGACGCATGGTTCCCGGTCGTTCATTGTGTCATCATCGGCTGTCGCAGAGGGAGCTGGCAGGGAGGGTTCAGTGGAGTATAACAACGAAAACATCGCCGAGCAAAATGAAGAGGTCAACCTTGGATACAGTGACGAGGAGGAAGCAGGGCTTATCAACGTTGACGAAGACGACGGTTCATCGCTGACGGATTTGGATGAAGAGCAAATTGAAGAGCTGATTGGCGACCAAGATGAGGAGCAGGAGACGGACGAGGACGAGAAGGACAATATTCAAAATCAAGGCACTGAGGAGAACCAACCAATATCACAAAGCCTGCCTGTTGAGTCTCTATCTGACTACGACAGTCCTACGAAACACCCTATAACATCGATACATCTCCCCCAGCCAAATGGCAAACTAGACCTTCGACCTAGGGAAGAATTGGAATGTCTGCCTGTCGATGCCATCGACTTATCACCCGCTGCCGTCAAGATATATGAAGAATCGCTCCGAGGAAGTACCTGCTACAGTCCCTCTTGGCCGGCGCAAGAGAGGAGGAAACAGGGCAATCTTCTACCAGGACTTCAACTTGCTGGTGCGACTCTTTCCGCTGGCAATGTCCCCCAGAGCCCCTCAAATCGGTCCGGCCGCAGCTTGCATGCGCCAGCTTCTACTTCCATCTCGCATGATGAAAAAAGGTCAAACAAGGCTGGATCGATCACCCTCGAGCATCAAACAATCGAACCAGAGCGCATCTTGGTGGACAATCCGTCGTCCGAGCCTGACGAGACAAGGGATTCGCCCAACGATCCGTCTGATACGCCTGCTCATCACCAACAGATCATCGTGACACAGCCAGAATCCCCCCTACGCGTCATTTCTGCGACTGATCGACCTCAACCAAATGCTGCTGTCACCCACACTGTTCCTGAGATAACAGAAGGAGAACAAAAGAGTCTCACTACCGACCCAACATCGCCCTCATCATCCGAGTTATCGAGTCCTGCTACGTCTTTCGAGGAAGAAGAGGAGGAGTCCATCGAAGAGCCTGTCCAAAACGTGAGAAAACTTCTCTGGGCCAAAACCCAACGACAACCAAGTACCCAAGACTCTACGCCCGATATGGCTCTTGGAGTGTTGCCAGCAACAGCGAGCTTTGCCCAAGCAGGGCCAAGGCCTTTGCAAACCGTATCTGTCTCCGAATCAGTGGAAAGCCATGGAGAACAAGGAAGTCTAGAATACTTCACAATCAATCAGCACCCTGCGAATGACAGAGAGCCAACGAATGCCGGGCAGAATGCTCTTAACTCGCAATCATCTAGTCGCTTATTACAATCCCAACCACAATCGGCACCGGAGGCTACAGTATCCGAAGAGAGCATCTACGATGATACGATCAATCAAGTGCGACTCGAATGGCCAACTGGGGCTAGCAGCCTCCCTCACCAATCTCAAGTCCAGACCCAGAACTCAGCACCCGTGGCGAGCATAGAAGAACCATTGATAACGGGACATGACACATCAGTGCAACGCATTACACCCGATCAACCAAAGAGAAGTGTCAACGTCATGGATCTTCGACATATAACAAATCCAACTTCCCGCAACGCAACGCCCCTTCGACCATCTCCGGGTTTGCAGAACCCCTTTACGACAGCCCTAGAGATACCAGTCCTCGTACAGCCTCGCTCCTCCGTGACTCCTGAATCGCCAGTAAACCCGGAACCAAGCCGGTCGCAACTCTCAATCATCGCCAGCCAAGCCCTCGCTCAAGCTGTCCAGCCCGTGATTCAGCAGAGCCCTTGGGTAAAGGGCGACTCGCAAATAGCTTTCCTCGCTGTTCCGGCCCCAGAACCACGATGTGTCAACCCCGCCTCGTCACCTCTATCCTCTCCCGCCTCCAGCTCTTGCTTTGTGGACATGGAGGATCCCGTCCTTCCAGTATTATCCTATCCTCCTGTTCCTGGTAACGACTCCCATACTGAAGAAGAGACAGCGGTGCCGCCAGCCCAAGCCGAAACACCCCAACTCCAGGTTCCTCATCCGCCCTCAACGCCGGAGACCAAGAGATCGAGTCTCCCAACGCCAGAGTTTACAATGTCCATCAAGTCCTTCAAGCACTTTATGACGCCGTCGCCGAAGAGACCGGCAAAGCGTCCGCGGTTGTCACTAGGAGACGGTCGCTTGCCAGATACGCAAGCTTTGGAGGAAGCGGTGGTTACGAACCCGTGGGATTCGAGTCGCGTTGAGCTGGCTGCCCCTAGCAGAAGGACCAAGCGTGTCTCCTGGGCTCCTTTACCCGGTGAAGTGGACTACATGGACCCTGACATGTCAGCGGACATGGATGTGGATATGGAAGATCCTGACCAGCCCTCATCGCTCAACAGGATGAAGATTCACGGACCCCGGAGATCTATCCTTTCTGTTTCAGCGCCCATAGCAAACTATAGGGGCATCCCCAGACGAGCAGCCTCTCCACCACCAAACATCTCGATGCCAAGTGTGGATTCACTGCCAAAGGAAAGCCAAAGGTTCGGGAAGCACTTTGCCGCTGTGTCTGGTCGGAGACGGCTTGCTCCTAAGCCTCCTACTACTACACCTACTGCTGCTTGGTATAGAGGTGATGATGAGAGGGAGTCTCCAATGCTTCGAGATGTTAGTGGCAATGCTCGAAGCACGGGGACCTCCCGACCAGCCAAACGTCTCCTTCCAAGCGAATCGCAACAAACATGCGGCAGTCCGGCTGTGGACGGGATGGCCAATGCGTTTGTGCAAGCTGATCGGCAGACTGAGAACCTCAACTTGAACAGACGGAAGGCAGCGCAGGATGGCATCCCGACAGTCTCTTCTTCAAGTAGTAGCAGGGGAATCTGGCAAGACCCGATAGACGCAGTATCCGAACCACAACAGAAAGATGACAACGACGATGACGACAGATTCCGTCTTCCCACCCTCCCTGGCTTGGACTCCCAGCCTCAAGTCGAAGAAATGGACGAAGTCACGGAAGTCATGGATAACTTGGACGATTTCATTGATAGTTGGGATATCGATGAGGAGCTGGCCGAAGCGAGGGGTGAGAAGACCAAGAAGAAAAAGACGGCACAACCGTCGAAACTTGGTCAGGGGCTGAGCTCGGGGTTGGGCGATGGGCGCAATCTTTGGGATTCACCGAGTTCAAGGCCACAGAGTACGTTGAAGAGGAAACGGGCTGGTGATGATGAGCAAGCAAAGCATGGGATGGTAGAGAGCCAGGAGAGCACGAGTGGTGGTGATAGAGGTGGTGGGATATATGATCCAGGTGTTTGGGACCGGATTGTTTAATCAGCAGCAGCCGGTTAGGAACAACATATAAGAATCATGGGTGGTGTTTCAAGGGACAGCATTCTCATAACGATGGTTATCATTCATTCAAGCGTTTGGCTTTCCACTTTGCATGGGATAGGGCACGGTACGGTGCGGAACATAGGGCATGCATGGGGGCATTTTTGGGTTAGGCTGGATAGAGCATGGAAAGGAAATACCGTAGGGGGTAGTATATATGCTAATGGAATACTTGGGACCATAACGCCCCATATTCATCTCCGTCAAAGCCGTACAGTCCGCACGCATTGTTGATGTTGCTTGTCGTTTCCCTTGATCTCAGGGGTTGGGGGAAAGGTCGGCTGCTTACGTAACCGGGCAACTCGGTACCTAGACCTAGAAGGTACCCGACCTACGCCGCAGTGAGGTGTACCCCGTCCTTTTGACCCGCTGTTAGTGCACTGATCCGTTCGGGTGGCCCGGGTGCTGTGCCTTTGCACTTGACCCTATCAGCCAGCCTAATTGAACCGCCCAAAGAGAACTGAACCTAAGGAAACCCGGTTCATATGACGGAATCTGACATTCCTTCCATTCCAGCGAAGAACGACTGAAGACGACCAAGAGGATCGAGATAGTGACTGTTTGAGACTGACCTGTTGTCGATCTACCATAGGTAGTCTCTTTTCGATTCTAGAGCTGTACGTGGATGGTTTCCTCTACCTAACTTACCTAAGAGCTTCTTCCTCTTCCATTTCCTGAAACCAGGGCACCGCTTGTACCTGGTCGCGTGAGACATCATCATCGATCGGACCCTTTTTGCTTTCCTTCAATTCATTCCACTTGCGGCCTTCAATTTCCTTTAGAAGGTTAGTTGGGCAGAAATTTGCATCTTTCACTATCATCTATCCCACGTCCAAGACAGGGGTCGCTCTTCCTGTCTCGATAATTCCGTTCCATTCTCGACGTAACAGAAACAGACGCGAGATACTTACATACACCCTGACGGCCGCCGCCGTTGGAACCCTGACCCGCTAACCCGCGTCGTTAGGTTTGGACCTTGCCAACTGTCTAGCTTTGCTTTGAAGCTTCTCTAGCTTCTCTAGCTTTCTTTAACACCCGCCGAGCCGCGCCGATCGATTGAACGAACCAACCTACCCTACCTATTCTAACCGACCCCGGGCCGGGACCCCTCTACTGCTCTACAAACAAACAGCTCTTCTACGTACATACAACCTCGAGGGACTTTGGGCAAATAGACACGATCGCGAAGCGGATCATATAGCCCGCCCGCCCGCTGTTCGCCGCATCGTCAGGGCATCGATCTCATCGAGGCCTACACCGCCGACACCTCCACCACCACCTCCACCACCAAGCAGCACACATCTCGTCATCTAGACAAAACAGACCAAACAGCCACCAAGATGCGCCCCCCAACAACCCCCCTAGCCGGCGCCGCAGCAGCCACCGTCCTCCTTCTGGCCGGTGGCCTCCCCGCGACAATCACCACTGCCGCTGCCGCCGCCCAACCGGCCGAAATAATGCGCTGCAAGGAAATCGTCGTGGACGGACACAAGTACGACTTTGGCGAGCTCGGCGGGCCGCACACGGTGGTGACGAACGAGTACGATCCGCCGGCATACTACAATTATACGTACACGCTGGACATCTGTGCGCCGCTGAAGAGGAAGGGGGACCTAAAGAAGGAGGAGCAATGTGGGGGGGATGCTCGAGGTTCGTTCGTTATTATTTCCCTCTCTCTCTTTCTCTCTCTCTCTCTCACCTGATCGCGACGGAAACGAACCAAGTGGGAGGGAAAATAAAACAGAATGAAAGAAAAATACTAACAGACGGCAAAACAAAACAGTCTGCAGACTCAAACACCACTACTCCCCCTCGGACAAGAAATCCACTTTCGAAACAGCCACCACCCTCGCCGGCGGCTCCTCCTTCCACTACGAAGCCACCAAGCTCGATTCCTCGTCCGACCACAAAGACGGCGGCGTCAAGTTGACGTTTTCTGGGTACAAACACCAAGGGCGACAGCAAAAGGTGGTCATCAATTTAGTCTGCAACAAGACTCTAACTGGCACGGAAGGCGAAGTAGAAAGCAGCGAGGACATTCAATACGAGAAGCCCAAGCTTCTTCTTGCGACAAGAGATGACGATAAAAAGAAAGAGGAAGAAGGCGACGATGGATACCCCGAGACGCAAATACTCAAGAACGGGACGGCGACGGCGCTGGTGTGGAATGGATATAAGCGGGTTGGTGACGATGTGGATCAGCTTGAGTTGACGTGGAATACCAAGTTTGCTTGTTTGGATGCTTCTGGTGGCGGCGGTGGCGGCGACAAGGATAAGCCTAAAGATGGTGATGACAAGGATAAGCCGAAGGACGGGGACAAGGACAAACCCAAGGATGGCGACAAGGACGGCGGCGGCAACAAGGGAGGGAATGGCGAGGAGGATATCAACAAGTCTTGGGGGTTCTTTACTTGGCTTGTGGTTCTGTAAGTCATGCCCCTACCCCCATGTTGCTTTTCTTCCCATTATTTTCCCCCTTATCCTATCCTGCAGCGCAAGACTAACAAACGCAAACACAAAAAGCCTCTTCCTAGGCATTGCCGCCTACCTCATCTTTGGCTCCTGGCTCAACTACAACCGATACGGCGCGCGTGGTTGGGATCTCCTGCCGCATGGGGACACGATCCGCGACATTCCTTACCTGCTCAAGGACTGGACGAGACGGGTGTTGAACACCGTGCAAAGCAGTGGGAGTCGGGGAGGGTACTCGGCTGTCTAGGAGGTGCCAGCAGTCGAGGGTGGATGTGATTTGGAGGTGGAGGGGGCATTGTGGTGCTACTGAAGAGGAGGAGGCGGAAGAGGATGAGCCGGGGGTATATGTACGAGATGTCTTAGCAGTGGGTCGATGATAGGAGGATGGGTTGACGAATGGTGAAAGGAGGGAAAGACGCAAAGGATCGGATACGATGCAAACAGAACCGCTGCTACTGCTTGCTTGCTGTAAGCTGTCAGGACGCGCACGATGCAGAACCTCCGAAAGGATTGTTTCCAGTTAGAAGACTTTTTTTTTTCGTACAAGTACTTACGCTAGGGATACATTTTTCAGGATTGGCGTTTTGGGAATGATGGATATCCAAATCTCTCCTGTATCGGCTTGTGTTAAGCAGTGATTGTTGATTGTGATGCCAAGCTGGCTATTAGGTGATACAGTTGGAGAAGACGGCACACTCTTGAATATCTCTGTATGATCGATAATCACGGGCATTTTCATGAAGCCCCTATATTCTCCAGATGTATTCAAAGCATGTGTGTCATTTACTTTTGATGACTACAGCCAAGGACGATACCCCCGGAAAGTGGAGGGCTAGTTTCGGAACTGTCCCCGTGGGGTTCGTCGTGGCGTCGCCACCACCGGATGAAGTACCCTCTTCCGCCGTGCCGAAAGTCAGCCGAACCGCACACGTATATCACATGTCAGACTTGGCTCGTCTCAGGTACACTACAGTCTGAACCTTAAGACCCTTCTTCCAAATTTTTTGTTTTGACAAGCCTTGAACGCTCAAGAGGATATTCAGACAAGGTTGCATTGAATCGCCAACAAGTCGGGACCATCTGCCTGCCGGTGAGTTGAATAATTCGTGCCAATCACGCGTTCCTACCTCCAACAAGAAGCCGAGGTAAACGGCTGTGTACACCCACTTATAATAACTGATACGACGACCGGCCTGATTGATGCGTGCTAAGTAGTGTACACAAAGACACTTTTCTCTCAAAACATCAACAAATTACACGGACTTCACCTCGCGAATTCCATGTTCATTCATTTCGAGTAACTCGCCTCACAAAACAAACCATCATCTTGATCAATTCCATCTCATCTCACAACGGTCAACCAAGCCAACCAACCAACCAGCCGTCGCCAAGACACCTCTTACCAACCTTAAACCAACTTCACCTCTTTCTCCCACAAACAACCACAACAACCACCACCACAACAACAACCACCACCACCACCACCAAAATGGCCACCGACCAAAAACCAAACATGAAAACCCTCTTCACCTTCCCCATCGCCCCCTCCGGCTCCCAACCAGGCGGCACCCTAACCTGCACCACCCCCCTCTCCCCTCCCGACTCCCGTATCTACATCCTCACCCTCTCCTCCCCCCCCGACAACCGCCTCACCTCCCCCCTCTGCACCGCCCTCCTCTCCGCACTCGACACCCTCGAATTCTCCCATCCCCCAGGAGTAGTGATAACCACCTCCTCCCTCCCCAAATTCTTTTCCAACGGTCTCGACCTCACCCACGCCCTCTCCGACCCTTCCTTCCTCCCTTTTTCGCTTTACCCCCTCTTCCGCCGGCTTCTAACCTACCCAATGCCCACCATCGCCCTTCTCAACGGACACGCCTTCGCCGGCGGCTTGATGCTCGCCATGCACATGGATTACCGCATCATGAACCCCTCTCGAGGATTCGCGTGCATTAACGAGCTGGATTTCGGAGTGCCGCTTAAGCCTGCTATGAGTGCGATTTTTAGGGTGAAGTGCACGCCGGGGATTTATCGACAGCTGGTGTTGGAGGCGCATCGGTTCGGTGGGACGGAGGCAAAGGAGGTGGGGTTGGTGGATTTGACGGGGGGGTTAAAGGAGACGATGGAGTTTGTGGAGGAGAGGAAATTAACGGAGAAGGGTAAGACGGGGATTTATGGGTTGATGAAGATGGAGATGTATAGGCAGACGGTGGAGGGGTATTTGACGGCTGAGGGACACGAGAGGGAGGAGGAGAGGGTGAGGAGGATTGTGGAAGGGGAGAAGGAGAGGAAGGAGAAGGGGAGGAGGGAGGTGAAGGGGAGTAAGCTTTAGGGACATGGGTATATGGAGATTTGATGCGGCGGGAAGGAGGGTGGGAAGGGTGGGAAGAAGGGGGAAGAAGGGTTGAGAGGAGGTTGGAATTGGATGTGGGAATCACGGAACCATGTCGGGCACTGGACAGATCTGCGTTGGGAATTGGGATAGTAGGTAGACCGTTTAAACTGGTCAAGTACTTTGGGATTCGAAATTCTTGCAACGACTCGGTGATTGTGATGATTAACTTGCTTAACGTTGGCAGTTATCTCATACTGGTCACCTACGCGCGAATCACTGCTTCAGACAAATCTCCAACAATTTCGAATACAACTATCACCAACGACGGGAAAAGGGGCGGTTGATGAACGACATGGCTTTGAGACATCGTGAGTGCCGGATCTAACATGTGATAACGCTCTGGTGACGAGCAGACCGGTGGCAGACCTCGCTCCCCCCGGGCGATCACGGCAAATGTGCCGCGTCAGGGTCAACCACTCCCAGAGGTGTACTTGGCTGTAAACATATCACACCCGACGATCAGTATCATCGCTTCTATCTAACATCTCTGCCCTTTTACTAACTCGCTCTCGTCGTCTGTTTCCACTTCTACCGGTTCTCTTTCTCAGTGTGGGTTTTGTTCTTTGCTTTCCCTCTTGCTTATCTATTGTGTTTTTCTCTCCTTCCTTGTCCTGATTTACCTTGTATCCATGCTCCTGAATCGCTTTGGACATGTGACCGTTCTTCTGTGGAAGCAAGCTTGTAAACCTTAGGCCTACAAATTCACCACCGACTACCTCTAATCAACCAGACGAGTGTGGGTTCGCAAAGAATACAGATCTATTCGGCTACAGTACTATCTCGCTGTGTGGACATACTTTGTAATGTAGTACACTTACTGACAATTCCACCCCATCAGCCAGACTGCCGCCCTGTGCCAAACGACCATAGAACTAGCATTTCACCACCACGACCAACAATCCGGACGATTGCTCACCTTCCAAAATCTTGACCCTCCCGCTACCGTAGCGAGTACGAGCCACCTTTGTCCACGTCCATAATGCCACCCTTTATTCTTCACAAGTCCGCAATCCCAGTCTTTCACCACCACAATCAACATCAGACCTTGAATCATGAATATAAAAGGGAGACAACTAAATGCGTGGCAAGTGCTTGTTGAGAAATGCCTTCCTTGCCTGAGCTTGAACATGTGCATCGAGGGCACGCATTTCCTCTTCAAATGGATTTTGCGCTAGAATAGGGTTCTGAATATTGTCGACTGGTCCTTGGGCTTCGATTTGGGCTTGAAGCATGTGGACGTGACAACACCTCCGGAGCGACGCCAGCCGTTCCCTCTCTTTGCTCCATCGCTTCGGGGTATAAGGGACTGCAGTACTGAAAAGCCCTTTAAAGTATTCGTAATGGATCGGGACTGTTTTACACATTCCAATATCAGCCCCAAAAAGGTTCAACCAAACCAACAGTTCGACGAAACAACACAGATAAGAACTAGACGTTGCTTCAAAGGTAAATAGTCGCCCAAGTCAAGTCCTGTCCTCGACCCAAATCCAAAATAGCAAGAAAAGGCAGGCAGGAGGTAAGTACTTACGCCAGTAACTAGCAGTAAGCCACCTTGTCCATTGCTGAAAACATATCACTTCCACGTTGTACACAACCTCCAACGCGCCCGCTTTATAGCCCTGATACGACCTCGCTATCTTCTCACCTGGGTACTCTCCTTGCGGCCACAGATGCACGGGCGGGAACCTGTTATCTTGGTCATCCCGGTATTCGTTCACTATCACGTGGAATACAACTCGGTATTTTCCCTGTTTGCACGGGAACCTCACGTGGTGAAAGACGAAATACAAATCATTCTCGTTTATGGAAAGAAGGCCGTATTTGGAGGAACTGAGCGTTTGTATCCTGGGCGGGCCGCGAGAGGCGCGCTTGCCAAAAGGGGTGCGGTGCGTCGAGGTGTCGGTGATAATGTCTGCATCAACAATGGTGCCCTGATCGGCAACAATATCTTCCTCAATAACTGGGGCCTCGTGTTTGTGGTTAACATTGTCTCCGTCTTCGTGGTTCATGGTACCTTTGTCCGCATCTTGATCTACTGAGTTCCTCTCAGACGGGGGCGCAGGCCTCGCGGAGTTGTTTCTTTCCACGGTTGTGTCCGCTTTGATGGTTGTAACGGCTTTGCTTTTGGCGTTGTAATGATGGATGCATTGTTTCTGCTGAACAGGTTTCGACTGGACAGTAACTGGGTGCCTAGTGATTGGATGGAACAGGGGGAGAATTTTCCCTAAGAGAAGGTCAGTCAGGCCCCAAAACATCTTGCATGAGAATTTGTGTCTCGTTTATGTTTGATTGAGTGTGGTCTGTGTCCGCAGAAGGCACTGGGGGACAGGGAGAAAGAAGTAGTATGAGGCAGTATCCAAGTAGGCCTTGGTTCTTTTCGGTCTCTCCACTGGCAAGGGTAGAGAAACAGGACAGGGACAGAGGCAGCCGGATCGGAATCGGATATGGTGCCATTTCCAGGGGCACATTACCTTCTTTATCTAGGTAGTTGCCTCTGTCATCCATGTGGTGTATCACATGCCCGTCTTTATCCACCTGCTCTACCGACTTCATCACCACCTCCTTCGGTTGCTGTTCTTCCTCGTCTTCGACGAGCATTACCTTCATGTGCACTACGGTGTTCCCCTAGAGCGCCGGGTTTGGTCGTGGGTTGACGGCAATAACAGCAGCATACTCGATCAGCCCACCGGAGACGGCTTTAGGCTGGGGTGAGACGATGAGTCTAGCAGCGACGGGGCGGCCATCTAGGCTTCGTATCATGGGTTGAGGGAAGCGTTTCCGGAGTTCGTGATTTATGTGGTCACTGTGGGGGTGGTGCCATCGAGATGTGGTGATGTCGCTCATCTTGAGGGTACTTCTGTAGTGATGAAGGCACTGCTGGGTCGGTGATGAAATTTAGGGGAATGGATGAAGTAGTGGATACTGTGATGATAATAGCTGGTTTGATCAATGATAGTGACCATGTAGAGCCGAGGGAATTATCGATGATGCCGTCAAGCAATTATGCAGTGAAGAGAGGGCGCTCTGATTGTTCAAAGACTTTTCGTGGAACAAGCGATTTAACAAAGAGAACAAAAATATCTGATTTCTGATTCCAAAAGCACCTTCCGAGGGTAGCTGTCTATCTGTCATGCCTTCCAGAGTTAAGACGACAATGACTCATGCTGATGTCAATTCCTGGAACATTACTATGCAACAAGCAGTTCCTTCCCAAATTAGTTTACCTTTTTTCCGTAACAAGTGAAAAATATGGAAGTAGTCACCTAGCCAGTCCATCTGGCCCAGCCTTGTTCCTCCCTATTGCTCCCTATCTCCCGAGTAACATCCATTTTCTGCTCATTCTGCCTCTTCGTCCATCCCGTCCTGTCCGTCCTGCTTCGTCTTCCTCACCCTGTATTTCTCTCCTGGATTCAACGACGCACTCCTATCGGAATGATCAACACCGCTTTCACGTCGAATGGGCAGATTCAATGCAGGCGATGCGGGTTTCTGACGAGAGACTGAGTTACGGCGCGTAAGACGGTTGGTTGGATGCTACATGCAACATCCCCCTTCCTTATTGTAGACTGGGCATTGTGCTACAGGCCGTAGCGCCTGTTCATCACCAACAAAAGTGGGTAGTTCTTGGCTGAGAAAAGTATACACGCTGTATTCAGCATCACGCACCAGATGGCAAAGGTAAGATGGTGTGCACCGAACATTGAGCGCTCTGAAGTAATAGAAGACGATGCGTGCGATAACGTCCGGATTTCCTGCTCAAGATCAAGGGCTATATTGTGATTGTACCTTCTCCGCCGTGCCAGCCGCAATTTTCGAGCCTCATGTCCCCTCCCTCCTCAAATCATTTCTTGCAATTATCTGCTTGAATAATTGCACGAAATTCAGCAGCTTCCTAAACACGCAACCCATCGCAGCAGTAAGATCGCTCTTGTAAACTTGGACAGCCAAAGCATTACCTTAGCCTTCTTGGTAGATCCAGTGGGCGCCACACCCGGTCGAAACCATGTGGTTCCAAAACTCTCTTGGAGAAGCATCCGTATGGCACGTTTGTCAGGATTGAGCGGAGCAATGAGTACAGGATTTACCTACTATTGCATGACCTTCACGTAGCACCTACCAAAACCTTCAAAATGCTGCTTTAGCCGCCCTGGCGTTTTACCCTTTGGAAGGTGCAATGGTGTCTTAGGTATTGGCGGGGTATTTAGTTGTCTTTCTGGGCTTTTGGTCTTAGTCTTCCTCTTTCTTCTAATCAACCACCCTCCAACTCTTCCATCGGATCCACCTTGAGCACCACGAGTGGCTGCACCTTCTTGGAAGAAGCAGCGGATTTCTGGATGGGATCCTCTATGTCCTCTTCTTTCAGGCAGATCCTATCACCGCGTTGTTCGATATGTTCCAAGATTGGATCGTCTTGAGCTCTCAGTCCTGGTCATCCACAATGCCAAAGCCACGAGTTGGGATTACCAAGTTCTGTCACCTGTGGACTACCATCTTAGTGTTGTAAATAGTCAAAGCGTATACTAGGTATCGAGGCTCAAAGCCATTGCAATCCGTCTTGAATGCCTTGGAGGGTAGTACTTAGCTCTTATCAGCCTTTCAAAAGAGAACCTGTCCTTCGTTTAAAGCATTGTAGGACAATAGCAAGGGGTTCGTGACGCCACGGGAGCCACTGATAGGATCTTCTAATACCTCTCTTTGTCTGAGCAAGGCCTTCAAGGTTGGAAAATAGGCCTTTGAGGCTACAGATGTCAGTCTCACAGCGTTACTCGATAGTAAGTCAAATCAGTTGTTCTCGTGTTTCCGTGCCATTCTCTTGGAACGTGAACGATGGTATTCGTTGGAAACTTGGACATGCACAATGTACATGCACCTCCAGTTTTTGCTGCATCAGACATCATGATGCAGTCCAAAGAGAATGACATGTGCTACAAATGAAGATGAGTACTTTCTTTACCTATAAATCTTCTTCGACATCTCGAATAGTATGGCAAACAGAACACTCACTCGAGGCATGTCAAGTCTGTGATCGAACGAGTGTGTTTTTATCAAAGCCAAAAATGCAGTAACAATAACTATCCCAGTCCGAGAGAAACTTCTGAGGGTAGATGTTTGCCTGTCATGTCTTTCATGGTAAGATGGGCAATGGCTCCTGCATGTGTTGTTTCCTGGGAAACATCACAGCACATAACGAAGCGATCCCGTCTCAAGCTATTGTCCCTTCCTCCCGACAAAAAACCATGAGAGTAATCACCCAGTCAGTCCAGCCGACCCAGCCCTGTCCTTCATTGAGTGTGTTGACCCTTCACCTGGTCTGTTCCGACCTGTGTCCTACTTTCTTCCTTCCTTCAGCTTCTTAACCGAGCTCATACAGAGCTTCTTTCCCACGAAGCTCTTGCCCCTGGATGGGGACTTCAAGCTCGCTGATCGCCATTGCGATTAGTTAGCCTCGGGGAGAAACGGCGGAACCTGAATAGCCGCAAGCCTGGCTATGATGGCCTCTTGTTCTGGAGCTGCATCATTTTGGGAAAAAACCAACTGGTTAGTGGACAGTATTCGCCATCAGAAGAAGGCAGTACGGAACGCCGAGGCAAACTTACACAAAGGATTCTGTCTTTTCACTCCAGCTTCCTCCTTCACTTCCAACCATTGGTGGAGTTCGAAAATACCCGCGACGTACGTGTGCCTCTGCGGACCGTCCGGCTTTCCGCCGTCCCACAGCTCATCGGGCAGTATGACTGGGTCCTGCTCAATTTCATTCGTGTGGGGATTATGTGACAGGATATACTGAGGGCGCACCACCACCCTGAACATCAAGTTGAACTTGTGGGCGGCGGCGGCGGGGAACTGGATGTCGTCGACAAGGAAATACATGTTTTTTGGGTCGTCAGGGAGGAAACGGACGCGAAATCTCCTTTCGCTGGGTTGCTGATGGCTCGTTACGAGATCCCAATTGCTCTTTTCCTCTGGATGGTCAATGGTAAGGAAGACAAAGCTTTCGTCGGCTCGCCAGTGTTCAGGGTCGGGTTTCGAGACCTTGAACACGGTTATGCATGGGATGGTCTCGCCTTTGGAAATTTGATCTGGGGAGGGAACAAGCAGCTCAGCATCGACTTGACGATTTTTGTCGAATTCCGAGAAAACGCGTGGGTCCTTGAAGTTGCCTTCTCCCGAACCGCCAGGCGTGAAAAGCCCCGGTCCCTGAAGTCCGTTGTTAGCCATGATGGTAGAGTTACGATTGTGTGAATGTTTGTGACTCGTGAGTGGAATGGTTGCGGTAATGTTGTTGGGAACAATAGATATCTAGTTCTGCGTTACCCCACCCGATTTATACCCAAATCCCATAGTGAAGCGTCACTCACATCGGCCACGCAATTTCTTACACTCCAAGCCAACAGCTTCACGTTGGATGTTGCAAAATGAACATACTTTTGTTGCTCCGGCGCTACTTGGGCACCGGAAACATCCCGATGAGATCTAGGCATCTCTCTCGTAGGTGTGTACACGCCAGCGCGATACCAAATGGAAAAAGTTGGTCGTTGTTCGAAGCGTGTTGTTGGACCTCGTATGCTTTGTGCCGTACCAACGATTGACTTGAGCCCCATGATGACCCCATATCCCCCCTTGATCGAATTCACATGCCATCTTTCTGTTTCCTCTGAATTCATTGAGGATCCAATCAATGATGGCCCCTTTCAGACGGGTTGTTGGTTTCGAGCCCCTGAGCCGTACCGTGCGAACACTTGGGACTTTGGCAGCATGTCGAGGCATTGCTTCGTGCCACAGACCACAGTGTTTGTTTGTTTACTTCGACCCAACATTAAATGTTCACAAAGGTGCCGGCTCGTACTGTTTTGTACGCATGGACGTTGGAAAACCAGTTTACAGTCAGCATCCAGCTCGAAAATGAGGTGGTAATCACGTATTGTGACTTGTCATCGGGATCAGGGGAAAGAATGCTCGACGTTGAATAGAAACATGGAGAAAGCACTGACAAATCTATATCTACTAGTAAGGACTGACTTCCTTTCAAGCACTTGACCGAGCTGGCTTTACATGCCCGCACAATTACTTGTATGTCAAAGGGGGAAAAATCCCAGGCTGCAAACTAGACTGTCATCCAGACTAGCGCTTGAGACACGGCGTTGTGAGATCTTCAAAGCAAGTAGGTCCTAGTACTTGGCATCTGCTTTCCTGGAGCAGTGCGAAGGCTCAAGATTGAGAACTTGGGGAGTAGCAGGGCTCCTTAGAGAACGAAAGACTGGAAGAAATCAGCAGAGAGAGAAAAACTTGACGAGAAGGAGATGAGTGAACGTTCAATGGCCTCAACTGGCAGCCATGCGGTTCAGTTTGCAATGGCTGGACGAATTTGATCAATAAATCGCCCTTCCAAAAGCGCTGTGAGCGAGTCACAAGCACACTGATGCCAAACAAAAGGGACACTTGATGTCTGGAGGTAAAGGGCACAGAGCATGAGGTCCCCTTTGGAACATGGGGGTCTTCTTCGGCCTGATGAGGCTCTTCAGAAGGGAGAGTAGTTGTGTGGGAACGATGCCGGGGATGGTGGCGCGCGAGATGTGGCGTTTATATGGTGTAGCAGGGTTTTGTGCTGGTGAACAAGACTGAGGCGTGGTTGGTACGGCAAGTTCTCTGCCCGTCCAGTGGTGTTCATGCCAGCAGCGGCGCTGTGATGGAAGTGGACTGGTGCGTCGAAAGCCTTGAGGACAGCGTCAGCACGAGCTGTCGATACGAGAACAGGTCCGATTTACCGGAATATGGGCGTTCTCGGCCCGCCGGAAAGTATCTCAAGGCTCACCAGACAAAGATTGGATCAGGGGATGTCCAAATAAGTGGAGGTGGGAAGCAAATGAGACGCGGTTGGAGTCCCGGGCAGACTTGTACGTACGGTAAGCTCTCACGCAGTCTTCAAAGGTGCGGAATTACGTGAAGAACCAGTACTCACCTACCCCCGTGCTCAAGGGCACTCCAAGACCCTAGCCCATGTCCAGTTGAAGTTTCCATCTGTCATGTTCAGCTCATGTGCGTCGCGAGCTCGCGGGGTGGTCGCCTTCGGGCGGCAACAGCGAGTGTCATCCCCTGGCCGGTCTTGCCTGGCTTGCCTGTCTTGCCCGTCTGGTCTGCCCTCCCTGTCGCGAACAAGTCCGTCGCAGCTACCTTCTCCTCGAGGATACACAGACGAGGGATACCCCCACCCGGTGGCCAATTTGCTGCCATACCTGCCCTCATATAGGTCGCCAGGCGGGCAATTTTGTTGCATATCGGCATGCAGAAGAGTTTTCGTCTGTCCTAACAGCAACACAATAAGCGGATAGCAACGGGACAAGACCTCACGGCCAGAGAATCATCTCACCACGGCAAATTCTCATTACATCGCAAGGTCTCCGAGCCACCTCAACAGCGAGCTATTGATTCTCACTGTGCGAGCCTCGTACGAGGAACCATCCCCCAATTCTCCGCGCGATGATCGACCTCTCCGTTCCCAATGAAGCTTATTTTCCGAGGACGCGAAGGAATAAAAAGCCCACACGGAATCCTTCCTTCCAGAAGCCGGGACCCCAGCGACGGAAGGCAGGCAGGTGCAAAGGAAAATTTCCGTCGTTAGCACCAACCAAGGTGTTGCCCGTCCAGGTACGGATGCAAGTGCGGAGAACAAAGAGGCAAGCGCGAGCGGGAAGGCTCATCACGCAAGAGGACCCCCGACTGATGTGCTCAGTCTGAACGCCAATCGTCCGCCCGAACGAGCAAGCCATGGTCTACTTATCCGCGGCAGCTTGCAAGCGCCAACCACCTCAATGACAGCTCGGTGCTACCTGTTTGTCCGCGCTGCCAGAGCTAGTGAGTGAAGCTGGACCCGAAGTTGATGATTGAGTACCCGAATCGATAGTATCGGAGGGAAGATGTCATTGGCGATGGCTGGAGACAGCAACTACTGGTCATGGCGATGCAATTATCAATCGATGCGAAGGTTTTGAACAGCCACTTTTCACTGCAGTTATTTGCGATGCATTGCACGTCCAAATGCCATCGCATTGCTTCAGTGTCGATGCGATGCATTGTTGACATTCCACGCTCTCGAGATCCCCGTCTTGTCAGGGGCAGATGGAGTCGCCTGACGCACGGACCACATGTGGTCATTTCAGTCCAGCACCAAAGGCCGTTCAGCGGGCGCTCCAAAAAAATTCCACTGGTGAGGTTTCTAGACGCTTCCAGCTTTTTGTGACGGCAGTAGAAGAAGAAACCCCAACGACAACGTTGACGAGGTATAATTGGAACTATTCGTGAGCTGTTTGACCATCTCACTGTAGACCTAAATCACAAGAGAAATCAATCCTGAAATCCGGTCGTATCTCATTTCATCATTTCTTCCTTGAAGCTTGCGACGGACGAAGCCCAGACCCATCAAAACGCCGAAGCCATACCCAAAACAAAGTCTGACAACACATCACGACGGGTTTATTTTTTTTCTGTTGCGCACATCCTTGTCCAAGATCCATATCCGCGTCCGTCGCATCTCACAATTCAACCGCGGCTTGCTCTTGACCAGATCCATTCATCCACATCTACCCCAAAGACAAGCCTAGTCGACGCTTGCAACAGCTGCTAGTCAAACAGAACAGCCGGACAGCCAGTCCGGACGAATCACCGTTTGGTACACTAAACCGCAACCGAGCATCACCACCATCTCGCTCACCACGTCTGCCTACGAACCGACTATTGAATCTCAAAGCAACGTTGAGTAAAAAGCAGAGACGATCGAGACCCCCACGCTTCTTGAGCTTGAGCTTGAGGTACCGGTACCTTCCAGTTTTGGTTTACCTAGAGGTACCTAAACACAAGCACTCAACCCTCGGCTTCGGTGGAGGAGTTTTACCACTACCACCAAACAGACCAAACCCAGCTGGTCTCACCAACCACTCTTTCCATAGAGAGTGGCCGTCAATCCATCACGAGAAACATAACCGTGCTGTGATGTATAGCCTCCTCAGGCCAGCAGCAGCAGCGCGCAGATTTTCAACGCGATCCCTCCCCTCCCAGATCAGCACTTCCATCAGCAGCACCCAGAGAGTACCAGTGCCATCAGTACCTATTACCCAGACTCTCAGCTCAAGGCTCTTTCATACTTCCAGAGCGCAAAAAAAGATGGATACCACTTCTACTTCCTCAAAAGCGGACCCCGCAACGGGCTGCTCATCAAGCACGTCACCCGTCCCCGGCATCACCTCATCCACCACCAACCCTACGGCCTCCGTCGCTGATGACACTACCACCACTTCCACCCCCCACCGACCAACCCAATTCGGTCCAGAAGAAGTGAACGACGACCCCCTCGCCGACCCCCTCTCTGTAGAGCACCAAAAGCTCGAAAACAACAATAACCCCCTCCCTTTACCTTCTCCAGAGACCGCCACCCCCGTTTCCCCAGATCAACAACCAAAGGTAGTCACGGTCAACGGACAAGCTGTTGCCTTGGATAATCTGGGCCCAATGGTGGTGCACAAAGATGGAACGATTTCGCGCATTGCGAATTGGCCCGAGATGACGGAGATTGAAAGGGAGAATACCCTGAGGATTTTGGGCAAGAGGAATCAGTTGCGGTTGACAAATTTGCGGGAGGGGAGGGTGAATGGGGAGGGGATGTAATTGTGTATGAATTTGTGTAAAAGGGTTTAGGGAAGAGAAACAGATGGGATGAAAACAATGGGTTAGGGGAGTTAAACCCCGGTTTCAAGACTTCAAGACCGACTGTTTATGTTTCTTGTACTATACTTTGCATTTCTCTCGTATATTCATGTGTAAATGTAAACGTTCCTTACTCCCGTCCAGATTCCCAATTTCAAACATGGTATCACGCATTTCAAAAGCTAAAGCCAAACAAACGAAATTTCTTCCACATCACACACCCATTGTATTCTTCTTCTTTCCATGACTCGTTTCATCAAAATCTTCTTTTGAGATCTTCATGTTTGAGGGGGAGTCCTGTAACCGCCAATGTCGGAGTCCTGTAACCGCCATGAATATAGTTATACCGGAGTCCTGTAGCCACCATTGTGATATCTCAATCATTCATGTCGTACCATCCATCCGTCCGTCCGCTCGTCCGTCGATCCGTCCACCCATTTGCACCTATGCAGGCACACGCACGCAATACACCCGACCAACCAAAGTCAGATGCAGCTCAAGACGGGATTACCGCTAAGCAGAATGCTGATGAGAGTGAACGTGATAAGAAGGAAAGGAAGAAGCAAGCAAAACTACTGCCGCCAACTCTCTTCCACCACGAACGACCACAAGACCAAAAAAAAATGAAAGCCAAAACCAAAAAGTAAAGCAAAAGCAACGCGAAAACGCCTCAGACAGTATGATGATGTATATCCACTGTTATCCCAAAAAGCCTCTGACCACAAACCCCCTTTTCCTCCACAAGTAAATGGTCATCGTCACCGAAAGCTCGACCTTAGTCCTTCCTCCTCTTCTTGTTGTTCGAGTCGACGGATTCATCGGAACTGGGTGAAGAGGTGGAGACGCAGATGGAGCTCTCTTCCCTGGCGCGTTCAGCATCAGCCTTGTCAGCCGCAGCCTCAGCCTTGTCAGCCGCGGCCGCAGCAGCATCCTTGGAAACCTTGGCAGCGTGGGCTGAGAACTCGCGGAGAAGCTTGAGAATGTCCTCCTTGCTGCCGTGCTTCTCAGTGACGAGGCCCTTGAGCCACTTGTTCTCCGTCTCGAGAGCCTGGATGCGTCCCTCAAGCTGGGTGACCTTTTCGCTCATCTCCTTGGCCGACTTTTCGAGCGCCTGCTCGCGCTGCTTCTTCTTGATGCGGAATCGGGCGCTAGCTGCGGTGTTGCGCTTTCGCTTGTCTTCCTCGGCGGCAAGGCGAGAGGCCTCCTCGAAGCTCATGACGCGAGCGCTAGGAGTGGGGGGAACGGACATGGCATCGCTGGCCTTGCGCTTGTTACCGCCTAGCTGGGGAGGGTTGGCAAGGACATAGCCGGGCTGGTGGGGGTGCTGAACGTGATGAGACGCATGGTGCTGCGAAACCGGAGGGTAGGCGGCTTGCGGGTTGGGCTGAATGGGCTGGAGCTGGCCTAGAGTGTCTGGGTAGGCCGGGATGGTGGGCGAGGTGTAGGTGGTGCTAAAGTCGCCAAAGTTGAAGTCGGCTGAAGACATTGTGCCATGGTCAGCGGAGCCGCTCCATACAGAGAGCTTGTTTTGCACCACAGGATGACACAATCTGATATACAAGACAGGGAAATGAAGAGAAGAAAAGCCAGAAAGATCCCGAATGACAATATCCGAATGCCGTCGACATGGAAACGGAAGGCACAGACTGGGGGGAGACTGCGTAGTAACCAAGACGGGTAAGGTGGTTGGCATCGGCCATTGTTGATCACCCCTCGTCGATGGTGCAATCCCCCCAAAGTCACGAGAAATGACACCATTCTCGGGGAGCGTTGTCATTTGTCAGCCCCAAATTCGGCACTCCCATCACCGCATACAACCAGAACCATCATTGCCAGGTACCTCGGCCTCTGTTTCTCCAAACACGCTTCCAATCAAGAAACAGTCCGAGCCATGTGGGCATGGACGGAAAAGAGTGGGGGTGACGAACACGCTGCCGGATTCCCGATAAGGAGAAGGGTGCTCTTTGGCGAATGCAGCTGACTGCAGCTAATCGAAGTCGCGATGGATGGCCCTGATGGTGTTCATCTGCCTCCTTCCCGACCCAGGACGTCCGGGGCCGTCCGGGTACCACCACCGCCGTCACATCACTTTCTTTTTTGCCTTCTCTTCACAGGACACTTGCCCCTTGTGTGCAGCATCCCGACATGCATCCTCGCCGGTACCTCCCACCACAAGGTGTAGGGGTCTTTCAAAGGTGGGAAACGAGCAAGGTGAGACAAACATGACAGCCGAGGAAACACAAAGATATCCAAGACACGACCGGGCCACAAGGGAACAAAAACAGACAGACAGACATAAGAAGTTGACAAAGTCGCAAAAAAAAAAAAAAAAAAAAAAAAAAAAAAAAAAAAAAAAACACTAACCTGCAGGAGCAGCAAATTCCAAGCCCTGGTCGAGGCCCGACAGGAAATCGGTCATGAAGGCATCGGTCGGCACATCGGGCGATGTCGCCGCAGTCTCGACGGGAGTAGGAGCGACAACAGCATCGGGCTTGACAGGCGGCGCCTGGTAGTCGGTGTTCTGGCCCGTCTCGTAGTCAAAGAAGTTGGTGTTGGTAAATAGCGCGAGCTCCTCGTCGTTGGGAGCCACATACTCCTCGACCTGCGGCTCCTGCACATTCAGGTTGCGCAGGTAGTTGGTGAAGTTGATACGACTGCCGGCCATTTTGACGATGGTTTGTGTGGTGTTGTCGGTCGAGTGGTATTCTTCAGAGCGCCTTTGATAACCAAGTTCTTCCTTCTCTTTCTAGAGTGTAGACGGTGTGAACGTCACAACGCTGGCGCGCCTTGCCAGGCGAGTGCTGGAGTAGTGTCGGGGATATGCAGTCGATTGACTTCCTTGGTTGTTCTGGTGTGTAGTCGAGAAAGAAGGGTAGATTTGGGGAGGAGAGAATGGCGCCGGGATGGTAAATGTTTAACTGTGTTGGACGGGATGGAAACTAAGCGTGCGAAGAGACCAACGCAGGGGCAGCGACGGGGGGGCCGGGAGCGCTGGAGCTGATGACTGGAGGAGCACCACGGGGGCGGGGCACTGGAGCCTCTCAAACTGGAGCCTCTCGAGGACCGGACAACTGGAGTCGAATTTATCGAATGGGGTCCGGTCCCAGTCGGAGATATTGAGACTGGAGCCTTGGACGAAGCCCTGAACCGCGACTCCTGGTCGAGACAAGTGGGTTTATTCTTGAACGGGGTCGAATGATTCGGCAGTATGCTCGGAGACCGTTGTTTCCAGCGAGTCAGCGGCGTGATACTATTGATGTGTATTTGGCCGGTAGGGTTTATCGTCAGATGTAAGTTCCAAGGTTGGTCAGGGTTGGAACTGGAGGGGGCCGTCGTCGGCGGAGGGAAATTTGCAAGGTATGGTCAACGACGGCGACGGGCACGGAGGTGGAGGGAGGAAAGAGTTTTGATTGCAACAAAACACACAAATGCCGCCCGAAACAGACGTTTTCTAAGAAAGCAAAAATGATTTGCGATGGTGTTGACTGTGGTGTTCTCAGTCAGGGTCCGAGTGTCTGTGTGAAGAAAGTGTGTGTGCGTGTCGTTGAAGACGGAACCGGGAATGGAACTTGAAAGTGGAAAAGTCGAGAAAGCGAGGAGCGGCCATCGGCCATGATGACTGGTTGGACTCTCTGGTGGGATGGGGCTGGCGGGGTCCTTTCACTGTGCGATTAGTCAGAAGCCATCCCATCCCACGCTCTTTGCGCTCACCACCTCATGCACTGCCCTAGAGGTACCCCTGCACTCCCATCGATCCTGCTAACCCAACATGGGCCGACCTACTGTAGTAGGGTTCAGGTGTGGGCGGTAAACGGCGCAAAATTGCCCCCCCAACGTGGAAGTAAAACCACCACCACCACACAATTCTCACCACTCTCACTCTCATCCATATCACCGAATGAATGAGCACGGCAGTGTCCTCCGGCCTCCCACGCTGTCCGCAACCCTCTCGCTCACGGTACCGAATACTACCAAGAACAAAGACACCAATCACGGCAGAGGACGCCATGGCTGGCGGGGTTTTCATTTTGATCACATAGTCGGGTTTACCGCAGTAGGAACTGAATAATCAACGTTGATAGTTAGGCTGCGCCCTTGGTGTCAGTTTCAAAGGGTCTGACATTCCACTTCACTCTCTTCCTATTCAAACCCATTTTGCGTCGGGCAGTCGTTGGTTTCAGCAACGGTGTACTACTCGAGGGTCATCAAGGTCTCGGTGCTTCCACTTTCAGTTGCGCCGCACGACCGAATGAGATGTTAACTCCGAGGCAACAAAGAAATGTTGACCTCTTCTTTCACCAACTTCGACGCCAGTAGTGTAGTGCCTATCATTCGGTAGTTATAACCTTGCCGGGCCATCGTTTCGGTCGTGTTCTTCTACATATGTATTTCCTTCGTGTCCAACCCCTCGTCTCACTGCATCACTTTGGTTAGTAATCGTCTACATAGTAGTGTAAACCCCTTGACCGCACAAGCGTCTTCCTTTCGGATCCAAAACAGATCAAAATCCGAGCTCAGGTCCCGCCCCGCTAGGAGGGGTTTCTTCTCCTCAAGGCTTCCCCATTCTATGTACACTACATACTCTTCTGATGCTCCATTGTGCCCCTAGCACACCGTGACAGGCCCTGAAGAAGAAAAGAGGCCGTTCCCACGAACAATGACACCCCAGATCTGCACGACGATGCATTGGGACGAATTGGCGAGTGAGAGCCTCCGATTTCCCACGGGTCTTCTGAAGGGCGGACCATTCACATGTCAGGCCTGTATTAATAATCCAATAAGGGACGTCGTGAACCCTGACGACGCTGCACAGAGCTAACTCACAAAAGCACAAAAGGATCCCTTGATGGTTCGATTGAATTCAATGCCAACATGCACAGCCGGTAAGCGGTATCAGTAATCGCAGTAAGACTGCCTTGACCGCTGTAACATCAAAAGGGTCCGATTTATCAGCAACGAAAACAGACAATCCTATCGTCCCTCCTCTTCCACTGTAGTGTAGTGTATGAGATCACAAACTCGCTGTCGTTGACGTCGGTGACCGGCATCCGGCTTAAACAGTGAAAATCACAGTCCGCGATCGGCGGCATTCTATAGGTCAGACCTCTTTTGCTTGACCAGACTTGGCACTGCGCCCGAGATAAACTTTGGATCAGAGACTTCCAATCGATCGACGATGGCTGTGGAGTTGCCGTTATTCCAGCTCCTGTTTCAGGGTTTTGCGAGGAACAGGCACAAGCGGGCATCACCGGCGCTGGAAGCTCCATCGAGCCGGAGGAGGAGGAGGACAAAGGAACAACAAAGCTGAGGCTTCATGCCGATTCCAATCCTATTCCGGCGTCTTGACGAAGCGAACGGTTGGCCGAGCGTGGAGAGCAATTCATGAGTAAATGTTAGATAACCGGCCATTGAGGCCAAAAGGTGAGATGATCGTGAAGAGTCAATGATATTCCCACGACGGCATGTACCGTGTATTCTTGGCTGGCCCTGGCTGGTGGTGGTCGAGACGCGCGGCGGAGTGTCAACCCTAGCAAGGAACTACCAGGCATTTTTTTGCCAGTTGCCAACATCTGTAATCGAAGGGGGACGATGAAGGCGAGAATTGGAGATGGGATGAGAACGGCGATGAAAGCGGACTCGGCGGGTCTCCGGCGGGATGCCCGGGCAGTATGTGGTGGGAGTCCCCACTAGCCGGGGGTACGTACCTGGATCTCGGACGTTGAGCGCACGAGCCAGCCGATGCTGCGGCTTTGTTGACCGGCGTCGATCCGGAGACGCTTGTTCACGGCACATGTGGGCCAACACGGTCACATCGAGTCGCTCGGTTGTTGACTTCCACGCGGTCTCGACAAACCACCATCCCGACCTCGACAACCCGTCCCGGTCGGCTAAGCCCGGTCCACAAATCCATCAGGGCCCGCGAACTGCCAAGCCACGGACCGCGACCATTCAATCTAAGCGACTGAGGCCATCCAAACCCAAGCACGCGACATCCACACAAGCTACTCAGTAAACAACAACGCAACGAGGAGGGAGGAGGGGGCCACCAATCCATGAACCCCAACCCAATCGCAAAATGGCACCCATTTCCATCCCCACCACCGCGCGACTGCCCTCCTCCTTACGCGTCGACCCCTCCAACCCAGCCGTCTTCAAGATCCTCAATCGGCTGTCGCGCGCTTCACTCCTCACCCTCGCACTCGACTGGCTCGACGAGCGCAACCTCGCCCTAGCGGCTCCCTACCTCCGCCAACCCTCCTCCTCCGAATACGATGACGACGATAACGATGACGAAGACGAATATGCCGACGACTTCCACCCGCCCGCGCGCTCGCTCGAAGCGTTGCAGGAGCTTTACACAAGTTTACAATCGCGCAAGGGATCCAAGAGGGAGGTGATTGACAGGATTATTGAGGGGGACTGGCGCCATGGCCTGACGCTGTATCAGCTTGCTATGGCAGATATTCAGTACCTTTATGATCACCCGACGTCGCAGAAGTGGGCGGCATATCGGATCATGCCCTTGAAACCATTATCCACGAACGAAGAAGAGGAGGACCAACAGCCGGAAGTCGACAAAGAATCGCTCGTTATCCCGCGGTTTCACCCTTCTACGTTTCTCAAGAACCTCCAAGCGCAGGTACCGCCGGACGTCAAGGCGCATTACAACTTTGACCGCCACCGGACTTTACCTCTGTCGATCCTGCGTATTTTCATCCTCGACTCCCCTTACAACACCAGCCTCGGTCTCCAGTCCGGCTCTTCCAAAACCGGCCGCAAAGCAGCAACAACCACCTTTGACACCTCCCGCACCGTCTACATCGCCTTTCCCGACGCCTCTCCCTACATCTACATCTCCAAACCTCAACTCCTCTCCGGCTTCGCCCCTGCCGCCGGCCCTTCCTCGGCAGCCACGAAGACCACAGGGATCAACACCACAGCCGGCGAAGCCAAATCCCTCCAGCACTTACTGCTGGTCGGCATCCCCGCCGCTTTATCCCGTCCCCGCCAGCGCTTTTGCTTGAAGCCAACCAGCTTAGCGACGCGCAACCTGAATGAACTCTTGGACCGCCGCGGCGGCGCAAATACCAGGCAAGGAGCAGCGGGTGGGGGGTGGAGTATCTACGCTGATGAGATGCGCGACAAGGGAAAGGGGAAAAGAGGCAACAGGGAGACGCCGCTTGATACGGTGCTGCCTTCGCCTCCGCTTTCTGAAGAGGAGGAGGGGGGGGGTGACAAGGAGGAACATAACGGAGCTGCTGGGAGAAAGAAGAAGAGGTTGGAGCCGCCGTTGTTGTTGCCTGGCGCAAGAAGGGAAGAGAGGGAGAAGAAAAGGAGAAAACTGGTGGCTAAAGCGAGGTTCGCCGAGACTGCACGGGTGGGAGACGGGAAAGGTGTGGAGAGGGTGGATATTATTCTCGAAGACGAGTTTCCTTCTTCTTCTTCCACCCATTCTTCTTCCTCTACTTCCTCTTCTTCGTCTTCGTCTTCGTCACGAGATAGAGATAGAGACAGAGACAGAGAAAAAGAAAGAGGAAGAGAAAAAGAACGAGACAGAGAACGAGAAAAAGAAAGAGACAAAGATACCTCCGGTGATAGGAGGTCTGGGTCCAGTAGCTCCAATGGCACAGCAGCAGAAGCGGCAGGGAAAGAAAGAGAAGAATGGCGACCAAACGTCAAACTAACCTTCCACGGCTCGCACGTCTTTGCCGGCATCAGACAACTAGTTGAGGCGGGGATTGTCGATGGAGAGAGAATGCCGGGGTGGTTGACTGGGGAAGAGGGTGTTACTGTTGGAAAGGTTAGGGAGGGGAGGATTAGGGGGAATAAAGGAAGTGGTCTTTGATTTCCATCCCTTGGGAGGGTGCAGTGGTTTGAAAGATGGAAATAACACAGAGGCTGAGGGAGGTAAAGTTGGGCAAGGCAAGGCAAGATCGAACAGGGTTAGGGTTATGAAAAGGGGGTTTGTGTTTGTGTTACACTACATGGATGTGTCCGGGTACAGTAGCAGTAGCAGTAGCAGTGGCGTTTGGCGTTGGGAATAGCATCCCGTCCTTCATTACAGAACTGAACTAGCATCCGCAAAGTGGGAAGCAGCGTCTATGGTATTGTACGGTTTATTTATCAACGATGGACATGGTCACCTGCCATTTCAGATCAGGATGGGTTTCTCGTCGAAACATGACCTTCTTTTCGGGCATTCATCAGATTTATATACCTAACTGAAAAACAACGCCCCAACTCCTTTACCTTCTCTTCTACCTTCTCCTCACCCTCTTCTTGTCGTCTCCATCATCTCACCTCACCTCACTCCTCCACCCCAAACACCTTGACAGTATTCTTCCAAGCAGCCTCACACACCTCCTCCACTGAGACGCCCTTGATATCCGCTACAATAATCGCAATCCGTTCAATCGTGCACGGCTCATTGCGACCCTTGACCATAGCTCCCTCCTCCCATTTCTCCTTCTTGACGACTTTGAACCGCTCAGGCACTTCAGATTCCTTCTTTGCGTTCTTGTTCTTCTTTGGCTGTGGAGGCGTTTGAGGTTGCTTCTTGCGCCGTTCGCGTTTTTGACCCGGTTGTTGTTGGCCACTGGGGTTGGGTGTGGAGGTCCCGCTAACGTCCGGGGTACCGTCCCCGGCTTCCACTTCGGTTGGGAGTTCCGTTCCATTACCGTTTATAGAAACGTCTGCGAGGGCCTTTGCTGCTTCCTCTTCTTCTTCCACCTTCTTTTTCCTCGCCTCTTCGTCCGCCTTGGCCTTAGCTTCCGCTTCAGCCTTCTCCTTAGCCTCCCTCTCCCTCGCATAATACTTCACCAAGTACTTCCACCCCTCATGTCCGCCCCGTACCTCACACCAAGGCCCATCCGTCTCCAACATGATTCTGTCCAGCCTAATCTGCTTGACAACCGCACAGTTTTCTTCCGTCTTGAAACTACACCCGTTCACACCGATGAATAGTCCCAAATCCATCAGCTCTTGCATCTCTTCTAGCGTGCCGGTGAAGGAATGCACCACCCCGCCCTTTTCTAGTCGCTCGAGGTTCGGACCAAAAGCTTCCTTAAGACAATCGACAAAGTCCCGGTGGGCGGCGCGCGAGTGTAGGAATAAAGGGAGCTGCGGGGTGAGGGAGGCGGCAAGGCTGAGTTGGGCCCGGAAGGAATGTAATTGGATGGTGCGCGAGCAGTAGTGCAGACGGTCGTAGTCGAGGCCGAATTCGCCAAAGGCAATGAGTCCCCCCTTTGGAGACCGGTTGGAATCGATGAGGTTGGAGAGGGAGGCGATGAGTTGTGGGGTGCGGACGTGGTCGATTAGAGAAGGGTCTTCGGGTTGTGGGGCGTCAGGGTCGGGGTCGGCGCAGATGGGGATCGGGGTGGAGGCCGAGTCGGCTGCTGTTTCTGGAGCGGCGGCAGTAGCAGCAGCAGGAGATGTTTCGGACTCGGAGCCGGATTCGTCATGGTGCATGTGGTGCGAGGTGGAAAAGATGGAGGAGGAACAGGGGTGGATGCCGGCTGTTGTGTAGACGTGATGAGGGAACTCTTGGGCGATTTTGAGGGCGTCGCGAGAGGACTTGAAGCTGGAGCCGGTGACGATGAGCTTGGTGCAGCCTACGTCGATGGCGCGTTGGACGACGCCGGCGAGGTCATCGGGGTGGCGCGGCTTGCCGTGGTAGTGGCCGCGGAAGATGGGGTCGGCGAGGTTGATTCCGATCTTTTGTGTCACATGTCAGTTAGTGGGTGTTTTGATGGACATGTATTTCTTCTGGTGTTGATGGTCACCAAAGCAAACATTATTTGGTGATCGAGTGACTTACATCGATATATCTGGGCTTATAAGTTGTAGTCTCAGACGGGCCATTGCTCGCCAGGGTAGAGTTAGACGCCATGGCTGTCAATGGTGCTATGATATTGCAGTTACGGCTGCTCAAGATTTGTGGTCTTGTGAGGATGTGCAGACTTGGTCGTGAGACACTCAATCTCATCAACAAAGCGGTATGGTCAAACCCTCAATCTCTTGTCTTCCCTTGCACCTTTAAACACTCAGATTAAAACTTGAAACCCTAAAAACGCACGTTTCCCTTCTTCCTAAGTCATCGGACGAGATGAACAGGGCAGTGTGATGTCGTCTCTCACTCAGTAAGAGTTGGCTGTCGGATGGAGAGAGGTCAAGCTTGAACATTGGATTGGGACCTGACAGGGGCCATGCTTGGCTTGCTGCAGCTCATCCGCTCAGTCGCTGCAGGGCGCGCACCCATGATTACTTAAGCACCGTGTTTTTGGGCGGGTTTGAAGGTGCCGATGGCTGGAGTTACGGATCCGCGCGGGTCTGGGATTTTGCTAGTGTCAGACTGTCAGGCAGCAGGGCGCGATGTAAACAAATGGCTGATACGGCTCTGTGAATATCTGTCAATTTTGTCCCAAATTGAAAAGGCAAAAGTAAAAGAGTAATGTTCACGGCAATTCACAATTCCGCATTGCTTACGATGATGTAATTTACAGACGCGTCGTTCTGGACGTGTAAAGTGGTGCTACCTCTAGCGCTGTTAAAAGGTGGGGTGGCAGCTGCAGTGTTTTGTTTAACATCGGGCCAGGGGGAGGGGGGACGAGCCCCAGGAGACTTTTGGTGGGGCCTCCCCTCCAGCCCCAGGCTACAACGCGCTCCAAAAGAACAAAAACTGTAGCAGCCCGCAGTGAGACGCGTCCAGATGCTCCCAGTACTCCAAAATGCACACATACTGCACTGCGGTGGGTGAGACGCGCTTTTGACGGCCGGCCCATAGAGGTCCCGCATTGGCACTGGCAGTTTCCAGTCCAAGACGAGCGCTAGAAAAGAGTGGGCGCGCCAATCTCGAAAAACCATCCTTCTCGCTGCCTTCTCCTTCGATCTCTTCCCTCCCTTCCACTTCTCTCCCGTCTCTTCCGTGACTGTGACTACTTCAAGTTACTGTCCTTCCCTCTCCTCCTCCTCCATCCCATACCCAATTCCCCCAAGACAACTTCGAGATTGCTTGGGTCTATCTTGGTGTTAGTCGTCTTCCTGCTCGTGCCATTTGTCAGCGTAGTCGAATCCTGTCAACGGCCCAGCAGCAGCACCACTTCTAGTTCAAGTGTTCTTCTGTTTTGTCTTCTCCATCTTGGTTGTCAATAACTGTACTTGTTCTTGTTCCCTCTTCTTCACGTTCACCCCCACACATCAGACATTATGTATGTCAAGAAGCGCGGTATGTTCACGACTCTCCCTTCCTAGCAATACCATCATCACGCCCAATGCTGACTCCCTCTTCATAGATGGCCGCCAGGAGCGCGTCCAGTTCGACAAGATCACAGCTCGTGTCTCGAGGCTCTGTTATGGCCTCGACATGAACCATGTTGATCCTGTAGCCATTACACAAAAGGTCATCTCTGGCGTCTACGGTGGCGTTACCACAGCACAACTAGACGATCTGGTAAGCACCTCCTCTCCATTCCTTCTCCTCCTTGTACCGATTATAAATCATGAGCTAACACATAATCTTTCCCTAGGCTGCCGAGACTGCCGCCTACATGACCGTCACCCACCCCGACTATGCCATCCTCGCCGCCCGTATCGCCGTGTCCAACCTCCACAAGCAGACTAAGAAGCAATGGTCATTCGTCATCAGCGAGCTTTACAACTATGTCAACCCCAGGACCGGCAAACATTCCCCCATGATCGCCAAGGACGTATACGAGTGTGTCATGCGCCATAAGGACGAGTTCGATTCTGCCATTGTCTACGACCGTGACTTCAACTACCAATACTTCGGCTTCAAGACACTCGAACGATCATACCTATTGAAGCTCGATGGCCAGATTGCCGAGCGTCCCCAGCACATGATCATGCGTGTTGCTGTCGGTATCTGGGGAGACGACGTTGAGCGGGTCATTGAGACATACAACCTCATGTCCCTCAAGACTTTCACCCACGCTTCTCCCACTCTCTTCAACGCCGGCACTCCCCAGCCCCAGCTCTCTTCGTGCTTCCTGGTCGACATGAAGGAAGACAGCATCGAGGGCATCTACGATACCCTCAAGACCTGCGCCATGATCTCTAAGATGGCTGGCGGTATCGGTCTCAACATCCACCGTATTCGTGCCACTGGCTCCTACATTGCTGGTACCAACGGCACATCCAACGGTATTGTTCCCATGCTCCGTGTCTTCAACAACACCGCCCGCTACGTTGACCAGGGTGGCAACAAGCGTCCTGGTGCTTTCGCCATCTACCTTGAGCCTTGGCACGCCGATGTCTTTGAGTTCCTTGACCTTCGCAAGAACCACGGTAAGGAAGAAGTGCGCGCTCGCGATCTCTTCCTTGCCCTCTGGATCCCCGATCTTTTCATGAAGCGTGTCGAGCAGAACGGCCAGTGGACTCTCATGTGCCCCCACGAGTGCCCCGGCCTTGCCGACGTTTACGGTGACGAGTTCGAGGCTCTGTACGAAAAGTACGAAAAGGAAGGCAAGGGTCGCAAGACCGTCAAGGCCCAGAAGCTCTGGTATGCCATCCTCGAGGCCCAGACCGAGACGGGCAACCCCTTCATGCTCTACAAGGATGCCTGCAACCGCAAGAGCAACCAGAAGAACTTGGGTACCATCCGCAGCTCCAACCTGTGCACTGAGATTATTGAGTACTCTGCCCCGGATGAGGTTGCCGTTTGCAACCTTGCCTCTCTCGCCCTTTCCGCCTTTATCGACTACGAGAATGCCTCTTACGACTTCAAGAAGCTGCACGAGGTCACTCAAGTCGTCGTCCGCAACCTCAACAAGATCATTGACATCAACCACTACCCCGTTAAGGAGGCCCACAACAGCAACATGCGTCACCGTCCCATTGGTGTCGGTGTTCAGGGCCTTGCTGATGCTTTCTTGGCTCTCCGCATGCCCTTCGATTCTGACGCGGCTAGCAAGCTCAACATCCAGATTTTCGAGACCATCTACCACGCCGCTCTTACTGCCTCTTGCCAGCTCGCCAAGGAGCAGGGTCCGTACGCCACCTACGAGGGCTCGCCCGTCTCCCAGGGAATCCTCCAATATGACATGTGGAACGTCACTCCCACCAACCTCTGGGATTGGACTGCTCTCAAGGCGGACATCAAGAAGTACGGTGTCCGCAACAGTCTGCTGCTTGCTCCTATGCCCACTGCTTCCACTTCTCAGATTCTTGGCAACAACGAGTGCTTCGAGCCTTATACCTCCAACATCTACCAACGACGTGTGCTCGCCGGCGAGTTCCAGGTCGTCAACCCCTGGCTTCTCAGGGATCTTGTGGAGATGGGCCTGTGGTCTGATGCCATGAAGAACCGCATCATTGCTGAGGGCGGTTCTATCCAGAACATCCAGAGCATTCCCAATGACATCAAGGCCCTCTACAAGACTGTTTGGGAAATCTCCCAGCGTACCATTGTCAAGATGGCTGCCGACCGTGGTGCCTTCATTGATCAGTCCCAGTCCCTCAACATTCACATGCGCGAGCCCACCATGGGTAAGATTACCAGCATGCATTTCGCCGGCTGGAAGATGGGTCTCAAGACCGGCATGTACTACCTCCGTACGCAGGCTGCTGCTCAGCCCATCCAGTTCACTGTAGACCAGGAGGCTCTCAGGGCCACGGATGACCGAGTGGCCCCAGCCCACTCGGGTCTTAAGAAGCGCTCCCCTCCCGCTGGCACTTATACGTCTATCGTGTTGAGGGAGAACACTTCGGGTCCCCGCCCGTACGCCCAGACTGATGTTAGTGGCACCAGCACACCCATCGGCACCAGGGATGTTCCCACACCCGCCAGCACACCTCCTCCCACTGAAGTTCCTGAAACTCTTGTGCAGAGTGACAACAGGCCTCGTCCACTTGTCTCGCCCGCCAAGAGTGCCGGTTTCAAGGCCGATTTGCCCGAGCCTGAGAGCCCCAAGGCTCTGGCTACTGACCCAATTGTCAAGACCGAGGCCATTAGCTCCCGGGAGCTGGAGATGAAGGAGGGCCAGAGTGAGGACAAGGACGAGGAGAGCCAGGAGAGAGAGGTGGATATCTACTCTGAAGCAAAGCTTGCTTGTAAGTGATGACAACATCCTTGTGAGACCTCGAGACACACGCTAACCACATTAAACAACAGGCTCTATCGAAAACCCTGAGTCCTGCATCATGTGCAGCGGTTAAACCCGTAGCCTCGCCCTTCCGGGGTGGTGTATGAAGCTTATGGTAAAAAAGTGTGCAGTGTTATGACGTTTTACGGTGTGGTTTGTTCAAGATTAATGATGGGTTTTGTCTTCAGTCAGCAGCATGGATAGGGCATCTTGTTTTTATTGGACTTTGGGTTGGTTCCGATGTTGGGATATATCAATTGGGTGTTTTCATTTTGTTCCATAAACAGATAACAATACCCACAAGCGCGCTTTCTCAACTCTGTTAGATACAGATAACAAAACGGGGGAAAAGAAAGGAAATAGAGAAACGACTAGTTGCTATGTTACGAAAGAGATATGTATATATTCTGGATCAGGGAAGACAGTTCAGTTTTGAGCAACAGTCTCCATCAGTATCTTCTTGATACTCCTCGTCCGAGCCATCAGCACACAGGAAACAGCCTTGCCACATAGACGAAAGGAGTAGTGTGGGAAGTCCAACTCAGAGCCATACTCTTTGTACGCATTAGGCTTTGGACAATAGCAATCCATATCCAGAAACGCCTTGACTGTCATGTCCAACCCCCGCATATCCATTGTGATTGGCGAGCAATCATCGAAATCGAGCAACCACAACGCAGTTGCGCGCTTGGTGAAAGCAAACGACAGATTAACGGCAATCGTTTTGATGTTGAGTCCCCAAGATTCGGTGGTGCTAGGCGTGCCGTACCAAAAGCACTCGGGTACTTGGGCTTGGTGTTCGTGGTAGGGTAAGGATGTGAAGCTGCCGCCGTGAACTTTGGAGTGGATCACATAGTTGTTCCAGAGCTTCGAGGCATCGTCCGTCATGGGGAGCTTGTGTAGGCAACCTTAATTCCAGGGTGGAAGGTGAGGTCTGCTGCAGTGTTGCGTGGTCAGGGATATTCCTACAGAGTTTTTCATTGACAAATCGATTTTGACATTACCGGGAGCGCAGCGTACCTTTGGTGTTAGGTTTCCTATGGGATCATCGAACATGGAGGGAGAGTAAGTAAAGATGTAGCTCTGTTAAACTCATGATGTCAATTGGAGATGGAGGAATGTCCGTCGATTTATGTATACGTGAGACTGTTGCTGTTCGTAGGGTCTCCACAGGTGATGATTCGTGGGTGAAATGGTTTGTTGGAAGAACGAAGAGTACTTGGGACGTTGGAAATGAAAGAAATGTTGCCTTGGTTTGCTTTAAATGTCTTGATTGGCAGGTTGCCGAACTCAAGATCATGAATGAGGCAAGAGTGATGGACTGTGCCAAACCCGTCTAGAGGTAGTAGTTGGTAAGGTTGCCCAAGACCTGGTTCCCTACCTTCCCGCGACCAAAGGGGCAGTCACATGAGCAAAGGTATGAGGAAAGCACGAGGGAAAAGGCGAGGTGAGAAGAACACCGTGACTGTTAAGTAGGTAATTACTTGGATAAGTCCGTCGCATTCTGACTTGAATTGTAACAAAAGCCCACACAATCAATCACTGCCCATACGATGCCCCTAATTCATCTCCCCCTCGTCCTTCAAGTAAACCAACTTCCCGTTCTTCCACCTCGTCTTCAAAATCATGCCCATCACCTTTCCCGGCAACTCCCGTGCCACGCTTTCCTTCCCTTTTCCCTCCAAAATCTGCCGACTCGTCTCCAGGTACCGCCCCTTGAACTCCTCCCAAAGCTGGCTGTCTGCGGGCTGATACTCTGAGCCCGCACCATGGTTGCCGTTTTCGTTGCCGTTGCTTTGGGGAAGAGGAGGTCTATGATACCACGGATCATTTCCCCAAAAACTTGCTGCAGCGGCTTCCAGAAATGCAACTTCGGTTGCCACTTTACCACCGTCATCCATTACCTCTGGCATTGTCATCTTCTTGCAGCAGTCAAAGTCTAGCAGCCACATTGCGTGAGTGCCGAATAGTCCTCCTGAGCTGAATGCTTTGGAGCCGATGCTGGGCGCCGACAACGACGCAGAAGAGGACCGTGGCCGAGCAAGAACAAACTCCACGTCTCGCGCGTCGACCTCCGCCTCCCAATGAAGAAACGCAAGCGTGTCAGCCATGGCCATGGCGTATTGTTCCTTTGGAAGCCCGAGTTCTTCGATCTGATCGAGGTGGAGTGGAAAGTTGCGGAAGCTGACGGCTGATATCATCCGAGGTCTGTTTCTTGGTAGGCGGCGTCGTCCAAGGAAAGGGCGGACCAAACAGTTTTGTTCCGTCCTCGCGAGATCGAGAAGGTCGGCAGCGAGTTTCTCGCTTCTGGTTTCACATCCACCGTGGCCGCCATGAAATCTTTGGACGAGGAGCTGACGGACGTATTGCTGCATCTGCGGGATTCTTTCATTCCTGATGGCCTTGCATGGTTGGAAGTCTTTGGGGAGACGGGGCAGAAGAAAAGCCCATTCCGGGGAAGTCGAGGCGATGAAGTCGATGGCGGTGGGGATGTCGACTCGATAGCCTGTGATCAGGTTGCTGTCTGACTTTGATGTCATGGTTGCTGCTGCCAAACGGGCGAGGATGTGTTTGTGGATATCGTGTTCCTTGGTGATTGAACGGCCGGTGTTACAATCCTCGCGTTTGATGACAGACTTGTTATCCTCGTCATTGTCGTCGACGTCAGAGAGGCGTTCGGCCCAGACGGAGCCACAATTGCCACGGCCGATTTCAACGAGATCTCCTTGCTTGTTCATGGTGTATGCTAGAGTCGTTGTAGGATGTGTTATGTTATTGTAAACAATATGTTTTAGTTGCGAAGAAGTTAGAGTCGGAGATCAGAATGCAAGGAAGAGAGACCTGTTTTTTTTATGGCAGAGCCAGCCAGATGTCCTTCGGTGATACCGGACATCCGTAGGTTTTCGCAGGAATTAAATGCATATGCACTGCTCGTATGCAGAACACCGACCCTTTCCTTCCATTCGTTATTCCTCCGTGTCATTCTCCGAATCCCGCTCAATATGTCCTCCTCAAATGTCGTAGACAATCACCAAAACACCATTTAAAATACAGGGTTGGTGGCATCCAACAACCCCGAACATGCTCATCTGGCTGACCTGTAATGTTTTTTTTTCCTTCTCCTTTTTTTTTTCTCCCTCAACAATCACCCTGATACCAAGATAACAAAGTTCGTCCAAGTCGCTACTTGCTGTGAAAAACAGCTTGTTGCAATTTTCACATCCTATCACCTTCACTTCTAATACATCACCATGCAATCTACCTACGTTTGGAGCGCTTGCCTGACGACTTATCTAAGTAGGTAGAATGTACCCCATATTATTGCACTTTCTGTCAGCATTTTATGCAAAAGGTCCAGCCGGGTCCTCAGCACTTCGATAGCCTCATCTCTTACACCCCAGGACACTCGCCTGGTATTGATGTTATGGATCGGTAGTAGGAAACGAAATTTTGCCCTGTGCAACTTGGAATGGTTTATCGCGGTCCGGAAGCTCTTTCCTTGTATTCAATGTACTTTGGTGGGTGGTAGGTATATTTGCGCCTCCCTTTTGTGAGGGGCAAAATGCGTGTCCCGAACTCCTCCGGCTGGTCTTACCTATCTGTACCTCTAGGTTCTTGCCATTCTTTGTAATTGACAGCTCGGGCCTCGGGGAACCAGGAAGAGCAGGAGTGGATGGCAGAAACAACTCGAGAAGGTGCATTGTGCCAATTGATTTGGGGTTGACGACCGGGCCGATCTCTTCCAGCTTCGGGTTTTTTTTCCTCCTTTTCTTCCTCTCTCAATCTCAACAGAACACCCACCATTCAGTGTTTGGTAATGAAGCAATTTGGGCCACCATCCAGGAGGCTTTTCCTCTATCATTCTTTTCTTATTTTCCATGTCTTTCTTCTCCCCTCCTTCGACCCCATTTTCATCCTCTCTCCTTCAGTCTTTTTTCTGCCTTGCCATTTTCCTCATTTCCTTCTTACTGCTCAGTTCCCCTACATAGTTCTGCATGGCCTCGGTCCTCTCCCATGGCGAAAACCACAACATTCGATTATTTCACGACCGCCGCAACATGTTGGAGGTATTCTCGGCTCCGGGCCCTGCTTGCCTAGCCAATCACACGCCACGTTACCTCGTCATGTAGAATGGTAACCTCGCCATGTAACCTCAACGTGTGACCCTAGCGTCGATGGCCTCTTGGGTTCAGGTCAGGCAGCCATATGAATGGATTTTCAGCCTCTATGTAAACTTGCAACACCATCGCGTCTGCAGCAGTCGTCTTTCCAGAACTGTTAACATTGATCCCACTTGCATATTTCTTAATCTCGAGCGCCGTCCGATCTCTTCGTCTTCATGGCTTGTTCCCCGCAGACGGACGCAACGTTGACCGACAGCCTGTTCAGTTATGACTCGGTTCGTCTGTTTGATCCGTCAACCGAAATCCGTCTGCTCGACCTCCATCCCGGGTCTACTTATACGGACGACCTATCCGGCTACATCTACACTGTGCCTATCTCCCAAGCTCCCAGCTATATCGCGCTTTCATACGTTTGGGGGGACAGCACCAGGACGCATGAGATTTCAGTGGTCAATGAAGTCAACGATGGCAGAGGAGCTTTTGTAACTCTTCGTCTGACAACATCCCTGGATACTTGCCTCCGCCATTTTCGAACACTCCAGCGCCAGTGGCAGATTGAGCCCCTGCCCCTATGGATTGACCAGCTATGTATCAACCAAGAAGACGACAAGGAAAAGTCCTTTCAGGTTCTGCTCATGAAAGATATCTACTCGTCTGCACATCAAGTCATCGTTTGGCTAGGCCCTGCTGCTGACGGCTCCGACAAAGTAATGGATGCCTTTGCAGACATTGGTCAAGAACTTCTCGATAAGATCGGCGACCATATCTCAGAAGGACAGTGGCTTTCCGTCGATCGCCTCATCGAGAAGAAGATCGAACAACCTGGTGTCGTTGCTTTCTTGAAGAAAGCATACAAGGTTGTCTATGTATTGAAGAGGGATGACTATTTTGCGCGCTGGCAGAAAAGACCATGGTTCACGCGAGTGTGGACTATACAGGAGTTCTGTCTCTGTTCGGATACGATTTTTGCTTGTGGCTACAAGGTCGTCCCTGAGAAATTGGTTTCCGCAGTCGCCGATCTCGTGAACTGCATTGTGATGGACAGATGCTTGCGTGAACGTCTAGAGACACCTGACACACCTACTTATTGCATTCTCGCCTCATGTTTCCTTAAATTGCACTTGCTCTTCCAACGTCGGGTGCACTGCCAGTACCCGAATGCAAAAGAAACGCTGGAACACCTCCTTGTAGAACTCTTTGCTGGATCTACAAGGTTTTACGCTACAAATCAGCGCGACAAAGTGTACGGAATTCTTGGCTTAGCGGGGGACGCGGATGAGCTTGGGATTCGGCCGGATTATTCTCCGTCAACAACCAATGCGCAAGTGTGGACACAAACCGCAAGAGCGATAATCGAAAAGAAATGGAAAACACAACGGGTCAGAGGTTTATACATCCTTCGTTATGGGAGTCTGGGACAACGAAGGTCTACCCAACCGGGGGAAGGAATGAGCAGCACCAAGAACGAGAGGGAAGTACCGTCATGGGTGCCTGAGTGGGACAAGGAGATGAATAAGACGTATGTAGGAACCACGTCATTCTCAGCCTGTGGGAAGTTCAGAACAGCGGGTTTGGTACCTACTTCATCCCCTACGATTCTAGGCGTCCATGGCTTTTGCGTGGATACTATCGTGGACCTAGGAGAGCTGGCACCGGCTGACCATGTGGGTTATCGTGACGGTCCTAAGAAAATCGTTGAATTTTTCGACTCTGTCAAAAGGTTGTTGAGGATGTCTAAGCAGAACAAATGGGCCAAAAACATTTATGCAAGTACTACTCACCATGATGCTGCCTTATGGCGAGTGCCTATTGGGGATCAGTATGTCGCGTACGGGGTTGGCCAACAACATACGAAAAGGACAGACTCGAAAGTGGAATCAGTATACCGGAAATTCATGGCATACTACGAGGACTATGCCAGCCGGGAAGGTGATTGGAATGACTATGTTACAGCCCACAAAGCGGGAGATAAGCAGGTCAACTTGGCGGCGGACATGCACATGGATGAGCTTCTGGCGGAGGGATATTATATAGCCTTGCTGTACATGCAGGGCAAACGCCCGTACCTCACACAGAATGGATATCTAGGCATGGGTCCGGGGCACTCAAAGCCCGGCGACAAAGTGGTTGTATTCCACGGCGACACGATTCCGTACGTGGTACGACCGGTGCCGGAAAAGGGGGACAAGAAGTACCTTTTGATGGGGGAAGCATACTGCGATGGGATTATGGATGGGGAACTCGCTGATACGGCGGAGAGGGAGGATTTCTTTCTTGTCTGATCTGGTGTTCCTCTTTCCTTTTTGTTTCTTCTTTTTTGGTTTCTTGTGCAATCAGCGTCATGGCGGGCGTGTTGTTGACTTTTTGGATATCGGCGGACTGTAGGGGAAGTTGCATGTTCGGGGCCCACTCGCTCTTTTCTTCCACCAAACCGCTGCAAAACCCATCTTGGACACTCGATCATGATTTCTTCACAACAAATAAGTGTGAAATAAAAGTACATTAATTTCGGACTTCCTTGCTTGTCATCTATGAACAGATATGTAGCTTATGCATTTTGTCTTCTAGAAGAGACTGAGTTCCGGGGCAATACCGAGCTCCAAACTCGTGTCTCCAATGTCCACTTGCACTTGTTGTATATGCACGTTCTGAGTTTGGCTACGACTCATGAACTTGTTCCATTGCAACCAACAGGTTGGACACGCAGTTGACTCTTACCAACTTAGTCATACCGTATTACTCAACGAGATCCAAGGAAAGTGCCTCCCACAACAGGAAGGAGGTCTTTGCAACGAGACCGTCGTGTCGCTTCTGCGCTAACATCCCCTCCATGGAAAGAAGTCGCGTTGGTAATGACTTTCTCCAGTATTTAGGTCTTCCTGTCCTTGAGGCTGGAAAATTTCCTCTCTTTTTTCTTGATCACTTATTTCATCGCCCTTTTCTTCCCCACGCCATGCACCGCTTGACGCATGGAACCTCGCTTTGCATGCGTCAATAGCAAATCTGCGCGATGGTGTCTGCCAAAAAAAAAAGGGAAAAAAAAGAAAAGACGCATACAGCTCCAACCAGCGCCACTCCGAGTTGGACAGCTTTGAGACGCCAGGGAGAGTCGAGGAGGCAGCGTACCTACTCTAAGCTTGGAAGGCCGATGTCAGTCATCATCTCATCCACCCCTAATGGCAATCAAGCTTCGTTCATCGCAGCCGTTTAATGGGTCAAGAGAACTTTGACTGACATGTGAATTGGAGACAGGGCTTCGTACTTTCCACGGCCTGCTTGGCTTGACTACATTTCCGACCCCAACTATAATGGCTCTCGGGAAAATGGGGGTGGCCCCGAGAAGGGCTCAGAAGCACCTCGCTACTTTCCAATGCAAAGTATGTCCAAAGCACTTTACCAGGGCATGCAACCTGCGCTCATCGGCACGGCTCATCAAGTTCTGGTCCAGCCCGGCACTCCAGTGCATTGATAACATGCATGTTAGGCCCGGCAGTTGGGAATTGTGACCCCCTCGACTTCAAATTGGCCCATGTCCGGCATCTCATACCTTAATCTGCGGATCTCGGCCATTCAAACCCAAAGACTGTTGGAAAAAGCTGCATATATGCCGGTGTTGCATATATACCAATGTGCAGAGCCTCACGGACGTCCAAGTCCTGTGGAAATTCCATTGCCGTGGCCGCCGTTTATATGTATGTTCATGCGTAGAGGTACATACCTCTAAGCCCCATTTCGTCCTCCAGAACCTTTGCCATTCTTCGGTCTTTTGATGGCTTACCACTCACTGCCTCTTGATCTCGGACTAAAAAAAGAAGAGGAGTAAAAATTCCCGCTTCGCAGCTATGCAATGTACCTACCAAAGTGATTGCGCACAAAAAAACATCATGTTTCCTGGATTTCGTATGCATCGAAGGCGATGAAGGAGTACTGGAACGGCCTCTTCCAGCTCTATAAAGCTACCTATCTTCTCCTTTCCGTTTTACCTTTCTTCTCCATCTTCGTACTATCATCATCTCCATCAGTTCTCTTCTCACTTAACTCTCAAGGACGCTATTGGCGGTTCGTTCACCATAACGTTTCCTCGACCCTTCAACTTCAACGGAGAAGCCAGATCTTATTCCCTTTCTACCATCTGTCCACCGGGACCAAGCAAACAAGATGGACGGCGAGAAAAGACCCATTGTTCCCGACCACCACGAAAGTGATCAGCATGACCGCCCGTCCAAGCGCCAAAAGACCGAGGTGACGGAGTCATCAGAAGCCGGGGTGGGAGGTGAAGAGCAGGAGAATCGGGAGGAACAAGACGACAAGGAAGAAAATGAGAGGGAGAATGAGGAGATTACCTCTAGTGATGATGGCGAGAGCGAAACCGACGACGACGACGATAGTTTGCCCTCGCTGGACCTCTGGGAATGGCCTCCTCCCCCGCTCCCCGAAATTCAGGAACAGGACCAAGCCCATAATGAGCCCGGGCAGCAACTCAACCAGCAGCAACAGGAGCAGCAGGAACAATAGCAACAGGAGCAGCAGCAACAGGAGCAGCAGCAGGTCATAGCTGCACAACAAGAACCACAGCAGCAACCGCACCCCGAGCCAGTCACCCCTACGGTTGTGGTGCCTCATCAACATCATGAGACACAGATCGTGGCTGGCCTCCCCACGCCAGTCCTTGTACCCCAAGGGGGGCATCCGCACGAGGCGCAAATTGTCATGGGTTTGGCCACGCCAGCACCAGAGGCCGAGATGCACTTACTAATTGTCCCAGACGATGGGTTTGCTCTGCCTCCACCAGTCCTTGCTGTTATGCCCGAGCCAGTCGCTCCTGCAGTGGTGGTGCCTCATCAACAACATGAGACACAGATCGTGGCTGGCCTCCCTACACCAGTCCTTGTGCCCCAGCACCCTCACGAGGCGCAAATCGTCATGGGTTTGGCCACGCCAGCACCAGAGGGCGAGCTCCAGCTGGGTTTGAACTTACCAGCTGCTGTTCCAGACGATGGGTTTGCTCTGCCTCCGCCAGTCATTGCTGTTATGGGGTAGTTGTACCTGGAGACATCGAACGTTCACCGGCATGGTCGGAATGGGCAGATCTTGGGTGAGGTGGTTTCCTCCGTGTTATATCTCTAGGAGCAGGCAAGGCAGTCGGAGCCGTTTTGGAGGATCAGTAGCAGGGACGGATATCCTCGTTTTTTCGTTTGAAGTTGATGGGAGTGAGATGGGATTGGGATTAGTTTGGGGGGCAGTTCTGGTTATGATCGCTGGATATCTTGTTGGTTTTTGTCTTCTCTTTTCTTTAACCCTATAAACTTCCTACCTCTAGGTACCTAATCTTTCATCAATTCTTGACTACACCACGACAATGTTATCGTCCACAAAATCGTACCCTAAAGCCGATTGCGTATACCTTTTATACAGAAATACTTTTTCCTACCTAACCATAGCTGTCTTCTACAAGTAGCTCGCAAAGACTCAATTTGAGGGTCTCTACAGAACTCCACATTTTCCCTTTTACCAGTACCCTATTCTCGTCCTTCCCTATAACTCAGAGATCCCCAACCGTCACTCATCCCTCAACTTCTTTTTCAACCTCTCGTCTCATACGTAGCCTACAGTCTCATGCCCTAGCAGAGGTAGAGGTAGCCGTTCCTTCGGGTGGTCCTGGCTGTGTTATGGGGAGTACCTAGCCTGACTGGCTGACTGGCTGGCGGTGTCTCTTTGGTTGCGTTGGCTTCGTTGCGACTAAGTTTCGGACAGAGGTACGCTTGAACGATCCCGACGGCCCAAGCACAAGTAGGAGTATTAGCAGTAGCCGATGTCCACATGAAAGGCCAAATAAGGACAAAGAAAAAAGAGGCGAGGTCAAGCCAAGGACAGTCTGGTGCTCGAGTACATTTCGTCCGAGATATAATAAATAAGACCAACCAACAGGTTAGAGGTAGGTAAACCAGTCCACTACCGCTCGTTAAGATTAATTTTTTTCGGGGGGGTTTTCTTTTTTTTAAAAAAAAAGAAAAAACCGTTGTAAGACTGTAATAGGGATTACAACACATAGATTCGAAAAGACATCGACTACATATAGCGTCCTATTTGGAAATTTTTATTCAGCAAATGCCTACAAGAACTCAACACCAGAGGTGTTACAAAGGCGCTTGGATGCGTAGAGGTAGTAGGAGTATACCTAGGCAAGGTAAGGTACAATGTCAAAGGTCTCGGCTACTTTGTTCAGGACGAGTATACCTAGGTAGTTCTTCGTCGTCTGGCAGAAGAAGCATTCGGGGAGGTTTGTGAGTTTTTTGATCAGATGGTTCCAGATCTACTCAGCTCAGCTTGGTAGCTAGGTACCATAGGAGGGACAGCACGCTTCTGGTTCAAAGGTTCCCCACGGCAGTTATACGAACTACATAGTAGGTAGTGGGAGGTCCAGTCCTGACCGTAAACAGTCACTTCGGCGTAGTATGAGAAATAAGAACTTTTTGAAGAACTCCCCCAACTGCCTCGGGGCCGGCCGTCAACGTACGACTACTTTGCGCACGGGTTGGTTTAGTTTGGTTTGGAAACACCAGTGACAACATGAAAGGAACATGGAAGGATCGTGCCGAAACGTCCACCAAAGTGGAAGTCAGAAGAATCGTTGCTGACATGAACATACGTCCTGAGTGCTATGCCTCGGAGTGATTGATGGCTGCTTTGCCCAGAGCGGCGGCGGCGGCGGCCACGAAGACTTCAGACTATTGAAAGAGAGGCCAGGCTGGAATTGTTGGTAGGGTTGGTTTGTCGCTTTCTTACCTATCCTTCTCATTCATTCCCTCTTCAGCTGCCCCTATGATGATTGAGGGAAGATTCGCCTACCTAACTTACACTTACACTTGCACTTGGGTTCATGACCCCCTTTTCCCACCCGAAAGAAAACACATATGACCATACAGACTATAAAACACAAGGATTTCGTCGGCTTATAAATCGCCCATAGGTGAGGAAAGCCAGTGATGTCCAGACGAGAGTCTACTAGTAGAGTCGTTGACGATCGACGAATCCCTCGTGTCGTTTGTATGCATGTTCTTTTTGTCCTTTAACCATTTTTCATGATTTCACTTTGTTGATTTACGGGGATCTATTTTCCGAATATTATCATGTTCCATAAAATTTGGACTGTCATTCATTTTAGGTGGTAGGGGACTTTTTGTTGATGTTGATTGGACTGGGAACGGAGTAAAGGGATCGGGACAGTCGGGCCAGCGTGATCGGCGATCGGTCAGAACTGGTGGAGTCGTGAAGAGTAGGTAATTTTGGTTGATGTGGCGATGGTGGCGGTGACGGTGTGGTGACGGTGTGGTGACGATGTTTAGGTGAATGTTTGATGAGGTTTTGTCTGGAGGTTTGGTACGTGATATTTGACGATTGACGATGAGGGTTGTTGTGTTTGGTAAATTGGTACCCTAGTTTCGACGATTGTGGTGGTTGTGGTGAGGGCTTCCTTCCCTTTTCTTGGCTTTTCCCCCCCAATTTTTGTGTTTCATCAGTAATTTTGTTTCCACCGCGTTTCAACACCAATGACCTTCAAGACGATCTGGTGATCTGATCATGGCATCTTTGATACGAGAAGAGTTGTTAGACGTCTTTCCAAGGAAGGTATTTTGTCTTCTCGTTGACATCTGAGAATCTCCGATGTCGCCTTTTCCGGCTGTGCGGATGGACCCACCGTTCGTCTCAACGTCACCCGAACTTTCGGCGTAAACCTTTTCATTCAAATTCCACACCTTGGAAAACATCACCGACGACGTGAATAGGACACGTTCACGGAATGTTGACGTCTGATTGACATTGATCATGTTACTGACGATCCGACTTCACGCACACACCGCAATCATGTACCTTTTCAGCTCGATGTCGAGTTTCTGCGGCATTTGAAAGGCGGTAAAGCCTTTGCATAATGTATCTACGTAGCAGCATCCGCAAAAAATATGCAAACCACTGCACGAAGCATGCATACCTAGGTACACATGCTTGGACCATTTGTATGTAACGTGCGGCTGCACGAGTAAACGTGGACTCGCTGGAACCCTGAAGAGCTCGTTAGGTTTTGATTCAAACAGCGAAGCCCTGGGGCATGATTTGCGGAGTTTCAGGAACTTGAAGGAACAGACAAAAAAAAAACAAGTCGTCCAATAGGCATAAAAGTGAATATTAAATGGACATAAGATGCTTGGCAAAAGGCAACGTGAAGTTTGCAGATTGAGGTGAAAGAAGAGGGGATTTGCCATGTAAAGCTGGACAGTGCAATCCAGGCCCTACACAACCAAATCCCGTACACCCCACTGCAGGACGCACAGGCTCACACAGAGGAGGGACGGAGTAACCCGTTACCCGTCGCTGTGTGCCATTTTGAAAGCGTTTGCACAGCAAATGAGGTTATGAGTATGACATGTGGTCGCACAGCTGGGGGTTTGTTCGTAGGAGATGACGGAGATGGGAAATGAGAATGGTGGTACACAGGGGCAGAAGGGCGGGGATGCTTGTGTTACTGGTGATGAGGATGACTGAATGAATGACTGGATCTTGGGGTTATAATTTCTTGAAATGAGGTTCGATACTGCAATTGTTGACTGTAGTGTAGGTGGTGTACATAGAGATCCCGTTCAGGACGGTATGTGCAGTCAGTAGTGAGGTGCGGTTATTGAGGTTGGTAGTGTTTGTGGCTTATCCAGGTGGTTGGGCGGTTTTATTTCCTATCTTCTTTTCTTTTTTTTGCTTCGCTCTCATCAGGGACTATTTGCTGCAATGGAGTACGGACTATTCTGTCAATGATAGTTTATGAGAATGAAACTAGCGCCATCGTGAGTATTCGAGCCAGAGACACTTCATTTTGACAAAGTCCCCGTTCTAGTGTAGTTGCTCAGAATTGGACCAGTATTGTGGTCGACGTGGTGGTGCTGCTGCTGCACAGAGGGTAATAGTGGTCAAGCGTGTCTCACCGAATATTCGGCATTCAAGAAGAGCTTCCCTTTTCCCCTTCGATGCTTTTCGTGCGCATTGTGTCTTGCACGTTGAGCTTCTAGTGGTGCTGAGACCTCTGTGACCTCGGTCTCTTCGTTGTTTGTGTAGAAAAGACTAGACTCTGGGCAGAAAATGCCAAGCGGGACGAGTGACCATGTTCAGCGGGGCTGCCTCTCTGGGCTTCAGGTTGTTAGCACGCTGCGGGAAAGGGCTCCACACTTAAGACCTGTCAAATCATCGATTGAATCAATGCTTTTCAAGGCGGAGCATCCTCCCCAGGATCCCAGCCTTCTGTCTTGTCGCTACACTACACTAGTAAAAGTCTCTGATTTCGGACATTGGCGAGTGCTGATCCTGATTAGGGTCGATCGCGATCGAGGCCATCATCATCTCCTCATGTTTTTTGCTAGCGAAAAAGTTCGGAATGGCAGCCGATGGTGACAGGACTCGCGAGAGCGAGGAAATCAAAAAGACGAGAAAGGGAAGTAGAGCAAAAGAGATTTGATTGTGAGTGGTGCTCATGACATCAGTCCACTCTCCAATTCCTTGGTGCTCTCCACTCGATGATGCACCGCTAGCACAGACCAGGCAATGGTCGAATGCACCGCCAAATCGGCGTGGATCGAGCTTAAACCCAACCCAAGGAAGGGAAGTGAGTGCTGATGGGATGGGCGCCGCCGCAGGTACCAGGGCACCCACCTCATCCTCCCCTCGTCTGATATTTTCAACAAACTAGAGGTACTTGCACGTGAGTGTAAGGAACAACCTCTGCTCCTTTGAGACAGCCTCGAAACCATCGCAAAGGAACAACCTAACCAGCCCTCCGGGACTTTTGGCTCGTGGTCAAGTGGGGGGGAGAATGGAGACCGGGACGGGCTGGAATGGGAATTCGCACAAAACCCACTGTACGTATCCAGCGATCCACTCTGCCCGCACGCCAAGCGACCGACGACAAGCGACGATGAGCATCCAGCTGCTCCAGGGTTCAAGACCATGGTTTGAGATAAATTTCGACAAATTGGCCAATCAGATGCTGCCATATTCCTGCCCAGCATGTGGCTAGTGTACACTAGAGACCGGGGACTCTCCACAGAGAAACATCATCGATGCAAACCTTATTGACAAACACCGCACTTTCCCCGACTGGAACCCCCAAGAAGCAATTCCCAGCTTTCAAGCGATCATCATCATTCAAGAAAAAAAATGAAAAAAATCTTCAACCACGTCGTCGGGACCTGGGCTGCCGAATGAATGACTTGATAGACTACAATGTACACTATGTACACTACATTGGCTTACGCAAGGACCGTACGATCGGGCAGCGGCCTTTGGCAATCTGGGCTTGGCCGCCAGGAAACCCAGCCTCTTCCGTCACAGGCGTCACAGAATCACAGGACCCTCTTCTCTACTTGCTTCCACGCTTCCATCCAGCAGCCAGTGAGAAGGGCCACAGCAGTCTGGTGGCAGGTTTAATGTCCAGAATTTCACCAACCCGCTGCGTACCACGGCAAATGGCCGGTTTTTGAAACACGGGAACGACCTTGCTCTGCTCGGGTTCTCGGAACAGCTTGCTGCTCATCTCCCCATCTCCCAATTGCCTGCCAAGAGATGGTTGATTGATGAGTGGTCAACCGCGAAGACGTGTGCCATGACATGACATCCCAACATACCCAGCTTTTTACGACTCTGCAACGTCAACATCAAAGTCCAGGAACAGCAACCAAGATGCTGATGACATCCCTTTTTGGATCCCCAGGCACAACAACACTTTACCGCTTCAGCCATAACCCAGAAAACAAAAAAAAAAAGAGTTCACACCGCGTATGGTGACAGGGAGAGGCCTACAAGCTGTGTACCTGCCAGTTAGTCAAGCTACAGTTGCAGTGCATAATGTGGCTTGCTTTTTCTTTTTTTCTTTTTCACCCTTTCAGTTCCTTGCAACATGGAATAGCTCGCCCTGGCCTTGGCAGCCTGCCCTGGGACGACCTGACCCTGACCTGGTGCCCTGCAAGCAACGTCACTCAGTCACCTTATCACCGGCCATGCCATTTGTTAACTGTACCAGAACCACTGCTAGTGGTTGCCACGGAGATGCACACCGAATCTAGTGTATGTATTGCGGTTGCGAACCAAAGAAAGGTCTTACCTCCCTGTCAGGTACCGACCGGGCAGGGACCAGTACTTCCTCCCAAGCTTCGTGGCTCTGAAAGGTCATCAGCGGCATGGCCCACCCATTGAACTTACACTACTTCCTACCTACCTACCCACCACACCATATTACATACGTAGTGTACATGGCTCGTTCTTGATGGTGTTGAAGGCCAAGAGGTGATAGCTGGTACCTACTGCGTAGCTGGTCGGTGAGTTCGGATGCGGCAGCTGTCAATGATGCTATCGGGCATCATTTCTGCCCTTCTTTTCCGTACTGGGCGATGAAATTGATCTGAGCAGCGAAAATCGAAAGGGTCCCAACAAAGAAGGATCTGACCTGTGGAGAGCGCTGTTCATGGTCTACACTAACCCCCAGTCCTATGGGATGTACAGACCAAGTGGAAACAAACCTGGGTGCCCGGCTGCCCGGTGGACGACCGACGTCGTAGCACCCTGGTCGCATCTGGACAAGTTCTCTGATGGAGAGACATCACCAAGATCAGACTCCACTTTTTGTTTGGTGGGACAGCCGAGAACAAGCAACAAGGAACCTGGTCGACCTGGATGCCCGTGGAGTTGGAGTCCGACATGGGGCTCCAGACGAAAAAACACGCCCGGTTTGTTGTTTCCTTCCTGTTGTGGCTGGCCCGTTCCGTCAGTCGTCACTGCCCTGCCTGTCTGTCTGTGTAAGTGAAATTGATATAAACAGGAAGGCACGAGGTGCTACACCCAGTCGAGTCCTTTCCATCTTCCATCTCATCCAGCCTTGGCAATTCCCGCGTTTGTCTCACTTCGAAGGACTCAGACAACATTTAATTTGCACCACCCGACCGCCCTCTGCCCTCAAATCAGCTCGCCTTCACTTGCTCCCACCAAACAAAACCTACTTGGACCGCGACTTCTTGTCTCTTCCTCCTTCCGCACTCACCTTCAGCAATAATCCATCTCGGACCTAGTCGCCGCCGCCGCCTACAACCACACACTCAACCACCACACCAACATCTTTACATCCATCAAAATGAAGACCTCTGCTATCCTCGCTCTCACCGGCGCTCTTGCCGTCAGCGCCCAGTTCCCCGACAACTTCCCCAGCTGCGGTGTAAGTAGAGCCTCATGATGAACACTGGAGATGCCATGGGTCAAGAAAAACCATGTACTGACACCCCCACCCTTTAGACCCTCTGCGGCAACAACATGCTTGACAAGGCTGGCTCCGAGTTCCCTTGCGCCCGTGATGATGCTTCTTGCTTGTGCCAGCACGTCGACTTCGGCTACGGTGTTCGCGACTGCTCCATCGCTGTCTGCTCTGAGAACGACGCCGACACCACCATCAACTGGGCCAAGAAGTGGTGCGCCGATGCCGGAGTCGACCTCAACCTTTTCCCCGCCGCTGCTGTAAGTTTACGCATTTCATGGCTGAGACGCAGGCCATCACTAACAACCACATAGGGTCCTGGCGCTGGTGGCTCCATCCCCGGTGTGCCCACTACCACTACCACCGTGACCTCCGGCGTCAGCACTATCCCCTCCAGCACCGTCACTTCCGACGCTTCCTCTGACGGCGCCGGTGCCGGCGGCGCCGCTACCGCCATCACCACCAGCGAGTTCACTTCGACCTGGACCAGTGGCGACTCCACCGGTACCACCACCGGCACCACCACCATCTCTGGCATCTCTGGTGTTGCTGGCGCTACCTCGGTTCCCCAGACCACCGTCACCAGCGAGGTTGTCTCCACTGTCACCTCTGACAGCACCACCGTTGAGACCACTTTTAGCACCACTATGACCTCGTCCCTCACCGGCTCTGCCCTCAGCTCTGCCCTCCAGAGCCAGGCTAGCAGCACTTCCAGCCCTGGCGCTGTAAGTTTTTTTTTCCATTCTTCTATATTCTTTCGACCAAGATGCTAACAAACAACCTTTAGGCTCCTCACCAGACCGCCGCTCCCATCGCCGGTGTCCTCGCCGCCGCCGGTTTCGCCGCCATGCTTCTTTAAGCACCACATTCAGCAAATTTTTCCTCTATTGAGCGGACCTATTTGACTGACACGATTTGGAATGATGGGTTTTTTTAAACTAATGATGTGATGAATGGCGCCAAATCTTGATGACCTGAAAAAGAAAGGAGTCGGTCTGGTAGATGCTCTTGCATATATGTAAGACTCGGGGGGGTTGGTTTCTGCTTTTTTTCTACACTGTTACGCCTGGAGATGATACCATTGTGGTGGATTTAATCTTGGGAATGAAATGATGGATGATGGAAGGACGGGTTACTTAATGATTGATGTATGAACATTTTTTTCCATCCTGGCTCACTGGAATACGGTAGCCGGATGAAAAATAAATTAAGGATAGATGCTTAATCAACATCTTACAAAATACTTTGCATTGTCCCGTTTCGTGAGTTGGCAGGATATGAAGGGTCACCACTACGCATTCAATGCTCAACAAATAAAGCCAACATTTGATGATAGGAACGGGAGCTCTTTGTTCCTACTTAAAGTCAGCCATGTTTCCCACCACCAAGGGTGAACAACGAATGTAAAGCAAGTGGTTATGATGAAGTCAATGTATATTGCTCAATGCTGACATTGCGACGGGACGGGGAGTTCGCGATTATCGACACTCGCCGCTGTGTAGTTTACTGCGAGTTTAGGTACGTCCCATCAAGCTTCCATCCACACCACACACATCCATCCTTTTCACTTCTGATGTGAACCTCCCCGCCTACTAAGCTTAGCTTTCTTTCCACTGAATCAAGACATTCCCAGAACCCTACTCTACGACGCACGAATCTACAACAGTTACAAACGACCAATAACCCCCCACTCCCATCATAGGATCATTCATGCCTGTCTGTCGGGTATTAGCGTCGGATGGGGGAAAGGACAAAGATATCCAAGTCAGGTCTCCCGACCACCATAACCAATTTAACAAGGCGAGCATGAGCATCTTAAGCGTATGAAGAAGTAAGCAAGGTTGGTCAACCAAGAATACAAACAACTGAATGCTTTTAGATAAGAGACGAAAAGGAAGATATATCTTAAAACCTTGTTTTCTCAACAAGCCAGTGAGCAGTGAGCAGATCCAGTGTACCTAGCAAAGTAAAACACAAGATAAACTTTTGTTGGTAAGTGGTAGGTAAGTAGTTCATACAAGCCATGACATCGTGAACACCGGTTCCTTTTTTCCTTTTTTTTTTTTGCCCGCCCCCCCCCCCCCCCTTTTTCCTGTTTCCTGTTTCCTGTTTCCTGTTCCTGTTCCAACTTGCCGATCTCCTCCTCAAACACCTCGAGCACCTCCTCCTCAAGCATCGTTCTTACTCCGTTTGGCCTGTCCTCTACCATAGGCCCATCAAAATCTCCTCCGGCCGCTCCAGTCGCCTTCGTCCAGTCTCTCAGTCTGTTTGTTGTTTTCCCCAAAGATGAACGTTCGAACCCCGCCGGGCTAATGACTTCCGTTGGTCGTCGCGAACCTCGAATACCGCTGCGAATCCATCAACAGCTGCTGATCAGGCGTTTGCTCGTCTTCGTAGTACTCTTCTTCTTCAAGTTCGTCCTTGACGTGGACAGTATCATTTTGGTCTTCTTCGTTGTCGTCGTCGTCCTCCATATCCTCATCATCTTGGCCGACCTCTTCCATGACGACAGTTTGATCTTGATCTTGGTCCATCAGTTCTGGATCGACATCTTCGTCATCCTGTTGCTGTTGCTGTATCTGTAGCTGGCCGTTGTTCTTCTTCTGAGGACCGTTCCGTTGTCTTTGACCACCACCACTAACAGCAGGAGTGGGAGTCTGCGGCAGTCCAATTTGATGACCGTTCGTAGCGGCGGCGGCTGGCGTGGGGGTGTTGACGACAGCGGCAGCAGTAGTGGTAGTAGTGGTGGTAGTAGCAGCAGCCTGCTTCCCCCTCAACCCCTTCTTCAACTCCTTCCTCCTTGCTTCTCTCGCTGCTTTGAGCTGCGGATGGCGTTGCATGAACTTGGGTCCCCAGTGTTTTCCTACCGTTACGGTGGAGGTGGTTGTTGATCTTTCTTCCTGCGCTTCCTTACCCTCCTCCCCTTGTCCCTCTCCTTCTTTACCATCCTTGCCATCCTTAGCATCCTTACCATCCTTGCCATCCTTCCCTTCTTTTCCATCCTTCCCAACCACTTTCCTCCTCCCACCCCCACTTCCCCCTGCCCCCCTCTTCTGAATCATCCCCTGCCCCTGCGCCTGTCCCTCTTTCAACCCCACCTCCAAAACCCGATCAGCAAACCGTCGAATATCCTCCATCTTCACCGGCAACCCCAAATTCTCCTGCGCAAGCACCCACATGGCGATATTCTCCTCTTGCTCGGGCGTAAGCTTTTGCATCTCCCGCGAGGACGCCTCGTAAGAACGCTTGGCTTGTGGAGTCCCCTGGAAGTGGCGCTGCAAAGTGGAAAAGGGGATGGAGTGCGCTTGGGCGGCTTTGCGGATGGACAGACTCCCGGAAGAGACGGCGGCGATGGCGGCGGAGAATTGGGTGGGGGTGTATTGTTTTATGTGGGAGGTGGAGCGGGGGCCGGGCATTTTGGCGGTTATGGGAGGGTGGACTGTGAGGAAGACTGTGAGGGGGATAGAGGGGGATCAAAGGTGGATGAAGGGGTTGTGAGGGGGATGGTGAGAGAGAGTGGACAGGTCGATTTGGGGTGACTAGGTGGCTGATTCGGGATGGAGGTGGTGGAAGGTCCTATATCGCCAGTGAAGTTGAGGTCGAGAAGGTCTGTTGACAAGACTGAGTGAACTTTGGGTGGATTGACTGAAATTTCGCACTCAAAATCTGACGAGTTGGTTGGCGTGGTAAACTGACTATTCGGATATCGCGTGTAAGAGGTGTTGCTCGCTAAAGAGTTGGTTAGTTGCGTGACCTGACCAAAACAGAAACTTTTGTACGAAGGATGCTGACCGAGACTGAAATGAGGGGGATGAGAAACGTACCGGCGCCAACTAAGCAAGGATATACTGGTCAATTGTAGGAAGAAAGGTAGATGGCGAAAGTGGTGCCGGGGTCCAATCGTCAAGTGTCTCCGTCTCTGCTCGAGAAATCTTTTTAGAAAAAAAAAAAAAAGTCAAGGTATGATTGAACAAATGGACGAGCGCTAACATTTCCGTCAGTGGCACCACGCAAATCCTGCTAGTGACCCAAGATGTTGCGGCGCCACTTGAATCAGGCAACCCTTGACCAGAGCACGTGACCTGGCGCATCTGTCGCGCCTCTGGGTTGGCCCGCCAGCACTAAAGAGGTCCACTAAAAGTGTACCCTGCGTCGCCCGTCTGCTTGCCTACGAAGAGAGAGGTACGTGCACCTGACGTCTCGGCGTCTTGCTCTTTGTCGCGTGAACAACAAACTTTTGCTTGTCCTTTTCACGGATTGATCAGTTACGATATCTTCACCATCTTCATTTTGAACTGATACAGTTGTCAAAACACACTCATCCGAATACTTACTTCAATATCACCAACTCACATTCTCAATTCCGAGCTCCACCCACCTGACGTCATCCGCCACAGCAGCATTCAAAACACGGAACCTTCGCGTCAACGACACACCCAAAGGCAAGCACAGCTCAACACAAACATAACAAGACCACTCAACCACCAGGACTCCATCCAAAATGCCAGTCACACGCAAATCAACTCGCTCTCGTGGAGGCGCCGCCGCCTCTGCCCAAGGCAAACAGCAGACGCTCTCCTTCCACCACCGCGTCACCAAGCCGACCGTCAAAACAGGCAAAGACCTCATCAAAGAGGAGGAAGCACCTGAGACCGCAACCAAGACCAAGACCAAGGACATCAAGGTCGAAGAGGAAGCCATTAAAGAACCCGAGCCTAGCGAGTCGGAAGAGGAGGAGGAGCACGAGAAGAAGAAGAAGAAGAAGCAGCCACATGCCAAGGTGAAGAAGCCTGCAAAGAAAGCCGCGACTAAGCACGTCAAGGAAGAAACCAGGCAGGAGGAACCCAAGCAGCAGGAGAAAGAGGATGAACCAAAGAGAAGCGAAATCGAACTCTGCGCCCTTGAGATCCCGCAATCTGCCATTGATGCTTATTGGAACAAGATCGACTCGGCGCGCATGGCGCCGGCTGTGCACAAGAAGCATACGCAGGACTTGACGACAGGGGAGAAGGTTCTTAGGTATTTTGATGTTAGTAGTCATTATGGTGTAAGTGTCAACCTCTCTCTACTCTTTTGTGACTTGGGAAGTGGATGGGGACAAAGCTGACTGGATATGTAGCCTTGCATCGGAATTACTCGTCTCAAGCGCTGGCAGAGGGCAGAGAAACTGGGACTTAACCCCCCTCTTGAAGTCTTGGCGGTCTTGTTGAAGGAGGGAGAGGGCGAAAATAAGGCTAGTGAAAGAGCGCATATGGATGAGTTGATGAACAGCGTTTCTACTGGTCCTTGATCACAAGGTCTCCTTCGGCATTTGAAGGCCAGTCTGGAAGTTCATCAAGCGCAGGATCCTACAGGTATGGATTGGGATGGGTTGGGATACGAGTCACAGTACACACAGTTTTAGCTGGGTTGGCGAGGCGTTCATGGGGAATTGGTTTGCGGAAGATAGTCTACGTTGGGTATGGACATGAAGTAACATGGGAAATGGGATTTGGGTCGGATTTCGAGTTGTATCGAAGCTATCACATGTCAACGATGCGCAAAGTACTCTATAGCTTGTCTTTTCTCTAGGATCGATGTTCTGAAAGAAATCTAGGTGTATGCGTCCTCGTTTTGTCTGATCTATTTTTCTTTCTCTTTACGGGTTTCTCCCTCGTATTCCCCTTTCTTGTCCTTTCCTTTCCTTACCATTTCTCCGATGCCGTCCTATATCCAGTCTAGGCCCACCACATCCTTCCTCTAATACCAAATACTCCTCGTCCTATGATGCGGGATCCTCTCCCCGCCCTCCTTCTCCAACTCCTTGACAGCATCATACAAAAAGAAATCAATCAACACCGCATTCACTTTTCCTTTCGCCTCCGGATGCTCCCTAATGATCTCCCTCCTAATCAGCTCCACGCACCAGATACTGCAGGCCCTCAACTGCATCTCCCACTCGCCACCATGCTCAATCATCTTCTTCTCGCGCACCGCCGCCTCCAGCGTGGGACCGTACAAGAGGCAACCGAGCTGCCACAACATTTGCGGGACGCGGTAGTCGGCAAACATGGTGATTTTGTCAATGTCCGCAAAGGATCCATAAGATTGGCCTTCGAAACAGGCCCACAGGTCAGCGACAAGGATTTGTGCGCGCTTGAGGATGCGGATGGGTTGACGCCGGCCGGGGTAGGAGTGTATGTCAGCGAAACAAGGGAAATCGGAAGCGAGGAGGTTGACGAGGGCTGCGGCGGAGCCGTTCGCTTCTTCGATGAGGTCCAGGACAGACCCATCGTATTTCTCGTGGAGGACTTGGCCGGCTTCACGGAGACAGTCGAATCGTTCTTGTAGGAGGGGGATCTCCTCGTCTGTGGCGGACCGGAAGACGGTGCGGAGGACGTCTGGGGTGAATTTTTCGTCATTGATCCAGAATGCGGGATCGGTGATGGGGATTCCTGGACGAGAAAAAAGCATACCGGTGTCAATGAAGGTTCTTTTGTATTTTTTGTTACATAACTATGATACAACACCGACATCATCATCATCGTCATCTTTTTCCTCAGTAGCAAAAACTTCAAGAACAAGAAAGACCAACCTTCCTCTAACCCCCTCTGCAACGCCGCCACCAAACTCCAGTACCCCGTCCACCTCTTTCCTCTATACTCCACCTGGAACCGGTCTTCCTCGCTCTTCTCGCTCCAAAACGAAAAGTTGAGCAGATCCATGGTAAAGATGAACTGGACCGTCTCCTCATTTTTTTCCTTGGGGTGGAGCTCGTGCGTCGACCAAGTGGCGGGCGAGTACTCCCGCTGCTGCATCTGGTCCCAGATGGTGTTGGCGGCCTTTTTGCACCCGCGCATGTCCAGGGCCACGTCGATGGCGTGGTTGTAGACGAACTCGGCAGAGTCTAGAACGCCTGTCTCGGCGGCGGTTGGGGACGGTTGTTTGCCGTTGAGGTGTTGACGCAGGAGCTCGAGGAGCTCGGGGTCGGGTTGGTCTTCGTCCGAGGAGTAGGACATTTTTTGGTTCACGGGGGTGGTGGTGGTGTGGATGAGATGGGATGTGTAGGGAATTAGGGGAGAATGGAAAAATAATAGAGGGATTAAGAAGAAACGAGTGATGGGTTGAGATTTTGAAGAAAAGGGTTGAAGAGGTCTGAGGAAGGGGGTCAGGGCGGAGGGAGTGGGAAAACGGAAAGGTTGCATTTTGTGAGTTTGGCACTGACTGTTGGTACGGGGGCAAGGTTAACCCTGAGATATGGGTTGACTGACTCCTACTTGGGATACGATATATCCTTAGCTCGAAGGGGAAAAACAAACGGTCAAGTTTACGGTGAGCAATATGATATCCTAGATTCCGTCTTGCTCACCCTACCTCTCCGGAGTACATACCTACTATTCTATCCAACCATTCAGACCAGCCAATCTTTCTTTGTCTGCATGTTCCTCTTTTGACTTGTTCAGGGTTATGTATGGGTGGACCCCCCACCGCAACACAAAAACCAAAGTGGTTGCAGCTTGCAGCAGGGCGACCAATAAGACCCGGCACTTGCCGTGTGCCTGCCGGTCGAAGGATCGTCCAAGCCAACCCCGGAATCGTTTTTAGCGTGTCGCTGGAGTTATGACGCGCTACCAGCAAGTGCTGAAGTCTTGACCTGGAAGGAACTCCGGTCTGCTTGTCGCCGATTCAGCGCCTGGTGGTTGCAACTTTCAACTGACTTTGCATCCACGAGGCTGAACTTCTTCAATTTCCGCTTCAATTTTCTTCCCCTCTTTCTGCTCTGGGCTTCATATTGTCCTGGGTATACAGTGACCGCCCGCTCAACGTGAAATAATACACCCCGAACCACACCTTCAAGCCTGGTCGCACCTCTTGCTACTCGGGCGCAAGCCTCCTCACAATTCTCGCGATGGATCCCACGATGGGCAATCCCATGGTCCCCATGACGGCGCAAATACCAGGACCAGTTGCCCAGCCGATTCCCTTGCCGGTGTTGACGCGGGACAGCTACAATTCGCAATCATTAGGGCGGTCTTTGAATGCAAATGTCAAGCAGGTACGTGCCTTCCATGACGGGACATGTTGAACCTTTCCGTCGCTTTCATCCCAAGTCGTCTCCTCGGCAACAAGTGAAGGCTTCAAATGCTGTCGCAATTCCCGTCGCAACTGGCATCGCTCGGATTGCTATAGGATTTCATTCCGAACGCCCCTCCAATTCCAAATCTACGCTTCCTTCCTGCCTTCGTCGCGCCAACGACCATCATGGCTTCCAAGTTGACGGCCGAAGCGGTTCTCGCGGTAGCTCCCGCAGAAACCCCCGAGACTCTGCTAACTGCCACCTCACAGGCGCGCGTGCTTATGGTAGGCGCCGGCGGCATCGGCTGCGAACTCCTCAAGAACCTCGTCCTTACCGGCTTCGGTGAAGTCCACGTCGTCGATCTCGACACCATCGATCTCTCGAACCTCAACCGCCAGTTTCTCTTTCGTCACGAACATATCAAAAAGTCCAAAGCTCTAGTAGCTAAGGAGGCTGCGCAAAAGTTTAACCCCGCTGTCAAGATTGTCGCCCATCATGCGAACATCAAAGACGCGCAGTTCAACATCGAGTGGTTTAGCAGTTTCCGGATAGTCTTCAACGCTCTCGACAACCTCGAAGCCCGTCGCCATGTCAACAAGATGTGTCTTGCCGCCGACGTCCCCCTCATCGAAAGTGGAACAACTGGCTTCAACGGCCAGGTACAAGTCATCAAAAAGGGTGTCACAGCCTGCTACGATTGCGCGCCCAAGGAGACGCCAAAGTCATTCCCCGTATGCACGATTCGCAGTACACCGAGCCAGCCTATTCACTGTATAGTGTGGGGCAAGAGCTACCTACTCAACGAAATCTTCGGAGCGAGCGAAGACGAGTCCGCTTTCGATCATACTGTTGATGGCGATAATGCGCAGGAGATTGAAGAGCTCAAACGCGAGTCGGCGGCGCTACGAAAGATCAGGAATTCCGTGGGTACAGAAGAGTTCGCGCAGATGCTTTTTGAAAAGGTGTTCAAGACGGATATTGAGCGTCTGCGCTCAATGGAGGACATGTGGAAGACGCGCAAGCCGCCTGAGCCACTCAACTATAAGGAACTTCTCGAGAAGGCCAAGTCGCTCGACAAGGAGAAGGTGCTCAAAGACGCGCAGAAAGTGTGGTCGCTGGAAGAGAATCTCGTCGTCTTCAATGACAGTCTCGAGCGACTTAGCAAGAGGGTTCTGGAGAGCAAGAGCGCCGGCGAAGAGTCCATCATCACCTTTGACAAAGACGATGAGGATACCCTGGACTTTGTCGCCGCGAGCGCCAACATCCGCTCAGCGGTGTTCGGTATTGACAGAAAGTCAAAGTTCGACATTAAGCAGATGGCCGGCAACATTATCCCTGCCATTGCGACAACGAACGCCATCGTCGCTGGTCTTTGCGTGCTGGAGGCATTCAAGGTCTTAAAGGGCCACTACGAGCAGGCCAAGGAAGTTTTCCTTACGCCATTTGCTAATGCACGTATGTTGGCGTCCGACAAGTCACGGGAGCCTAATCCTGATTGTCCGGTCTGCGGTGTCTACCAGACGAGGGCGTATGTCGATTTGGAGAAGGCGACGTTGAACGATCTGGTAGAACACTTGATCAAGACGAATCTGGGGTATGGCGAGAAGGATTTCGCTATTAGTAATGAGGTCGGCATTCTGTACGACCCTGATGAGACGGATAATTTGGAGAAGAAGCTTTCGGAGCTGGGTATGTTCTTTTGCTACTCATACCACAATGGAAGTTGCTAACATCGTCCAGGCATCAAATCCGACTCATTCTTGACCATCACCGACGAAGACGATGAGGAGCCTTTCGTCAACGTCGTCATTGCCATCCAAGAAGCGTACGTCCCCATTTTCTCTCCCATGTTCGTAACTAACACCCTTAAAGCAAGGAGCCTCTAGGTGACAAGCCAGTCAAGGGCATTCTCGACCCAGAGGACGTCAAGATTCCACTCAAGCCCAAGAAGCAGCCGCAGCCTGAGCCAGTGGCCACGCCGACAGCTGCCACCAACGGAGCCAGCACATCCAACGGCCAGAACGGAGGAGTCATCAACCTCGATGGCGATGAGCCAATGACGACACCAGCCAAGACTCTCAAGCGTGGTCACCCCGAAGACGCAGAGGGTCCATCGGTCAAGAAGATCAAGGCCAACGACAAGGCGGCGGATGACGATATCGTCTTTATCGAGGATAGTGCGGGAGCTATCGTTATTGATGATGACTGATCGTCCATCACCCCTTTGCCGTGTCTTGCGCGCGGTTCATTATTGCTATCGTAGGCCGTAGTTATGGTCGGTATATACTATGATTACCACATGGCTTGCTATTCTTGCTATGCTAGCCACAGATACCCACGGGAAGCGGTGTGTCGTTTCAGACAGCACTTAACCCCCCATCAAGATTCAGTACGCAGTTGTTTGCATACGGGTTCTTGATAAGGAAGAGGGCGGCGTCGGCGACTTCATCTGTTGTTCCGAAGCGGCCTAGGGGAATTTGTTGGAGGATGGAAGGGTTTTTGAGACCTAGACGAGATGAAGAAATGTCAGTCGGGTATTCAGGTGCGATGATCTTGAAGGACTAGGTAGTCAGATGAGATGATCTAAGCTCCTTGAGACATTTGCGATTTTCCATTCTAGCTGGGCGTAAGGGACTAAATAGGGAACAAAATGGATTGAAGATCAAGGGGCATAAACGATGATGATTGTGTAGATTCTTGTTTAGAAGACTTCTGGTTGATGATGAGGATTTGTTCTTCGATCTCACTGTTGGTTCTACTGCTTCTTGTAGGACTTTGAACCAATGATAGTTGGTATGGGTTGAATGGATCGGTGTGTATTTCAATTCAAGAGTGGATTGAAGGCCTTTCTTGTTGTTCTCCCTGTCTGGCTGGAAATGGACCTATAGATGGTCTGCAACTTCTCACCACAGAGCGCATCTCCCAGGTGTATTCAACATCCCATGCAGATAGAACAACAGCCTAATTTGAAAGATTTCAAAAAGTGAGAGTACAGGATGATCATTGTGATTGTCGGTCCACGGTTACGCTCGACGCACGAATGGAATGGGATATCATTGCATGATAAGAGCAAAAATAGGACAAAAAAAGAGAGAGAAAAGAAAGGCAGATGAACTTACCGGTAGTCATGTCTGTCTCGATGTACCCGGGCAGAACGGCGTTGACTCTTATCCCGGATCTGCCGTACTCGTGTGCCAGGGAGGTTGTTAAGCCTGTTTGGTGTCGTTTGTGTTAGCCAGTGTGCTCAGCCTTTTTCGTGGTCCCTATCGCTTTGATTCCCAGATGTTATGTCCCTCCCCTTGCTCTTCCCTCCTGCCTTTTAATGTCTACCCATCCACCCTCTTAATCCATACACCGTTCCTCGCCCTTGGCCTTCTCATCAATCCATGACCGTACCCGTCCGTTCCTTTCAACTCCCTCTCTCTTGAATCCTGTATCTTTTTCCCATCCTTACTTGCCCCAACCACCAATCAAACCCAACGCGATACCAAGGAAAGAGTGAGAGATAAATAAAACTCACCAACAACCCCCGCCTTCGCAGCCGCATAGACACTCGTCCCAATCACCCCCTTTTGCGCAAGTAGACTCGCCACGTTGATGATTACTCCCCTTTCTTGTACCCCTTCTTTTACCCCTTCTTGCGTCCCTTGTCCTTTGTCCTCTTGGTCTGCTCCCCCCTTAGAGGTACTAGAGCTACTCCGATTCCTAAGCATCGCCCTCCCCACAAACTTACACCCCAACACAGTCCCTCGCAAATTCGTATCCAACAACCCCTCCACTTCCTCGACAGGAGTCTTCATTAATGGACTCCGTTGCGTGATGCCTGCGCAGTTGATGAGGATGTCTATCCTCCCCCCTTTTAAATTACTCTGCAATAGGTCCTCCCAGGATGAAGCGCTAGTGACGTTTAGGGGGTGGTAGGATACCCTCTTTGTGTCTGATGGTTGGTGGGATGGGGCTGAAGCTGAAGCTGGGCTTGATGCTGAGACTGAGGAATCATTTGGGACTGAGGCTGAGGTGGGTGATGGTGGTGGGTGGGAAGGTCGGGATGGGTAAGATAAAATGTATGATTGAGCGCGCTGAAGGGTGGATTCGGTCCTCCCCAAGAGAGTCACGGAGCAGCCTTCGAGGTAGAGACGGCGGGCGATGGCGAGACCGATGCCGGAGCCGCCGCCGGTTATGAGGGCTTGTTTGTGTAGGAGGGAGCGCATCTCGCGTTTGGAGAGTTGGCCTGGGGAAGACGGTGTTGGGAGTTGGGCGTGAAGTTTTGGTGGTTTATGGTGCGGTGGTGGATGGATGGATGAGTGACTAGAACAAGTTGTTGTGAGTGCAGTGAGTGGTGACGACGGTCTGGTCTTGGCGTTGATTGAACCGCTTGTCAAAAGCCGGGACCAACAAAGGTGGAGATGCCGCAAAGCACCGTCATCAAGGCGGACATGACGGCCAAACGCATTGACCACGATCCACTCCCGTCCGTCTCCCGCGCAACGTGGTTGCTGACCCGAGGCCAGCCCCGTTCCCGTTCCAGGCCCCACTCCCTCCGGGGACCCTAACCCTGTTCTTTTTCCACCGTCCGGGTTCCACAATGCCCACGGTGTCCGCCCACCACCATTATTTATTCCCGTTCGGGACCTACCGGGGGCTCCAAACCCTGACCGGGATGTGCATGACGGCTTCCCTCGTCGTAACGAAGTAACCGAAGTCCCGTACGGTTGGTAAGTAATTCCCGTATGTAAATCCCGTAGCAGCTCCGTGTGTATGTATATTTCAGTAAGTCCCTTTGTTCTCCGTTACCGGCCGGCATCTCTTCCGGGTCAACTTGTTGTTCTCCTGCTTTTTTGGTCTCGGTTTCGCTTCTTGGAACTCTCTCTCAGCTGTCTGTCAGTCTGTCTGTCTTTTGCCATTAACAACTGCAGCAGACCTCATTGATGTACAGGCGTCAGGCGTACATATAGACGATGCTATGCTATGCCATGCTGTGCTATGCCATGCTATGCTATGCTATGCGAGGGATGCGGGCTTCACCGCTTCACTTGGCTTTTGCTTCTGCTTCTGCCGCATGCCTATCGCATGCAAATCCGTAGCTCGCTTATCGGCTGCCGTCGGTTTGTTAATGGCCGGTTTCGAGTATCGCCAGATTAATACTTACGTTTAGATACTGCCAACCGCCGTTCCGTGTACGGAAGAGGTTCATACATCTCGGCTCCGGCACCAGTCACATACGATGCATCACCGGTCTCTCCGTCCGTCCGTCCGTCCGTCCGCCCGTCCGGGTCGGCTATCACTTACCATGGCAGTTTCCTGCTGAAACCTTCCATGAGTCGTGAGTCAACCAGTCAGACTGCCCCAAGAGATTATCAATCGCATTACTCAATCAACGAGCTTGTGATTGTCAAAGTTACGAAGCATTCAATGCTTGAACGAAACCCCCCTTGCTTACTTGCTTGCTTGCTTGCTTGCAAAGAAGGAAGGGACCTGAGTGGCCCTCACCAATGCCACGTCGACTGCACATCGCGTTCCATCGCTTTCCTTATTAAGCTGCTAGACTAGTAGACCTGCGCAAGCTTCCTACACTAAAACAACGCAGGGACAGGTAGACTTAGGTAGTAATCACTGCAGGGACATGGAGCATGCGTCCGGACGGGTTTCCTTTCCGTACCATTTCTTTTCACTTGGGGTTTGCGAGTGGTCATTTTGCCTGCTATATCGTCGCATTTACGCTGGAACTTTAATTTATGCAGAGCTTGCTTACGCTATGATAGTAAGTGAGTCAAGCTCGCGGGTATTACTTTGAATACAATCCCAGCTCGATAGGTAGGTACTTACATGGTAATCGTGTAAAATTTAGGAACCGCGCCCAAAGAACACAAGGGAGTTTGTTTACTCACCCTCCTGCCTGAACTCCCCGCCCGAGCTTCACTGGGGACGATCCGTCAGATTGTAATAGTCCTCTGAGTCACTCACTGTCCCTGTGTCACCAACTTTGTTTTGCTAAAGACTGTGAACTTGACTGTGTGTAAGTGGAATACCATGTATCAGACCCCGAAATGTCGGTATCTTTCCGGTTTCATTGCAATAATTTTTTCCCCCTTTTTGGGGATGCTTTTTGCACTTCGGTGGTGAAGTTAACATCTATTGTCCATACCACCGATTCGAATTCTCATTTCCACGATTCGGGACCGACGATGGAGTTGATGGAGTTTCTCAACATAGATTGACTTTCACATCAGCCCGTCCCGTCCCGCCCTGTCACGTCCCGATGTCAAAAACTCTTTTGGGTACCGAAACGTCCTGTATGGTCTATCACGACTCAAGAAATGTTCCTAGCCTGAGGCACCTTCCAGCGGAACTGGATGAAGTTATTCGTAGGGCTTGTTGACTCACGAATATAGATGCCGTGAACCTAAATGAGATCAACTCAGATCAGACCTTCGTATCGAACCCCGTTATCAGATCGAGACCCCGTTCCGCTTATGTACAAGCACTTAATCTCGAGATTTACAAGTGTACAACAAACATCCCACACCAACATCACCAGATTCACCGGTCAACCCTTTCACCCCAGATACTGAAACCCGATCTTGATCTTATCTACCCATCAACGTCGTGGCCCGTCCATCCATTCAGCCCGATCCGGTACCGACAGACCCCGATGGATCGAGATCAGTTGGTTCCAAATTCCGAATCTATTTTGAACCCTTACAAATTACGGCATCTTCGTCTCATCGCATATCGCCTACATATAGGTAAAGGTACCTATGTCTTACCTTGCACTTGCCTTGCCTCGCCTTATCAACATGCACCTCCGTCCAAAAAGAGAAAGGGGAGGATACCTAGGTAGAGGTACGGTAGTGCCATCTCAGCTTTGCTACTCTGCTGCTCTGCTTGATTTAGTAGATATCGGGTTGCTTGCTGACTGTATGTAAGGCTGAGGCATGTCAAGAGTCAAAACTCAAAGTTATGATATAGAGGGAGAGAACTGAACGATGAATGGATGGATGGATGGCTGGTTGGTTGGTACTTGTGGTACTGTACTTATTTTACGGTTGGTTACCACCGGAACGAAAGTGATGAAAAATGACAGACTTTCAACATTACAAATCTTATTGTTCAAATCTACTGGTCCCAACTCCCTCGTCTTCCAATCATGTACTATGGTGAGATGGGTAAGTTAAACCCGTGGATCAGGTCGTTGAACACACAGTGCCCACGAAGCTTTGGCTTTGGTGGTCTGTGCAAGATACCTGACAGGAAGGTAAAACTTTGGCTCGCAACCGCAGTATATCAGGAAGCTACCTATGTAATGTAGTACAGACAGAAAGGACTAAAATAGCGAAGTAGCCGCATCGACAGCTCAAATACTATCACTTGCCCCTTCTAGGTATGATTCCCGAAATAGGAATCCATACGCCCACTCGCCCACTCGCCCACTCGCCCACTTCGCCCACGATGATACCTCATGATAAAGACATGATACTTCTACCTCTACCGATAACGATCTATGATGCAATGCCCCCTCTCCCATCATTTCCCATCCTTCCCAAACAGAAGCCAAGAAGCTACCTACCTAAGAAACTAGGTAATTAATGGTGAAACGCTGATCAGATAAGATAATATGATACTAGGGCCCCTGGTGGGTTACGTCTAGAGGTTGATAAGGGGACCTGAGCCGGGCCTCGTGGCGAGGTGATAGCACAGGAGTGGCCTGGCGACAACTGTACATACTATAGTAGTAGTCCAGTAAGGTGTAAATTCACAAAAACTATTACAGATACAGGTATATACTGAAGAGAAAAAGAGAAGAAAGGTGGAAATATAATGGTGTTGGGCGACAGCGAGAGGAAAAAGAGAAACGGTGTAACGAGATGAAACTGAACAGAAAGTTTTCTTTTCATTTTCCACTTTCTTCCATTTCGTTCCATTTCGTTACTTCCTCCTAAGTGATCACATCCAGACATCTACATCCAGACTCAGACTCCGGCGTAGACTGAAACAACTCAGGCAGGCTCCAATTTATCCACCCCGAGCATACACCACCTACGTACTACCTAGATACTCCCTACCAAATCCCACACGTCTCGAAATTACCTCTGATAGGTAGGTTCTTTAACCCTTATTCTTTACCTGTCTGCCTACCTGCCCGCCAAGCTCCCATGAAGCCTGTACCATAACCCTCAACCACGCACCCACTGCAGTGGGAAACAAAACATGAAACAACACCTGGCTTTAATCCAGATGCCGATCCAGATGCAGATCCTGATCCAGAAGCGAGTACATACATCGGGCCGCAGCCACGGACGGCGGCGATTCACCATACTCAAATGACTGGCTGGATGGCTCCCGTCGACGTGGGGGATCATGAATGCCCTGGAGTACGACGACTGTGACGATCTTGACACCTGCCATTTTGCTATCCATCCGTTTAAGTTTAGGTTGGTATCGTTTCCACGTTGCGGTACAGTGTAGGGGTAGGTTGCTTCGTTGCCCTGATTACCTAAATACGGTACGGCACGTATCAGGTCTTCTTCCTTCCTTCTTTGCTTCATTCCTTCCTGCCAGTTCTGCAGTGCTGCAGTGCCCTTCAGTGCCCTTCAGTGCTTTAGTTGATTTCCGTTGTCCCTCTCCTTCGATCTGAGTGCCTGGTGATCCGAGTAGTGTACACGCAGTGATCTGAATAAGCAAGCCACATCATTCCCTCCAACCAACCGGGCAACTCCCGACGAGCCCAGCGAGCCCAGGGGCAGCAAGGAGCCCAGCTACCCGATCAACCTACACTAAAGACGGGAGCCACTGAAGAAAGGCAGCCCAGCCCATCCCACCCCAGCCCAGACAGCAACTGAGAACTGAGTTGTCCTGTTCCCCGTTCTCCTGTTCCCCATTATTCCGAATATCGCCGTTTCAGATCCCATCGATAAGCCTTTTCCAACGTCCTATGTACACTACCCGATTCGTCCGTCCAGTGTCCAGTGTCCTGTGTCCAGTGTCCAGTGTCCAATGTCCAATGTGACATGTGTCTCTCTCGTCGTTATCCGTCCCTTGCATTGATATCCATACCATATCTGCCTGACCAAACAAATTAACAATTCAAAAATTGTGGGAAATGGTGACATCCCATGGATGCCACGCCACGTGTCGATCGACTGGTCGGTCGGTCGGTCGGTTGTCCGGCTGTTGAAATTCCTCCCTGTCGTAACGGTTACGGTCGTAACGCCTCTGGCCGGATCCATTCCACACCAATCAATATACGTTTCAAAAGACGCGCGCTCCGTAAGGCTTGGTCTTGTTCCTTCCCGCATTTTCTTGCCCTGCCCTGTCCTGCCCTGTCCTACCCTGTCCTGTCCTGCCCTGTCCTGCCCTGTCCTGCCTGCCCTGTTCTGCCCTGCTCTGCTTGTTGCATTTGTGTGTGTGTGTGTCTGTGTGGGTCGTTTGATGTCGTGGTCAAAGTAAGATTTCGTCCTCTGTCAGGTCAGTTTTCGATCATTTGTTTCATTTCCTCGTGATGGTCGTTTCGTGTTCTCTGTGTCCTTTGTAAGTTTGATTACCATCTGTCACGAGTATCACATCGCTGGTGTCGAGCAATTTCGTTTCCGCTTGTGTCTGCTTTGACCTAGAGATGAGTGTAATGCAATGACCAGAGGTGCCAAACCCTGACTTGAAATGTAGGTAATCAACGAAGAAGAGATGCCAACCTCTCTCTCCTGTAACTGCAGCGCTGATGTGAATTGAAAGGGTTGCCAAACCCTATCTGTCATGAAACCAACGCTGAAATGCAATGAACATAGCAGAGGTGCCACCCTCAAGCTAAGATCCCCTACTGACGAAAAGCCTCTGCCCCTACGTGATGATGATACGTTCGTTACCCCAGACGAGGGTTAAAAAGACAAGACAATGCGTGTGTGTGCGTGTGCAAAAAGGCCTCTGATTGGAAAGGCCCCATCTATACTTCAATGTTCTCTTCGTAGTCGGTATTTGCACAAAATAAGGTTATTCTGGTCGCTTTCCTCCCGCCTCCGTAACTCTGACCAGTAACCAATGCCTTCTCCCCCTCAAACGGGATGGGATCATGATGTAAACAATTCATACAATGCTTTGCTCCTCCATGCTAATAAAGTAAAACCGCGAGTTGATGCTGTTCCCTTTGCCCTTGCCGTGCTGTTCCCATGCTAACGTCTCCTTTACTGCTGGTGATGGTAATGATGATGATGTAAAAAAAGAAGTAAAATATAGACGAAGAAGAAGAAAAAAGGATAGCAATGAAAGCCAGAGAAAATAAACCACTGCATTCTGGCACAGCTGCACTAAAGTAACAAAGCTCAGTCGCTCTCCACAACGAGCTTCTTGGCAGTATCTGTGCTTCCCACGCTAGCATTGGTGTCCCGACGCCTCGTGCCATTGACCAATCTTCCCATGGAAATGGGCTCCCTGGAAGTCAATGCAGGTGAAGGAGAAGAGATTGTTGGGCTCTTCTTGCGCCTAGCCATGACCAGCCCTTCATCACTATCGCTGTCGTCATCGTCATGGTGACTGCGATAGTATTGACTCTTTGCCCGCACATGAGACATGGGGTTGTGCTTAACGGCCGGCTTGTTATCAGCCACACAAACGGGCACAGCCGTTGGTGTAACCTGCTCCTGCTGCTCTTCAAGCGGGAAACCAGCCACAGGCTCCTTTGAGAAAGCTGGAGGTGTAAGAGAGTCAGTTGTGTCGATCAACGATGACCGACAGACCACTCCTGGGTTGCCGAGGAACTCGCCTTCTGGGTCCGCGGACACAGAGCTGGTGCTGCTGAGCAGAGCTGGAAGAGAAGGGTCAGACTGGAAGGCTAGGATCTGCTCCACAGCGTCTTTCGTTAGACTCTGCTTGGAGCTATACCGCGGGCTCGCTGCCTCGCTAGGACTCGTTAGCGGGGAGGTCAAAGCTCCCATGGATGTAGTGCTAGACCAGACGATCGTGCCTTGGCGAGATTGTGCCCTGCTGAACATGTTATCTCCGGGCGAAGGAGGGCACGGAACAGATGCGGGTTCGGCGGCATAATACTCGTGGTTTCCTCTTAAGGTGTGATTGTCGGGATCTTGCGCTAGGGGAAGCTGTTTATTCAGAGCCGCACTGATGAAGTCTTCGATCCGGTGTGCTGTCTGTGGACGTTCATCGAGTTCAACCATCGGACGTTGTCGGTCGACAATGTGGCTTTCAGATTGGTGGTGGTGATGGTGGAAGTTGCTGGTACCGGGCGTAGGGGGCGGCAGGCTCTGCTCCTCCGACTGCTCCGAGACCTTTGCAAGGTCAATCGAATGCGTGATACGTGGTCTTTGAGGCATCTGAACATTGCCGGGTGCAACAGCAGTGCTAAGAGCGACCCTAGGTCCAGCCCGTTTGTCGTCACTAGCAAAAAACCCCCGATCAACGGAACGTGCTCGGCTGGTATCATCAGCGGGAGGCTTCATGTCCCGGGTCTTCCTGAGAGCGTTGCAGGGGTCTTCGGGTGCGATGCCATAGAGAGGAGTAGGTGGTACGGTTTGACAGTGGTTCGGTACAAAGCCTGTCGTGGGGGTAAGGCTTAAAAAAGTGTTGGTAGCGGATCGGGCGTGGCCACGGTCTCGTAGTTTCATGGAAGTGCGATCGGGCAACTCGTCTCGTTCTCGATTAAAAAACTCGCGTAGTTGACGTGTGGTCGAGTGTTTGCTGACGGCCGAGGTCGAGGGCTCTGGCACGGCTGAAGCCGGGGAGCCTCCAAGTGGCGAGTGTGATGGGCTCGCAGTGACACTCTGAGTCAACGGGTGCGACCCTGTCGAGTATTGCGAAAGGTTGGAAAAATAATCGTCGGGGCGTAAGCTTTTGCGCCGCCCGTCACGCACTCCAGGGGTGGGTATGCCGACGGCGGGGCTTTCCGCCGATGAGCTGGCAGCGCTGCTCGTGGCACGTTTGCGTGAAGACACGCTCTCTGAGCGATCTCCCCTGTGCGTGAACTTGGTCACCGTCTTCTTGAAAGCCAACTTGGCCCGCTCGACAAATGTAAGGGGCACAACGGCTTGAGTAATATCGCGTTCGTCGACTTGGATTCTCCTACCTGCCGTGCGTCGAGACGGATCGGTATCATCCAGCCAGGCTATGACATTATCAATGTCCTTAAGGACCCATGGATGTCTCTTGACATCACGCAGGCGGATCCGCTTCTCGGGGTTCTTGGTCAACATCTTGCTGAGCAGGTCGTAGAGGTCGTTATCAATCTCTTCGTATAAGGGCTCGTCATCGTTACGATACGGATCGCGGTTAACTCGCGTGTACAGGGACTTTTCGTCGGGTTTGGTGGAAGGATCGACGGGGCGGAGGCGCTGTCTCGGAATGTAGATGTCTTCGGTAGCAATCTTCTTGAACATGCGCCACTCGTCCTCCGCCAGGAAGGGGATGCGGGCAAAGATCAAGCAGTAAAGGGTAACGCCTAGAGACCACACATCAATCTGCTCGGTGATCTTGGGCTGCTGGCCAGGTCGGTCATCGTAGGTGTCGGTGTAACAGAGCTCGGGAGCAAAGAAAGCAGGGGTGCCGACCGTCTTGGCCAGTTCAAGGTCGTTATCGAAGTCGCGGGCTTCCGACTCGGAAACAGGCTCATCGGGCTCACCATCGCGGAGGGGCCGTCCAAAGTAGGAGACGCCGAAGTCGGAGATCTTGACTCGGTGATCCTTGGTGCAAAGCAGGTTGGCAGGCTTGATGTCACGGTGGACAACGCCTTCATAATGGAGGTACTCAAGACCGAGGACGGTGTCGCGGAAGGCCGACCTGGCCTTGTCGATTGTGAAGCAGGGTACATACGAGTAATCGTCAACGAAAGGGTCGTGCACTCTGTTGTAGTCAACCGACGACATGTGAGACAGGATGGAGTCGGCCATGCTGGGAGACCTCTTGCGGAGGCTGGGTTCATTCTCGCGGGGGGCGAACAGCGAGTCCTCAACCGCCGAATCCTGGTTGATGTGTGAGTGTCCATGGGGCGTCTCCATCTCGTCTTCGTCCACCTCAGGAACAACCGACGCAATCGAGGCATGGTCGGGCTCGGAAGGCTGGGGGGTGTTGGAGCGGGAGATAGACTTCATCGACTGTGTCCGGGAGGGCGCGCGGGAGGTCACTCTGGATGAAAGGCCAAGCCAGTCGCCGGCAAAGGACGGGATGGACGAGTCTCTGCCCAGGGACCTAGCATGGAAATCAAGATCATCATCATCGGCGGCACCAAACTCGAGACTCCAGAACTCGGCGTTGTTGGGGTGAGCCTGTCGCGCCACATGCGCCCGCTTAGCTTCCTTCTCCGCTTGGCGTTTTTCCATGAAGCGCAGGTACTCCTCCTCTCTTGCATCCGGCAAGGCTCCCAGCTGTTCTCTCTCCTGGCGTCGGCGTTCATAAGCGCAGATGTGAGGGAGACCCTTCTTTCTCCAGACAACCTCGCCCAGCTCCACGTGTTCCAGCACCATGTAGATTTTCTTGAGCTCGGGGTCGTCGATGATTTCGAGGAGGGCGACAACGTTGGGATGACGGATCTTCTTGAGGATGGCGATCTCGCGCTTGCTCTTGTCCTGCGTCGACATGGCGGTAACCTTTCCGAGCCGTCTCTTCTTGGAGAACCTGGGAATAATCTTGATGGCCACATTGTCGCCGGTCTGGGTGTTGCGTGCCAGTTTGACCTTGCCATGCATGCCACGTCCAAGCTCTTCGATGATTTCATACTGATTGATGGCCTTGCGCCCGGTCGTGTAATCGTGCTCGACGTTGGCTTTGTGGGTTCTGGGAGGGTAGAATCGTGTTAGTATGGGGTAAAAGGGGGGCTGTAGGCTAGACTGTCACCAAAAAGATAAGACTACTTACTCGCGAACCTTGTGGCTCTGGAGCGGGTGAAGATAAGGGCTGTGCAGGGTCGGCGCCGGAGTGGTGTTCTCGGACGATGGTTGGCCGGAGAGCGACATGTTTGAACGGGGGATGCTCGGACTGAAAAGGCCAGGCGAGGAGACCGGAGTGCTATTGGCGGTCCGGTGCGGTATTTGCGAGGCCATTGGAGGAAGGAAGGGGTGGAGGGGCCGCGGATGGTGTTGAGTCGGCGTCTGGGAGGACGACGACATCGAAGGTTGTTGTGGTTGTTGAGGCTCCATGATTGTGGTGATGAGGGATCGGTCCAGGTCGGGAGTCGCAGTAGCTTGGGGTCACCTTCATGCTGGCGAGCGGTAAGAAAGGAAAGTTCGCTTACTACCTCGTGGGTTGAGGCATCGATCAGGGACTAGCAGAAGACTACTGTAGGTATGTAGGGAGGTAGGGACAGAAAGCGAAAGAGTCGGTGATCCGATTGACTGTTCGTGACTGTGACTGGGTGTTGGATTCAATCCAAGAGCCACCTCTTGATTAGCAGGCCATGGAGGCTACAGGAGTAGTGTGCTTTTGTGCTCCACGCTGCTTGGCTTGAGTCGGCAAAAGGAGTGGGATTGTGGAATGAGATGCACGTCTTGCTCGTCTGGGCGACGGGAACGGAGTCCGCAGTTGGATCGTGGAGTCGGGGGGATGTCGACTTGGGAGACTGGGGGAGTATGCGGTGAGAGGGAACAGAGTGGAATTGAAGTTGCTAAGTAGTAGTAGTGTCGGTCGGGGGGGAGGGGGGGGGGGGGGTGGGTGGTGGTCAGGGTGGTGTCGTAGTCTAGTACTAGAACAGAGTGAGAGAGGCGACGAGGAGGGAAAACACCACCAACTGCGAGTTGAAGAATGGGTGGGGCCCCCCGATGGGTCCCCTCAGGCAGATGGATGGATCCCGCCCGCGTCTCACTGCGAGAGTTGGAAAAAGGTGTGGGAAAATCAAAAAAAGGCTCGAAAGAGAGTGAAAGATAGCGTCGTATTCCTGTATGGACCGGTACGGCCAGCGGCTAGGGTGGCATCCACTTTCTGGGAGAAAAAGGCCAAGGTACCAATACTGTATGGTATCGTACTTTCGAGAAACTACCCAAGTGGAAGTGGCCTGTTAGGAGTACAAAGAAATACGGACATGGACCAAGGAGCAACGAAAGAGCCCGGACATCAGGGTACTCAAGAGTATCTCTCCCAATACATGGGATTACGCACACCCGTACCAATATTACAGCTGACACCTTTTTTTTATTTTATTTTTTATCAAAAATGCATTTACGGGCATCCTTCCCGTCTCTGCCTCTGCTTCCAACAAAGTCTACAATCGGTTTCGCTTAAGATGTCAGTCAGGAAATGTCAATTGGACAAAAGCCTGATTGAACAGCTCTAGCATTCGGCTTTTCACGTAAAAACAAGTCTTTAGTTTGCCGCTTGGGTTGAGCCAAGTCAGTAGGGCAAACTGAAATTGGTCGAGGTTTGAGCCAAGCAATTGAGCGGCGTTGCCAGGCGCAGGGAGCCGATCATTGTCTGAGGCTGGCTCCAGCAAAGATATCAAAATGCACTACTTGCTCTTGTAAGTTTTGTGAAGAAGAACTGAAGGCACAGTAAGGCACAGACTCGAGAAGCCATGCGGGTTCCTTTTCAATATAAGTGTCCTTCTTGTGTTTGTATCTACTACGTAGTAGGTATGCATGTAAAATATTGAAGCATCGTGTCGCTAGGAAAGGCTACAGTTGCCACTTCCGCACCATTGGGAATCGCGCGCGGGATCGGATTCTGAGATGGCCCACCGATTGCCGTGTCAACCGGCGACGGCGGCGGCGGCGACGGCGACGACAAGACCGGAGGGCAACGGGCCGCCTCCTTCAATCTCTTCTCATCGGGGAGCATGGAGACCACAACCTAAGTAACGATCCGTAACGACCCATTCCAGTTCTGGCGACACGCACTTCTGGTGCAGGGGAGACACACTGTGAGGAGCATTGCAGTGGATGGACGGCACAGCAGAGTTCAGTTGACGTCGCACTTTCCGGGCAGAGACCGTCATGGCATGCGCTTGCCAAGACCCACCAGGTGGGGCAGCACCTCTGGGCATTTCCTTATCGCAACCCCTGCTGTGAGGTTTGTAATTGGCTTGGACAGGGTTGGTCGCACGAGGCTTTCCTGCTGCATGTCTTCACCCACTCACACTTGGATGTCTTGCTCAACACCAAAGCTGTCTCCATTCCCAACTATCATGAACATTGATGGACAGCAAGTGTGGGCTGGATTGTGCAACGCATTCGTGGCCCCAATCTCAGCTGCGGGGTTATGGAGACACTCGGACAACAAAGTCAAACCACTTCACCAGAGTTCAGATAATGGAAGCAAGCAGAAGCAAGATCTGGCAGCGAAATGTCTGATAACAACCTGTTCGTCGTTCCCACAGTGGCAACTTGGCAAACTCAAACCCAACAACCTACGGGAGTATCGGGGACAACGAACGAGGGGTCCAGTCCTCCTCTTGAAGGCATGATTACGTTGTTGATCGCCCTCGCATGGTTTGAGACCAGATGATGTCTCCATCCTTGAACAACCCACCATAACTAAAAGATAAGATGACGGACCCCTCCGACCCCGCGATGCACAGGGAAAGCGCAAAGGTGTAGCGTGTATCAGAACGGAGCTTGGACGTCTCAATTCACTTCTCCAATTTTCTCAATTACTATGGCATCAACAGGTGAGACTAGCTTCATCCTAGTCATCCTAGTCCGACGTCAAACAGACTCTTCGAGTGTTCAACTCCAACATTTCCCATTTTCATGCTTTGTTCCCTCCCCTTCTCATTCCCAATCCCCAACAATGTTCTCTCAGGCATCCCAAACCACCTGTCATGTCATTCCACCATTGCCAGACGAAACAGATGGGATCTGGTGTTTCTCATGCGTGCGACAGTTCCAGATTGCGGCGCCAAGCCTTCTCCTTTCAAAAAAGTCCAAACCATCAAACCACTCAAGACCAACCAGACACGGCAAACCCGGACCTTGTTCGCTTGATCTGCCCGGTCTGTTGCCTTCGCCTTCCGGCTTGATACATACATATACAAGGCAATGCCAGCCTGGCAGATTGTGACTTTCCAACTCCATTCGTTGGAATTAGATGAATCAACGGGAAGAACAGTTTGGTACTTTCTCGGTACCAAATGTCTGGGTGGGCTATACCTGGCGACGGGAAGCGATAAGGTAAGCATGTCGACATGGAAGGTTTGACGGTGTGCTGTTAAGGTATGGTAGATGCCACTCAGCCTGCTCACCCATCACCGAAAAGGCGAAAAGTTCAACGTCAAAACGCCGCCAGCTTTGACGCCTTACATACGTTACGTACCTGTAGCCACCAGGGCATTACTTACTGGTTTGTTACACGGTTACACAAACAAACACGCGGAGGCCATGGCCACGAGACGCGCTTCACTTATGGCTTTGGGCCTCCCGGCCTCTTCTTCGTCCGCCTTGTCTCGATCTCTACTGCATAACAAAAAGAGGCCAGGTAACTGAGTCTCGGGCGCCATGCCCAAGACCCTTGTCAAAACTCCTTGACGGCCTCATCTAAGAATAACTAGTACCCAGCTGGTAAAGATCTCTGTCTTTCAAGACCTCAATCAAAACTCCGGACGCCGAGCCTCTCCGGGGTAGGTAGTGTACATGGGAGGACAAACATGGTAAAAAGAAGTTTAAACTTTTCTTAGTCGTGCCGCCATGGAGTCGTGCCGCCATGGCGTCGTGCCAGGGTCCTGGTAAAAGGGTCCTTCGTCCATGCCGGGCTTGTGCCTCCCTCCCATCCCTTCCCGTTCGTGTTGAAAGATAAGGAAAGTCTGATACTGGTCCGGGTATCAGGTTTGATCATCAATATCTATCTCCAGTCTTAGCTGACTTGCCGTGAATTTTCCTTATTGGGATATGACATGAAACATTGATGGGAATCAACTACCGGATGATGATCCAGGTTGGTGAGAAGGGTAAAACAGAAACAAAAAAAGATTGGACTTTCAGAGAAATCTCAACTTCATGTCCGCAGTTGCTGCAAAGTGGCCTTTCCAGCTTGTACGACAAGACTGACCACTCGATAGGTAAAATACAGCGCCAAATGTCAAACACCTGCAGTTTTTTTTTGCTTGCATTAGAATGTGTGCACATGCCTATGCAAGTGTCGGATACGATAGTCCGCTCCAGTCGAAGCGTTGTGAGATCGTACGTATGCACAGCAGCAATAGCAGCAATAGCAGCAGCCAGACCTGCAAAGCTGTAAAGCAGTCAGCCCCGGCCCCCGGGAAACCCAAAACAGGTACAGTACCATGCCCACGGTAGCCACGAAAACCCCAGCAGCAGCAGCAGCAGCACAACCGAAATGTAACAAGGGAACAGCTCCGCAGCGGTGAGACGAAGAAGAAGAAGAAGACGAGGGCATCGTGAGATCCCGCTTAAAGGCTAGTATAGTGTATTCTGTGGAGTTGAGGCAATTCCCACCTAGGTAGCCACCTTCAACCCCAGGGTCCCAAGGTCCCCAGGGTTCCCGGCCTCCCGGTTCGGTGCAAAGTCCAGATTCAGTTCCGTCCTAGGTCCAGACTTGACCGAACGGAGATGCTTCCCCCGCCAGTCGAGACGAAAGAAGGTTAGTGTAGTGTAGTTAGACTGTAACTTACGTGCACCTACTGACGCTACTACTTTAACTTACGTGCGTTATATACTACCTCACTACCCCGGATTGTGCCACTCGGCCACTCGCTCACCGTCAATCAATCAATCAATCAATCCATCACTCCCGTCGTCACCTCCGGGCAAGTCGTCACCTACCTACCTACCTACCTACCTACCTACCTACCTACCTACTTCTACCTATCGGAGCGGCATCACTCAATCACGACAACAATATTCCGAACCCCGGATCTTCGCTCCCAGCTAAACTTACTAGCTTACCTAGATGGCTACCTACCTAGCTAGTTAGTATGGAGCCAGAAAAAAAAAAGGCGGCGAGAACAGGAGACAAAGAACCGGGGAATGAACGAATGAATGCTACGTAACATGACTCCTTGCTTGCTCGCTCGCTCGCTCGCTCGCGTGAGGTCCTCGTCCTCGTCCTCCTCCACGTTCGGATAGTTACAGCCAGCCAGTGAGAGAGAGACCGTCCCGACCGACGGTTTCCCTCGGGCAATTCGCGGTTCTGATTGGTTAGCGGCATCACTAACAGCACCAACTCGGTAAATCCACATAGGTACCTAGGTAGGTAGCAGCACTCGCACCCGGACTCGCAGGGCTACTTAGCGGGCTAGAACACTGGATGTTCATCCGGTCGCCTACCTCTACGTACTAGACTTAAAAGAACGCTAAACGTCGTCGCCCGGGATTCACGGGATCACGTAAACTACACTACCTACGGGACTACGGGACTACGTACGGGAGGGACCTCCCACCTACCCGAGAACTTTCCCAGTCCCAGTTCCAGTTCAGCTTGATGATGAAGAAGTGAGACATGGTGCAGGTAGGTAGGTAGGTACCTAGGTAGGTAATTTTAACCTTTTTCTTTTTTTTTCTAGGTCTAGGCGCGCCGCACGCACGTGCGATCTTCGTTGATCATTCCGATCTTTTTTTTTTCTTTTCTTTGTCTGTTGTTACCTATGCGTGTAGTTGCCCGCCTTAAGTTGTCCGCCTGTTCAGTTGATCACGAGATCTATTTCCCCCCTTCTTTCCCCTCCTTTTTTTCTTCTCCCCTCCCCAGCCAGCCGGTAACCCAGCTGTTTACCTAGCTAGGGCAGCCAGGCTCCCAGACTAGACCAGACCAGACCAGCCTGAGTACCACGAGCGAACTACCAAAGCTTTGGAAACCTCAACCCCTCGGCTGTGGGCAAATCGGATACATACCTACCGTCGGTCGGTCGGTCGGTCGGTGTGGTGAAGAGGTATTCTACGTAGTGCTACTTGCCTCAGCTACGGTATCAGGTAGTCAGCCGACACGCACAGTCCATGGAGAGATCCTCCGGCTTATATAGGACCTAGAAGAAGGAATGGGAGCAAGAGGGAGGGAAGAGAAAGATCTCGTTAGACAGGCATCACGGTTGTTAAGGTAGGCATCAAATCAAAGCAAGCAATTCAACGAACAACTCGAGGGCATCACGTCACGTCACGGTGTCACCGACCGACATTGGACTGACGTTCTGTATTCCCGAGTCGCTCGTCGGCTTCAAGCGGGCTTACCTAGGTACCCTAAAGCTTTTCCGTATCGGAAGGAGGGAAGGAAGGAAGGAGGTGGGTTCCTTACTTCAACGATGACGGTGCTTTAAAGTTTGATAGTTGGTGTTAAAAATACCATTGTACCAATGAAGAAAAAGGTACAGAAAAAGATGGACGATGTTCATCTAAATCTGTCAAGGGTCTGTTTTTGACGGTGAGAATCAGAAGAATGTAGATCTTGGACATAATGCGGGGAAGTGTAGAACTAGGATGCATTTCCCCATCATCACCATGGCCGTCATGCTTGTTTGTCATCACTGTCACTGTCACCGGCGTCATCGTCATTACCTTCCTAGTCCTCCCCGTCGCCATCGTTATATGGAAGTTGACCTCAGCTTTTCTTGAGCTCTTGGTTTCGCTGTGCTCACTTACACTTTTCCTGGCTTACCTTGTTTTCTTGGTCTCTGGTCGTACTTTACTCAGCACGTACCAAACATTCCTGTATACAAACTAGGGTATCACTCAAACTACATATGTAGACACTCCCGTTACTTTCAGGGTCAAGGAGTCGGGTCTCGGATTCCCCAATAAGATCAAATCCGAGGGAACACCGTCGGAAAGATCAATCAAGGTAAACCGGCCGGATGGATACATCAGATATGTCTCGAGCTTCCTTCGTTCCCTCGTTGTGGTTCTTGGCACACACGTTCCGTGGACGGCACGCAGGCAGGCAGGCAGGCAGGCAGGTAGGCAAGCGAACGGATGGATGTAATCACAAGTGGAAGTGACGTGAAGTGAAGGAAGAAAGCAAAAAAAGTAAATTACAATACATAGATGCCGTGTGCTTCGGTTCGGGTTGTTGCATCTTGCATGTCGTTGTCATCGTCGGTTCTTCCTTTTCTTTGCTTCCTGTTCCTCGCCTATGTACGCAGTATGTACATACGAGGGAGGGAGGTCCTTCATCGCTACTCTACCTACGGGACGGACGGCCTCGGTCGATTTCAACGGGCCGTTGTTCGGCGTATTGGCGTAGGAAACAATCTCGTCCCGCGTTGAATGTTGCTGCGATGCTACTCGATGCTACGCCCCTAAAGCGACCATGGAATAAACAGACGAGTGATAATTTGCTCTTCTTGTCAGTACCTTACTTCGTTTTTTTCCGGGATTCAAGAGGAAAACTCCACAGACGTGCAGACTTTCGTGAGCCGGACTCTTTGTTTCCCCTTTTCGTTTAGATTCTTCCACCCGGGAGAAATGGAAAGTTGGAGTATTCCTACCGTAGCCACCGGGCGGGTCACGTAACATGAACACAGAAGAACAGATAAAGAGCGATCCAAACAGAGTTTCGTCGTAGCGTCCGTCGTGTTCAACACTGTGATCGAACCGGCAGGCAGTGCTTCTTCCAATGACGAAAAAAAGTTCACGATGCATGTGCTGTAACAAAGGAATGCTCCCAGCCGTCATCATCATCGCTCCGGCCTTCCGTTCGGCGGCGGCGACTGGAGTGGCCACCCAATAGCCAGAACCGCCCACCTTTTCCTTTTCTGCCGCCACCACCACCACCACCACTCCCCGCCTCGTCGAGCTTTTCCCATTCGTCTACCCTTACCTAAATAGGTGAGATCCTACTACCAAGCCTCGATATGAAAAGTAAAGACAACGTGTTCATCGGGGGATGTTTGGTTGGATCAGGATCAGGGCCAGATCAGATCAGAGGTCCCTTGGTTCCCTTGGTCCCTTGCTTTCTTCGTTGTACATAGCACTCATTGCAGTCCCGAGGCGAACAAACAAGCTCGATCGACAAGAAAAGAAAAAGACTGGACTGGACTAGACTGGATTGGACTGGCTCATTCATTGTCATCTCGGCGCTCCCGCCGTCCATCTGGAGAAGGAAAGAAAGAGGGCCCCCCCGGGAGAAATCACCGTGAGGCAAGACAGGAAGGACAAAGGGCGAGAACGTTCGACGGCTGCAAGACCCGCAAGAGCTGCAAGTGAATGACGGGAGGACAGAGACAAGCGGAGGACAGGGGGGCTTAGGAAGGACAAGAACACACTAAACCTTCGGGTTTTCCCTATTGGTCGATGGGGGCATAAGTGGCTGTGAGCGACCGACGGATGATGGGGAAGGACAAGACAAAAGGTTATTTTGTGCGATTCACAGTGATCGATGGAGTGCCTCAGTGCCCAGACGAAATCCAATGGTTTTTTTTTTTTTTTGCGCTGTTTGCTGGTTGCGTTCTACCGACCGATTTGTCGATCTCTGTGGTTTTGTTGATCGTTGGTGTCCAGACGGGATGAGCACCCGACGATGGGTTTGTTTTTTGGTTCGTTCGTTGTGTTGTGACGATGCCTGCGGAGAAGAAGAAACAGGCGGGGACCCCAAGGCAAAAGAGGCAAACTGCCGTGGACAAGGGAAAAGTCAGCTATGTTCACTACACGTGCTGATGGATGGATTTCCTTTTCCATGTGCCGCTGTTACACCCGCTTTACAGCACGCAATAATCCTGCTTATTTTGTTAGTCTGGTTTTATAGTGTAGAGTACCAACGCGCCTCCATCTTATCGTGGAGAAGTGGGAATGGTCTCGGTTTCTCGGGTGCTTCGAGAGTGCGATTCAGGTTGTTGGATTGCAAATTGCGTATTCGCCCTGGTATGATCGTGACTCACTTGTTGGTTGTAGACAGGAAAATTTCAAAGATCGAATGGGTTCGGTGTGCATTGGACCGACGTCGGCGATTGAAAGATTCAAAGAGGCAACTGAACTGAAGACTCCACGGGTTCGAGATCTGATAACGTTCCCGTTCACTGTGTCCATCAAGCGGGGCCGCCATTGAAAGCAAGAGACAGTATACTGTAGTGCTTTTTTACTGTTTGCACTGGCAAATCGTCACGGTCTTGACAATTGAATGAATCTTTCACAGCCAGCTACTTCCAGGTACCTTTCAATACCCTGATTGAACAGTCATGAAGTTTTATGGTCCATGACTCAAATAAGCTCGATACTCATCACCATTGAGTCCTACATAAGTCACATTCTCGCTGGAAATGGAAACCCGAAGCTTATTCCGTTTATATCCGATATAGATGAAAAGAACAGAGGCCTTACTCCTGCATCTTGCCGTGAGCCTGTTTGCTGTCACGGCGGCCATCATTAAATTCTGGAAGTTGATTGTAATATTGAATTCCATTGTCAATACCAGCCAGAAGAAGCAGGACAGTAGTATCATGGCATGATAGAACACCGTGACACGTTGTGTCAGCGGACTGTTCAAGTTGCTTGGGACTCAACCTGCAAGGCTACACACAGTGCAGCAGAAGAGTGGATCCTCTGGTGGTCTTCATTTTACCCCAGAATCGAACATTGGCGCTGCGATCTCACAATCTTCCATCTTGAACTTTGCTATCGACAACCCCTCTCCACTCTCGACGTCCTCTTCTTAGCCGCGACAAGCGACCCTCTCGCTAACCACTCCATGAAACATACTGTGCAGAGACAAGCAAAACATTTACGGAAGGGATCTCCAGATCAGATCTAGAATGGCGACGGCAACCTCGAGAATATTCGCCAGCCCCTCCCTAAGCATCAAGCATCGTACGACTCACTCGCCTCGGCGTAATCTGGGAACACTTTCCATCACTTTGATGGAACATGTTGCTCAACGCTACGGCCTTGGTTCCAATATCTCCAGACTCACAACAGCCAATCATGTTGGCCATTCAACCACGGACGAATTATGACGTATCACCTTTTGTCTTCACCATAGTACTACAGTATGTCGTTGGAACCCGGTCGTAACTGTCGACGGACTGTTGGAGTTCAGACCGGTGATTGCGAGGGCACTAACAAACACCGCCAACACGCATTGTTCACTGATTGACATCGGCAGCTCTTCTCCTCACAAAGGAAAATGGAACCAAGGTCTCCGCACCCGTCTCGCCATGCCCCGGCGCTCCGACTTCTCCAACTGACATGTCAGGTCAGACTTAATATCATGGCAACTATCTGACCGTCTGCTTCACACGGCACATACACCAGGAACAAGACGCAAGGTTCTCTTCCCCAGCTCTCGTCGCACCAACAGACCGGGACCCTATGAAACCATCGATTATACCCTCCTTTTCCTCTATTTCTGAACAATCCCCGCCACTATCGGTCACCGAGAGCCAGTTCGTAACACAGAACAAGGGGTACAGGATGACTGCCGAACACTGCGAGCCTGTTCAAAGGGTCCATCTCCCGGGGAAGCGAGCTCATCACACACACAACGAACCGGAATGACATATGACATTCCTAAAGCCGACTCTGGCCTTCCCATTCATGCTGCCATGTCCAACAACGGACAGATGCGCGCGGTGCTTAAGGTGCTTAGCCGCCAGAACATGCCAACCGACCGTTCGGTCAGTCAGTCAATGCATCCGATCTACTACCCGGTCACTGAGGTGAGCAATCAATTACCAGGCCTGTACTCGGAGCGAACACTACACACCGGACGACGTCCCATCTTTACCAACTCAGCAAAACGGTCAGAGCGACACTGTACATTCTGCCATGGATACTGCAACCCGTCAATGAAACTTACCAAAAGCGCGCCACTGTGATTGAGATGGAACAAAGTCCACGGGACACCGGCCGTTGCTCCACTATCGCGCCCTCCGAGCCCCCCCGATGTCACCAGGCGCTGTCGCCATGCTGACGTCGGGTGCGGGGCCCGCCATCAACCCCGGATTCCACGCTTGCCACGATGCTCCGTCACTGTCAAAGCTGCGGTTCTGCAGGCACCAGTGGGAGGGGTACCCGTCTCTCTTCTCGCCACTTGACCACCACGATGAATCTATTCCATCATCAACCCGTCTGAATATCCATCATTTAGGGAATAGGGGCTTCGGGGAACCGGGTACACTTTTACGCAGAACCTCCGAGCCGTGCCAGTCATGCTACCACCGACGGTTTATGGGGAAATGCGGGGATCGTTAATATCTGTTCGGTTACCTGTGCATGAGGGCATTAAGCGAACGCCTAGACGTTTGCGCCTGCTCGCCAAATATCAGAAAAAAGGCTAGGAAAATTCAACAAGAGATGGAAATGGTGAATGGCCCGATTCTTACGTACATTGTCAGTAAGAGTGTACACTACCAAACAACAATCGTCAATAGCCACCAGGACGAGAACCGATGGTGCGAGGACAGGAATTACGCCGATTTGGTGGTGGGCGGTTGCGACTCGGCGACTCTGCGACGGTGATATACTGTAGAGGGAGAGTCGCAGGGAAGGAACCGTACCACTACCACCCAATATCTAATGTATAGTGCCTTGCTTCCAACACCACCAGATCCGCCAATATTTATCTCACGGGCAAGTGTCATGGGAGAAAAATATCAAGTGATTGGTTGAGCGGTTGGTGTGTGTGGTTTTAGTTACCATCAGTGCACAGATCATCAGCAAGGCATATTGAATGGGGCAAGTCGATACGATGCAACCACATCGTTTTCTTTCCTGATCCCTTTTCACTGCACAGAGGACAGAGTAAACTACGGACTCTGAAATTCGCGACCGAGGTTTGTGAAGTTTTCCAGCTCGGCGGTTTGAGTAGTTTGGCTCGGGCTTGTCGCCGTTTACCGGCTCAGTTGCCTCGTCCGGACCCCATCTGCAGTAAGCCGTCTTCTCACACGAGAAACAAACTTTGCTTTTTGCCTTCGGTATGGTTTTCTTCATTGATCAAATTCCGTGTCCTCGAGGATTAGAAGTGGCTGTCGCACATCCATCATTTCCATCCAACGATCTCCTGCACGTCATTTCACACACCACATGCAGTCTCCCAGAAGTCTGGGTATCACTCTCGTTCTTCTGAGCCATATCACTCCTTACCGTGCCCGACCCTCGCATTTTGACAAGTCGAGGCTCAACTGGAGCGAGCTTTTTGCTTACCTTACCATGGAGAAAGGAAAATGAATATATCAATCTCGTCTCGGAATTGCTATTCATGGTCATCCCCACCGACTATCATTTTCTCTGCAATACGATCAAGTTGATTTGTTCCCAGCCAGCCTCTACCATACACTAGGCTCACAAGTAGTGTAGATGATTAATCGCCCCCTTGGCAGTTGGGCGTTGAAAGTGGACCGACCGCTGTTCGTTAGCCTATCATCTTATACGAACGCACACAACCACGAACGCATACACCTTCAACGGGAGAGAGGGAGGGAAGGGGGGTGTTTCTCAGCTCAGCAGGTATAGCCGAAGATTACCTAGAGGTAGCTATCAGCTCCAACTTCACAGCCACTTTCCTTTCCTCAGCGGGCACGTAACTTAATCCTCGCAACATGTCAACTTGAAGTCATGACATGTGATCCCAGGTGTGCGCATCTTCAGATGTAAGGCATCCAGGTGCGAAATACGCCAGCCAATGACGGCGTCAGGAGGGCTAGTGTCATTTAGTATCAGATTAGATTATACTAGTGTAATGGTCACTTACACAACTAGACAACCTTTACAAACCAACACTACCTCTACCAACACTACCAACAACGGAACTACAACAACAACAACAACAACAACAACAACAACAACCGAACCGTTTGTTTCCCATTAATCTTTGCCAATTATTCTATCACATATTATCGTGTGTCTTACACCTTCTCGTCCGATCAACTTGAAGTCTATCTGCCCCACCAACCTTGGTAACTTACGTTCATCAGCTTACCTACCTAGCTAGCGTTCGGTCGCTTCACTAGTCTATGGTAGAGGTATGCAGCGCAGCATGTCGAGCATGTCGAGCATGTCGAGCATGTCGAGCATGTCGAGCATGTCGAGCATGTTCATCAGATCAAGTTGCGTTGCAGCGGGCTGTCCGCGGCCAAGATTTTCGGAGCCGGGCTGTGTCTCACCTCTCTACCATACCTCTCGGGTGTGTGAGTGGAGTGTGTCTCACCTTACCACACCCTGATTGCCGTTTATGCTAGTGTACTTACTTTACCATATAATGGTATGTTGGTATGTTGTAAAGGAGGGAATGAAGGGGAAAGGGGAAGAAAGGGGAAGAAAGTGGCTGACTGACTGACTGACTGGGAGAATGACCAGAATAGTGGCTGTGTCTCGAGCCTAGAGGTATGTATGTGGTTATACGGTTATATGGTGGCGGTTGTGGTTGAGATATCTATGGGTGTGAGTGTGAAGCCACACCTGCCTCTAGGTGGATTACACCTCACCGAGCCATACTGCACCATACACACACCTTAGCTTGGTGGATGATACTGGACTCCTGGAGACAAACATCCATCCCGTTTTCAATATTCCGAGGTCAAGGTCACGATGTTGATATTAATACATCCTGCTACGCGCTACGACTACACTTACGGCTACGGCTACGACTACGGCTGTAGTTACCTCATGCTTACCCTCACCTTCGACCTCACCCTCAACCTTACCCTTGGCTTAAACCCCCCAGGTCACGCTCGTTCGGTGGTAACAACTACCTCCTACCTCCCAACAAGCTAGCTGAACATAAAACAAGACCGAGTGACCAGACCAAATCATTGAACGAGTGGCTCTCCGGGCTTGTCAATGACCTGAGATTTGGTATCTCCGTAATGGGTGTGGCACCCCCATCGTCTCGTCTCGCATAGTCTTGTTGCCTTGGTTGATACCAGTGGAGTAAGAGTCAGAGGAGAGAGGTGAAGGAATCAAGAGAAGAGGCTGGCTGCCTGATAGAGTGGATGGCTCGCTAGAGGTAGGAAAACCATCGGAACTATATGTAGCACACTGGACAACCTAAGTTGTATCCTATAGAGGTAAGCTTCGCTCTGCCTGGTAAGAGTATATACCTTTAACCTCGTGATGAGCAACTGCGTGTTTGAAGATCGGCTGGTCCGGTAGGGTGGAAGGTTGGCTGGCTGGCTGGCTGGCTGGCTGGCTGGCTGTTATCTCGCACCATACACCCATCACCTTCCATTAGCAGCTGGAGGGGGACGTGAAACTTTTCCAGGGTGAAAGATTCCTAACCTAAGTTCGGGCACGCATGTGCTTAAAGCTCATGAAAGAAGGCTTACATCGATAGAATTTTACCTTACCTACCTACCCAGTCTACACTTGCTATTTCAAAGCTTGTCTGGAGGTTGCGATATTAAGCTAATAGTTGTACTGATGACTGATCGTAAATCCATGAGCTGGTGACCAGACAGACGGACTCTAGACTGGCGAAGGCAATATCACCGTTCGAACTCAATGTTATTACTTTGCGTGAGCGATTAGGTATCAGGCCACATGGTTCTGGGAATGGGATATGATATCCGATAAGAACACGCCGGTTTACTTCCTCATCGGCCTCTTTGTTTCCCTCGCCGGTCTCCCAAAGGCTATCTCTATACGAGTGAGCATAGGTTAGGTGGGTTACCATTTGTGACAATCCGGGGTCTTCATGTTGTTTGCTCAGATATGATATGTTATCTGAAGGCTGGATACCTCTAGACCGTTGGAATGGATGGAGCTGGGATAGGTAGCCTTGTCCATCATACATACCTCACTTTGTAACAAATAAAAAAGGACCTTAATACACTGTAGATGAGCTGGTAAGTAACTGAAGGTTTGCTTAGAATGGCGATAATTACCTCCAAGACTGAATAGGCATTTTCTTAGTCCTTTCTTTCAGCCTGTTTGTTTCTTTCGACACCATGAGAAAAAAATAAGTAAGCTTGTAAGTATCCCCCCCCTCCATGTCTCCAAGTATCTTTCCACTCCAACATTCCTTTTTTCACTTGCGGTTCACTCGGCACCGCTGCTTGCTTGCTGATCTCGGCTTTCCATCGGCGTTTCATCTAGTCTAAGATTCCATGCCTATCCCATACGACCGACGATCTAGTATCGCACATGTCGAAATCTCACATAATGTTCTGTTTTGTTTCAGCAGCTTCGTTCGGCAGTTATGTGTTCTTCCTCTTGTGACTTGTGTTGTATGCTATACAGTACACTAAACATCCGAAACATTGGAGGAAAAGCAGGTTTTTGTTTTTGGTAGTTTCGATCTCGGGGAATTCTCCTACCACGTGGTGGGGTTCGAAATCAGGATGTGACGGACGGGTTAGCTGTAGGATGATCTTAGTGTAGGCAGTAGTGTAGGCCCGGACTGAGCCTTCTCTTTTCTTATTCTTTTCTTTTCTTTCTAGTGTACCTAGGCTGATACATACGGGCTACCTCTAACAGTCGTCCGAGACAATCACTTCCCAGCAAGGCTTTTCAAAGGGTTGTTAGATGTACGTATGTTCATCTTGGAAATTTGGACGGCATCTTGAATCCAGTTCTTCCCCCCCTCTGGTTTGCCGAAATGCTTGGCACCCATGGCATGGATCAGATGTTGATCTTGAGTCGGAGCCGGAGCTTAGATCCGGAGCTTTCACCTCCAGGGTCAATTCGGCCGCCCCTCATTACCGGTCTCATCAGAGATCAAAGCGTAAATCGCCGAGTCGCTTAGTCTTGATCAGCAAAGTTGATGGTGATAGTCTCGCCTCCTGGCATACTTTTTGGTATGGTGTGGTTTGAGAGGTAGGGCGTTTGGTGGTTTCGGATGTCCAAGTTTGGGTATATCCCCTCCGGCCGGTCTAACGCCGGCGAGCTACAACTGCCGTTCGAGACATGGAAGATGGGTAGCTCTTGCCGTGTGTGGTGATATTATCATGATGATACGTGCAATGGTATGGAAGTTGGATGCTACCCTGGGTATACTGCGTCGTTATACGAAAACGAGGTTATAAGCATGTGAAAAGGCATTTTGAACAGCTTAAGAAGAAGTAAGCAAAAAGGCAAACAAACAAAAGAGAGTTAACAAGGAGGAAGAAAAAAAAAGGTCAAAAATGTCGTCGACAGTGGATTCCCATCTGCACATGCAAGGAAGAAGGGGTCTTCCATCCTTTCCCAGACATTCAAGAGTTTCCATCCACTGTGAGGTGGGAATCCCTTCATGCAGTCCACAGTGGTGTGCAGTGCATCATCACGCCGAAGCACTGCCTGCATTCCCTTCAAAGTCGCACAGCCTGCAAGATATTAGCGCTGTGATCCACTGATGGACAGTGATCCTTGGGTTGGGTTTCTTCTCGGCTTCCACTGAGGTGAGGTGGTGGGGTGCGTTTGGTGCTAACCTCTGTTGGGTGTTTGTTGCCGAGACACTCACTGCCCGGTCTTGGGAAGATTGCGCCTTGCTCGGCAGGCCTATCGGGCCACGGCATCACCAACAACACCAAGAAACTCTATGCAACCTTTCGATCTCGATCTCAGTACAACTTGGAGATGTCAAGTTGCTCCCATTCCCATTCCCATTGTCCTCGTTGGTTAGGGTCCGTAGTCGAGGTTGGGCATAAATAACCACGTGGATAATCACGGGCATCATCACGAGTGAGACAACTTGCACATGCTTTTCCCAGAATCCATCTGACTCTCAGCAGCATCCCAGTCAAGCCACCTACCGAATTTGGAGACAGAACGAACAAGCCTCTTCTGCCTGTCTCCGCGGAGCTGGATCGAAGGATTCGGAGGGAAGAAAGGGACTAGAGAAGGAGGGACGGGATTCACAATTGTTGGAAGAAGCCGGGGGTAACATCAAAGGGAAGTGTGATAGCGGGGTGTAGGATTTCGAACTGGTGGGCGGCTTAGTCTGTGATTGCCAAGAGCCTACCTTACCTGTAGGACCGACCGAAGAGCAAGCAAGATTCACACGATCGTAAAAGGTGTGTGTCTGGCATTTCCATCTTTCCATCCTTTCGTGTAATTCACATCGTTACAGGTTTTCTTGATTCCACTAAATTCAACTCGAAATTATGGAAAAATATTGCAAATATACGAATACACCGGTTGAAAAAGAAGCTAGCAAGGAAAGAAAGCTAGTAACATCGGACTACGACGACACACTCCCTCACTCATAAACAAAAGCAAGAAAAAAAGTGACCAAAGTCCAAGGACAACGTTCGACGTCCCCTAACCCAAGTCGACCAAGCCACCCAAGTGGCCAATTCCCCCGGATTCCCTGAATCTGGACGCGTTGCCCTTCTGCGTCCCCGACTGGTCCGGGTCACTCGGTCGGTCGCTGGAGGGTCCCCGTCGTCATTTGTCCAAGCGGCCGAAGCGACATCGTCATTGCTGTTCCCCAAGAGCCAAGGTTTGGGCAAACAACTCAAGTGCGCTACCTTAGGCGTGAAGTCGGTATGTATCACCATCTAGCCGACTCGCTTTTTGCGATCCCCAGATTTGAAGGCGATGCGTCCTGTCTGCAGGGCCTCTTTCACAATCCACGATGCTACATATCCCGAAAAATACCTAGCTATGCCGAGTTGAGGAAACCGGGAAATGTATCTATCATTCAGTGCCGTCTGTCAGTCACGGTCGCACTCACACTCGCACTCACACTTTCCCAAGGAGTCTCATGTCATGCCCACCTGCAATGAGTGCCATGCCGCCATGCCTTTTCGTTTCCCCGCATGATATTGGCGATAGTAGCCTAGGGAACTATTCCCACCGTCCTCTATTCTACGTCCCGGTTACACTGTCGTATGTGTCGCCTGCTTCTCATACTTCCTGCCCCCGGTTTCAACTTTCCACTTTACCAGTGCAAAGAAGAAGGGGAAAAAAAGGAGACCGGAAAGCGACATTCTGAACTTCAGCCGGCGAAGACAGACACGGGATGAGAAAGACTCGCTGCAATGCAAGACGGCAGAATGACTGACCAGAAGAAGGGAAACCGGCATCACCACCACTCAGCGGGCAACCACCACCACCACCACCACCAAACTCTTGGCAACGCTCTTGGCGTCAATAGTATTGGTCAGTCTCAGCCGTCCTTGCCCGTCCTGACCAATCATTTTGAATCACGCACGCTTCTTGCTCAATCTTTCGTTTTCGTTTTACATGTACGCAAGTACGCTCTTTGTTACATACCCACCTACGCTGCAGTAGGTATCTTTCCCTGCATCTTCTCGTTTTGAGGGAAAGCAATCGGAGCGAGTCCTTCGGGAAGTCATGCACCCTACTAGAAGCGACCTACGTAGTAAAGATGGTTGCTAGGACAGATTGGGGATGGTCGGGTTTACCTCTTCTTATTGGATGGAGCAAATACGATCTGCGAGAGTGTGGTTGTTGTGGTGTTGCGATGCTGCGGTTTGGTAGAGTGAGGATGGTGTTGACCTCGGAAGGTCTGAGACGGCTCAGACGGGACGGGATCAACACGAGAGAAGAGTAAGAGAGGGGAAAACTGAAGGGAGAGGATGGACTGGAGATAAGACTTGGAAGTTCATTCTGCCAGGACTGGTATCAGGCACATGTTCTTCGCCATGACAGACGGAAGATTACAGGATAATGGACGAACAGAGAAGACTGCAAATCTTCAAGTGAAGGCATTCCAACATCTGGCTAGCTTTGCGCGTGTATGTCAAGTGGTTGAGTGCCATCTCGCCTACCCTTACCCCAACCCGTCTTAGTCGAAACGAAGCCAGCTGCGTGCGCCCCCTTCAATAGATCACTGCACACAACTCCAAATTCGGGGTAGTCAATTTTGGGCGTTGACGATAACGGGCGACAGCAGAGCTTCCATGTTACCGCGATAGCTCTGCCTCGTCACCGGGTTCAGTAACATCCCACCTACCATGCCCGAAAGAAGCGGCTGAAGAAAAAGTGGCGTTATCGGAGCAGCATTGCAGATAGAACATCAATCCCGCAACCATACAAATCGTTCACGTGGTTGAACCCAATGAAGAACTGCATGGATGCTATCGTGGATTTTGGGTATTCAGCCTCGGCTGCCTTGTCCTCCCCCGCGTCAGGCAGTTTCGTGAGGTTATGTGAGGGGAGACCGGGCAAGATAACAGCCTCGTAGTTCCAAAATCTGCAATATCCAGAGATAACTTTCGAATCTTTAACCACACCGATTGACCGAACATCGCTAACCTTGGCACCGAAGTTCATGATTCCCGCTTTGCTATCTCCCTCTTGTTTCCAAAGTCTCTGCTGTCGACTATCTGTGATCATATCATCTGAATCGCCAGCAACTACCTACAATGGACAGCGACACACCACCACCCATTCCACCCCGTCCTCCAGGATGGGTGAGCAGTCCGCTCTCAAGCCCCGGGTCATGTCCAGTGCTATCATCGCCGCAACCACAATCTGTGAATAACGAGACCCCTCCTCCCTTGCCTCCAAGACGACCAACAAACGAGGAACAACCACCAATGGTTCTTGAAAGGCATTCAAGACCGTACAGCTACGTACCGCCGTCTCGGGAAAGCTCCGGCTTAAGTCCTCCTCCTCTGCCACCACGCGTGACTCGCCGGCCTGTTTCGCAAAGGGAGCCGCAACCACAACCACAACCGCAGCCACAGTCCTCATCACCGCAATTTGAACCGTTCCGCCCACAGCAATTCCAGGAACCAAAGTTTGAGTGTAATCCACCGAGTCCGTTTCAGTCGCAAGCTGGAAATCAGACTACGTCAGCGGACTTTGAGGCTTTCAGAGGACAATATGCGCCTTATCAGCCGCAGCAGACCTTCCCGCCTCCTCCTCCTCCTCCTCCTCCTCCCCCTTCCTCATCCTCATCCCCACAACCCATCCCCTACGAAAAATGGACCCCCCTCTTCCAACCCACCGGCGCGCCCAATCCCATTTTTATAGCCCTCATGAAATCCTTCTTTGAGATGCTGGTAGCTCAGCAGACACCTGAAATGAGGCCTGCTGCTACTGGCAATGAAAATGGAAATGGAGATGGCAACGGGATGATGGTAGTCAATGGACAAAAGCTGTTGTTGAGTCCGGAAAAGTGTAGTGAGTTTTTGGATGTGCAGGGGTTTGCGGTGGAGCATAATCTTTGTGAGTGTTATTTCTTCTTCTGTTTGTTTGGTTTGTCGAATTTCTTGCTTGATTTTTGGTGGTGGAGGGAGCAAAGGGGAAAATAAGGTAGGTAGGCAATTGGAGGCCGGGAGGAAAGAAAGAAAGAAAGAAAGAAAGGGGGAGAGGGCCGCCCAGGGAAAAAAAAAAAAAAAAGTAATGGAGGAGGAAAGAAAGAAAAAGAGATTGAGCATAAAAGGGGAAGAAAAGAAGGAAGACAGAAAAATTGAGGAGGGAGAAAGAGGAAATGAATGGGGAGACGAAGAGAGAGGAGAGAAGGAAAAAAGAAGATGGGGAGGGAAAAAAAAAATGAAAAAGAATACGAGGAGAAAGGGAGAATATGCTGGATTGTCTACTTCCTCTGCATGTGGGCGCCAAGTGGTGCAGTGTGCCAAGTGGTAAACGTCATGAGCGAGAGCGGTCATGAATAGAACACCTGGGACTACTTTTGATCTCGACTCTTGTCTTGGAAGGCCTTTCGCATTATTTTCCATCACAAAGGGGATCTTTTCAACAAGCTGGGACGACCAGCACCGTCTCATCACTTGTAATGAACCCAAAAATGACGAGTGTCATCCATGTGCTGCTTCATCAAAAATGCGGCTCCACCTCCTCCTACCGAAGGCACCACCGTTGTTCCTTCCTTCCTACTCCCCACAACCACCACCTCACACAATCCTTCTTTTCTCTTTTTTTTTTTTTTAAATTTTCTTTTTTCTTTACAATTTCTTGTTGTCTTTGCCCGCCTCAACCTTTCTCTCCTCACCCTCAATCAAAACCCCATACTAACCAACTTCTTCCGTTCTTAGGGAAACTCAACAAAACCCCCTGGTCAACCCTCCCCGCCATGTCCTTCCCGGGGCTCCCCGACCCCTTCGCAGCCGTAACCCCCCTTGACAAAGCCGACTGGGAATTCCGCTTGATTCTCCAAGCATTCGGCATCCACCACCTCCCTATTCCACGTCCTCGTCCTGCTTCCCCAAACCCCTCTCACCGTTCTACTTCTACAAACCCCCTCATCCCCTCCTGGTTCATCAACCTCCTGACCACTTCATCCATCGAAATCCCCGAAAGCATGCGCGTCCTCGGTATCGGCCAAACTCCCTTTCTTACAGAGCAGGGATTTATCAAGTACATGGCTTTGGAAACGGCAGGGGAGCCGGATAGGGGGTTTGAGGGGGTGAATGCTGCGTTGAGGTACTACGCTAGTTGTTCCGCGGGAGGATCAGGAGGGGGACAATGGGGAGGCCCAGGAGGAGGAGGATCAGGAGAAGGAGGAATAAAATGGTGGATGGAAAAACTAGGTCCGATACCGAGGGACATGTTTCCTGGTAGTTGTCCAAAGGAAATCCAGATGGCAGTGGATGTCGGACAGGCAAAGCATAGAAGGTTATGCGAGGAGGCGGTGGCGGGGTCGAGGGCGTATTGCGAGATGGCGGCGGAGGGGAGGAGACATGCGGTGGAGCTGACGGGGGATTATAGGACTGTGAGGGTTGATGAGTGGGGGAATCGGATTTGGTGAGTTGGTTGTCTACACTTGGGAGGAATGGGTGGGGGGCTACTGGTGTTGGTGTGAAGACTAAATAGAAGTAGGAGTAACGGAGAGGAGGGGAGAGACGGAGGGATGATGTGTAAAGACACCTGAACAAGCCGACTAGGTACCTATTAATTTTGACTGTGGACGTTCCAAAACTGAGGTAACCTGCCCGTACCCACGGTTTCTTTCACGTACTACCCAAATTCCCATAGATGTCCAGTGAATGTTTACCTAATCTAGGTTACTTAGTACTGCTTTTCATGATGAAATACCTTCATTGAATATATCCAATCCGGTCCACAGTCTTTCTTCAGCCTTCATCTTCTTCCTGGAACCTTTCGTTTAGTGTTTGAAGGTAGTCTACCAGAAAGACAGCGCTACCATGGAATGCAACTGCAACTGGAAGCAACCCATCTTTACGCACATCGCGAGTCCAGCCACTACCTAGCAGAAAGAAATCAAGCCACCAAGTACAAATAGCGACAGCCGCAGGGGTTAGTCGTATCTCTATACGTTCAAGGTATCCTCTCTATTTTCCGGCTTCTTCGATTTACCACATCAACAGCAGCAAGCACGAGACCACCCTAGAAGGTATAGACAAAACATCACTGGGCCCAGAACACGTCACCCGTCCTCATTCATGTTAAGGAAGACTAATCTACTACGGTAGGTACTTAACGAATCAGATCCTCCCTGTCTTCTCTCGATCTCGATTTCTGATTCATTCGGAGAGGTCATCTGTACATACTACCATGACTTCCTGCGGCAGAGGGTGGGATTTCGGCGTCTCCTAGAAACCTAGGAACTCTTCCCGTGTGGGAATTTCTGATGTCGTAAAGTAACGTAAAAACTAGAAAGAAGACAAGACCGAGAGTAGCTAGCGCGAGAAATTCGCAAGTGTTTGGAGCCTTTCGAGAAGTTCTGAGTTGTACGTGGGCGGAGGAAAATGCCCCCATTGATGAAGAGAGGACATACTAGTGTCTTCCAACTGGAAGTTGCGGTGCGGATGAATGCCCAGATAGGGCTTGTTGTATACCTCAACATATAGTATTTGGTCTACGTGGAGGAAGCATAGGATCAGTACAAACATTACCAGGATAATTAAGTATAGGTCTAGATGAGATCACTCGCTAACTTGGAATATCTCGTCCCAAGGAAATAGTTGCCTTTGGGGATGCGGGAGCGGGAGCGAGGGATATATTTACTCCTGGCTTCATGGCGGTTATCCGTGTCTATCATAGAGGACACAAATGATGATCTCCTGTAAAGGGGGGAAAAAAAAGAAGAAAGAAGAGGATATGGGATTGGTACACATGGTCAGGAGACCTGACTTGGTTGACACAATGATGCCATTGCGTCCTTGATGTAGTAATAATCGCAGGTCGTCCTGGAGCTTATGGGTTCGTAAGTGTTAATCACTCTCTCGCATGGCATGTTAACTAAGGGGTGACTTTCTGCGTGCGGGTGTTTGACCGATAGCGTACCAAGACCTGTTGTTTTGGAATATTGCATGCGTTGATGGGGTGGTTATCATCGGCATATTTAGCTATGCTGCTACCCCTTGTGAAGCTTTATGCTTAGCACGCTTAACTCTGACCGTAGACTCCTCTTCTTGAACGCTGTTCTCCCTTCTTCCTCTGACAATTCACCTCACGACCCCATCCTGTTGATCTGGACGAGTCAACATGGCCGACTTACATCAGACCCTATGACCCAGTAGCCTCCCGGTAAAACGTCAAACTCCTATTCGCTCCCGCCGCCACAAACATCTCGCCCTTGCCCATACCCGGGGCGAGCGTCTTCTCCGACTTTGGCAACCACCTCACACACCAGAGGGCGCTTTCCGTCTCGCTGTGCGTCGCGACACAGACACCCCTCGCCACATCCCACACCCTGACTTTGCCGTGTAGCGATCCGCTCAACAGGTATTCGCCCGTGTCGTTCCAATCGATTGATGTAATCCATGCGGGCCGAGTGCCCGTGGCAGATAAGTTGGCGACGTGCTCGCCGTGCTGCATGTCGTAGATGGCGATGATGCCTGCGTTGCCAGCGGCGGCGAGACGCTTGCAGCCTGGAGAGAAGGCGACGGCGCGGATTGGTTTTGCGAGGCCTGTTTTTGTCACTCGTTAGTCACTCTTCCTCCCTTTTAAGGCTCCCCATTTCCCCGAGGAAGAAAGGGTAGACTCACCAGAAAGCGAATAAACCATCCTCCCCGCATCATTATTAAACACATACACCCCGCCATTCTCATGTCCACTGGCCGTAAACTTGCCATCCCTACTCAAATCCACCGCCATCGCAAAGCTGCCCGTCCCTACACTGCCTTGTCCACCACCACCACCTGCACCCGCCCCCGTTTCGTAGGTTTGTATCTTCGCCTTCCTCAATACATCCCACACGTGAATCCGTCCGTCGCTCGTCGTAGCCGCTAGATATCCCTCGTCTGCACTCAGCGCAACGGCCCAGACATCGCCCTTTTCCTTCTTGTTGTCGGGGGTCGGGAGTGTCCAGTAGAGCGCCCACTGGTCGGTTTCGGGGTTGCGATGCCAGACTTTGGTGTCGCCGCCGAAACCGACAGAGACAAAGGTGTTGCCGGGACCGCCGCGGGCGGTGGTGATGTGGTGGCAGCCGAGGCGATGGGCGTTGGAGAGGGATTGCGTGAGAGGAAAGGTGGGCGAGGTGGTGGTGCTGTGGATGAGCAGGTGGGAGGAGCCGGAGGCGGAGATGAGGGCGTTGGGGGTGGGGGCTAGAGAGAAGATTTCGGCTGGGTGGGCTGGGGGAACAAGTGTCAGTTGCGATGCGATTTCGAGAGGTTGGTGGACGGAGAGGAGATGTTGATTGGGAAGTCATGGTGATGGAGGGGAGGGAGGCTTACCTTGGTCCACCGTGTGGAGGGTTAGGTATTGTTTCGACTACCGGTGGAGGTTAGTATTCAAGCGTGCTGACTGTAGACTTGTGAATTCTCACCATTGTCACCTGTCCATACACGAGGCAATCGTAAAGTGGATTGCGACAGGAAGTTGTTGTGGAAGGGAAGTTGTTTGGAGAAGGAAAGTGGTTCTGGTGTTGGAGACAAGCAACTGAATGGTGGGGCAGCGACTGCAGCTTTCAAGACGTCACATCCGCGGTGCTAGCTGGGGTACTCCAGAGCCTCCAGGTACGTACTTATCCGCTATAATGATGTGGAATCCACCTTGAAGATGGGTTGAGTCGAGGGCTTTTAGTCTTGTCTTTTTTATGGTCAAAAGAGCAAACGATGTGCGCTTCTACTTTTTTGGATTTACAATGAGCGTTGAGCCCAAAGTTATGTGGTATCATCGATATCCTGGGAACGCTACCGGTGCCCTTTTCAGTGATACCGGCGCGGACACTTTTGGTATATGTACAGAATAGTATACATTGTCTCGCTTCACACATGGACACCTAGATCGTACACAGATGTTGTGTGGTATGGGACGGATATAGCAACAGTCAAGTGCCATCTTTCCCCGGGCATTATCACATGCCCTGATCCCATCATCCTCCCTCTCCTCTCCAACTCAACATACGCCGCTTAGTAGGCCTTGGCGTTGCTGCCACCATTACGGTCCATGAAACCCTTGAGCTCTGTTGGGTCATCAGTCAGTCAGCATATCTCCCTAGCACCAAAAAAGACAAAGTATCCCAGCAGTTCCATCACATACTTCCCAGGCAGGTGGAGCACAAGTGGTGCATCCGCTTGAGGTTGCCGCAAGCCGGGCACCGGTTGAGATGTGTCACGTCCTTGAGCGCCTTGCCGGCCATCTGCCTGTGTCTCTTCTTCATGTGCGACGTCTTCTTCTTGGGCACGGCGCGCAGGATGCCCTCCCAGATGTCCTCGAGCAGCGACGGTATCGACGGGAGGAGCGAGATGGCGGCGGCGGGCACGGCGAAGTTGAGGGCGGGGACACCGAAGCGCTGTGTCCTGAGGGTTTGGAAGAAGGTCGAGGGGTTGAAGAGCCGCATGGCGGGGGCGGCAGCAGCAGTCATGGCGGCCATTTTGAAGATTGGGGTATCGGGTTGGTTGCTGGGTATTGTAGATGGAATCCGAGATGGGAGGTTTCGGATATGCGCAGAGTAATTAAGTTGTCGCGCGAGATATTGCGGCTTTCGGTTCAGTCCCTCCCTTGTTAAAATCCCAAACCCTGCTGTGTGGCCGTCAAGGTGCTGTGTCCGGGTGGTCGGATCGCGAATCGGGAATCGGTGGACGGAGAGCGGAGTGTGATTCTCGGACCAAAAGGTGCTTCTTCCTCTGGGCTGCCGGGGCCGAAAGTCGAGAACTGCCCGGCACCGCGCGCGGGACGGCAATCGTTGGTTGGAGATCCACCCATCTCGAAAAATTCGGGCATGGGTGACACGGACCATTCGCGGTCCCCCCCAGGTCTTCTGTTAGTGCAATTAGTGCAGCATTCACTGTCAAGTCAGTGCAGGTGCTGCAAAACCCGATTCGGGTGTTCCTGAAGCACTGACCCCACAGGGCCAATCAAACGAGCTGGGCGGCAAGGTGCGTGTCTGCCCCTTTCCCACACCTCCCGTCATTCAGTGATTCGCAGGTTCAATTTGGCAGTCGACCCCCAGTTAGGTTGTTAGGTTGCCTGGCCCCCTGGAAGGGAAATTGTTGTTTGGCAACGTGCAGCAGCAGGAGGCCAGCAGCAGCACTGCAGTGACAACAGCAGTTCTGTAGTGTAGACGTAGAATACGGGGACAGGGAAAGCACCATCACGTTAGGTTGTCTTGGTTGGTGCCGTCGGGTGTCCAGTTCCATCTCCCATCCCATTGATTGAACGAAGCATTGCTTGTCCCCTAATTGCACTTTTGTTTCATTTCACGACCACACACACCACTTCTCTTCTTCCCCGTTGTCCATCCCCGTCTCCAGTCCAACCCACGCCCTTCCTTCGACCGCCCGACAACAGCCATCTTCATCTCCATTCGCTTCTCTTTCATTAATCCGCCAATTCTCTTCCCGCCATCACCTGCTTTTTGGAATAAGTAGCCCCCAACAAGTTCGCAATCATGTCGACCATGGGCCCTGCCACCGTCCACCCCGAGACCCACGTCGGTTTCGACAGCATCACCTCCCAGATTGAGCGCAAGCTGCTCAAGCGCGGCTTCCAGTTCAATGTCATCTGCGTTGGTACGTCTACCACTCCAATCTCTGCCATCAACCTATGCCCAACTAACACCCCTTTCACCCAGGCCAAACCGGCCTCGGCAAGTCGACCCTCATCAACACCATCTTCGCTTCCCACCTCATCGACTCCAAGGGCCGCCTCCAGCCCGACGAGACCGTCCGCTCCACCACCGAGATCCAGTCTGTTTCCCACATCATCGAGGAGAATGGCGTCCGTCTCCGCCTCAACATTGTCGACACCCCCGGCTACGGCGACATGATCAACAACGACCGCTGCTGGGATCCCATTGTCAAGTACATCAAGGACCAGCACTCTGCCTACCTCCGCAAGGAGCTCACTGCCCAGCGTGAGCGCTACATCCAGGACACCCGCATCCACTGCTGCCTCTTCTTCATCCAGCCTTCGGGCCACTCGCTCAAGCCCATCGACATTGTCGTCCTCAAGAAGCTGTCGGATGTCGTCAACGTGGTGCCCGTGATTGCCAAGTCGGACTCCCTTACGCTGGAAGAACGCCAGGCCTTCAAGGAGCGCATCAAGGAGGAGTTTGCCTTCCACAACCTCAAGATGTACCCCTACGACAACGACGAGCTTGACGAGGAGGAGCGCTCCCTGAACCAGCAAATCAAGGTGGGTTTGTGTCTCTTTATTAGGATAAGTTGACAATAGCTAACGTGACACAGAGCCTCATTCCCTTTGCCGTCGTCGGTTCCGAAAAGAGCATCGTGGTTAACGGCAAGCAGGTCCGTGGCCGCCAGAACCGCTGGGGCGTGATCAACGTGGAGGACGAGAACCACTGCGAATTCATCTACCTCCGAAACTTCCTCCTCCGCACCCACCTCCAGGACCTCATCGAGACCACATCCCAGATCCACTACGAAACCTTCCGTGCCAAGCAGCTATTGGCCCTCAAGGAAAGCAGTGCGCAGGGACACAGCAGCAGGCCAATCAGCCCGGCTGCGGATCGCGAGATGAGCCGCAACTCTCAACGCATGACCATGAACGGCTACTAGGAGAAGCCCAACAACAATCAATGAGGACAGCAAACTTGACGGAGAGTCGGCACGCAACACACTGCAATCCCCCGATATAGACGAACGACGACCGATACGCCCTCGGGGATATGGGGGGCAGAACGAAAAAGGCTTTGTTTGGGTCGGGAAACAAGCGACGGCGCAAACGGGATGCAATGCGTTTATTCACTACTGCCACGTCTTGTTGGTGATGGTTATTTCGGTGGAGCGGACTTCTTAACCCCCTAATTTCATTTTTAGTACCGGAAGCTCCTTTGCATATCTGCAGCTTTTGGGCCGACTTTCCACTTTAATGAGGCCTTGTCAGAGAGTATGCACTTGAGGGCCAGATTCAATATTTTTACGGAATACATACAGATGTGCCGAGAAAGGCGGATGGGAGCTTTCCAGGGGAGGTCCGAGGCAGAGCAGTTTAGAGACGAGGTTCTTGGGCCAGCTTAATTGTAGCCATGTTGTTTTATACAGATGTTCAATACCCGGCTTATTACGTACTTGCCGCTTTGGTTTCTTGACTTTGATGATGATGATGATGATGATGAATATGTCTGGCCAGTATGACCTGCTCTGTCTCAAAGAAAAGCCTGGAAGCTCAAGCTGATAATGAACCCAAGTCCCGGGATGCCCTAGACTGACGTTAACTCCGGGGGCTGTTTACAGTAAACTGTTCGCCCCACCAATCCACGCGTGCCGTTCTCAGAGACACGTCCCACTCGGGTGGATTTCCCATTTGTGTCTTTCCCGCATTCCCACAATTTCCATCTCGTCTTTCTTCTTTCTTTCTCATTCGCATGTCCATCTCATCCTGGAACCCGATCTTGGTCAAGAGATTTAGTATAAACATTGGAATCGCCAAATCCACTCCATCATCAATCAATCAATAACTCGACCTTGATGTAAACAATCATGCGCTTCTTCATCATCGTTACCGACCAGACGGAAGTTTCTCAGTCGCATACACATCGCCACCATCCATAGTACCAGCCATAGCCATAACCGTTTACCTACTTTTGCAACAACATCATCATCCACCACCATCCGGAGCCAACCGTGATAATGACTACGAATAGAATGGCCCCAAAGGACCCAGACATCGATATGATGGATATAGACCACAACGACGACGACGATGATGATGATGACTTTGATGCCGACGAACTAGATGCTTATTTCCAGGCGCATGGGCTGGATGAAGTACACGAACCGTTTCGGTGGGGGTCACCTGAACGAGAAGGGGGACAGCAGCAGCAGGAGCAGCAGCAGCAGCAGCAGCAGGGGCAGCAGCAGCAAGTACCACCACCACCACCACCATCGGGACAACCACAGCGGGAATTTGAGTCCTACATGGGAGGGAAGGATTCCAGGTGGGAAGGGGAGGGGAAGGGGAAGGGGAAAGGGAAAGGGAAGGCTGTTGAAATTGGATTGGATGTTGGAATAGATGGCGAACTGGATGCGCATTTCCAGGCGCAGGGGCAGGGACTTCAGGGAATGGATATGGAGTTGGGGTTGGCGGAGGATCAGGATCAGGATCAAGATCAGGATTATGAGAGGCCGCCTCCTTCTTATCAGCCTCCGGTGCAACCGCGAGTACAACAGCAGACTGCTTACAGCCTAGGACCAAATGCCAAGTGGAAAGGAAAGGAGAAAGAGAAAGATTATGGACGAGGGGACGTGCTTGGACTAGATGCACATGGTCCTACGGTACTCGGGAATTCTGCAGGACTAGAGACTCGGAATGTACCGGGGTTCAGGAAGGGGGATGTACTCGGAAATGCAACCGGATTCGGAAAAGGAGACGTCCTAGGCCGAGACGCTGGATTTACGAGCGATGTGCTCGCAAAAGACAGTAGGCTAGCCAAAGTTCGCGCATGGCTGGACCAAGCCGCAGGTCAACCATCATCCAAAGTCCTCAGCAAGGGTAACGCCGCCGCCGCCACCGCCGTTACCACCAACCAACAACAAACTAAAGAGGACGGCCAGACGAAAGCAGAAGGCCAAGAACAAGGCCAGGAACAAGGAAAGGGAGAAACTACCCCTCCTATTGATGACCCCGACGACTCGGAAGCCTCCATCGCTGCTCGTCCCATCGTTTCGCATGATCCTGACCACCCTGATCGCCCGATTGATTTGGACGTCAAGCTTGCGAGGGGGGTTATTCGGCATGTGATTTTGAGCGAAAAGTTTCCTGAGGTTTGGCCTGCCCCGGGGACGGTGGTGGAGGGGGAAGCACAAGAGATGGTTGGGGGAAAGGGAGAGGAGAGACAGGAGGGGCAAGAGAAGGACCAAGAGAAGAAGGAGGAGAAGGGGGTGGAAGGGGCGGAACTAAAGGGGTTGGAGAAAGAGACGGATCAAGAGGCAGATGACTCCAATGGGCAGACGGACAAGAAGGAAGTTGTTATTCCAAAAGGGGTGGTGATGCTCGTAAAGGGTATCCAATACCTCAAAATGCCTCCTGATTATTTGGACGGGTCGCAACTTGGATCAGAGTACGAATACGAGGATGATTCACAGCTTGGAAGCACTCCCGCCTCTGAACTCGGGAATAGACAGCCTCGTGAACATGGCAATGATAGCCAAAAGTTCTACAACGAAGCAAACGTCGACGATTCCGATCACACCGACTACTCCAGCGAGCACGAAAGACGGCACTCCTCCTCTGGTCAACACAGCTTTGCAAAACCCTCCAAAGAACTCGACGACCATGACCTAGAAATCCCCGAAACCGACCTCTCATCAGCCAGCAACCACCCCTCCACCATCGCCAACTCCGACTCCGACTCCGACATCCCCATGTCCAACACCGACTACCCCCTCCCCCCACCATCCAGCCAAGTCCCACCACAAAGCCAATCCTCCATAGTGTCCCGCAAACGCACCTGGTCCCAACGGCATGACCCCTCATCTCCCTCTTCTTCCCCTTCCGCCCCTTCACCCCCTTCACCCCCTGCCTACCCAACCATCTTCGACAACCGCACCCCACCCCCGCGACCACCAAGTTCCAATTCCGTCCCCTCCCAACCACCCATGGGTCCTCCAGACCTAGTCATCCGTCTCCTGCTATACGACGGCGAGTTCTGGGTGCAAGCCATTCTGAGACCCGAGTTCCATTACTTAGTGCTAGGACACGATTTCGACGAGTGGGCTTCTGTTACGTACCCGGAAGTTGAACAACAACAAGCAGATCAAGCAAAGGGAGACCAAAAAAAAGGGAGGAGGAAAAAAGAACGGAGAAGGAAAAGAAAAGACAGCGGAGGAAATAGCCAAGGAAGAAGAAGAAGAAAAGGAGCAGAAGATGCAGGAAAAATGGCAGATGAAGTGGCAGGAAAAGGCAAGGGGGGATGTGATGGAGGGGGTGTATGTGAGGTTGGTAGCGGGGGATGTGGTGGTGGAGTTTGAGGAGGTTGATGTTGAGGAGAAGCCGATGCCTCAGCTGCAGCCGATGCCTCAGCAGATACTTGAGCAGATGCTTCAGCAGATGAAGGATGGTGATGCTGTGAGTAGGGGTCAGGAAAAGGGGAAGGGTATCCAGGGAGTGAATGGGAAGCAGCAGGTTGGGGGTATACACGACGATGGGATTGGTGATCCCGAAAAGTTGGACAAATTGAGGAGGGAGATTCTGGAGCGGAAGTGGCTGGAAAAGTGGAAAGAAGTTGAGGAAAGAGAAAAGGCCAGGGTAGCAAAAGAACAAGAAGTCGACAAACCGAAGGAGGATGGAAAACCAAAGACAACCAAAATGGTCTGTCTAGTGGTAGGCCACATGGTTCCGGTCGGGTTGGACAGGAAGTTCATGAGGGAGGTAAAGAAAGCACAACTCAAGGCTATGGCAGAAGAGTTAGGTCCCGTCTTGCAAGTGTCATCGACAGCAAGCGATAAGATGGATTTGGATAAGAAAGACGATAAGTCGAAAACACAGCCTTGGTGGGTGCCAACTGGATACGTGGCGGAATTGGACGCGAGGGATGCGAAGAGGAGGAAAGAAGAAGCAGCTCGGGCAAAGGAGAGGAGGAAGGTAGAGGAAGCCAAGGAAGCAGAGGAGCGAAAGGAGCGGACTCGCCTCATAGAAAGATTCGAAAAATTGACAGGGGCTCAGATGGCGAAGCCGGTTGAAAAGGCAAAGCCGCCTGAGAAGGCAAAGCCGCCCAAGATCAAACAACCAGATCCCAGAATAGTTCTTCCGGAAGAGTGGAAAGATCTGGACATGGCTACGGTTGACGGACTCATCAAGGAATGGGAAAAGCAGAACAAGCCAAAGCCGCCAACGCCGCCAAAGCCACCGAAACCGGAGAAGAAGCCTATCGTTACCGCCAGACAAGCACCGCCATTTCATCCGTCCTTCACCGCGCAGGAAATCTTTCTGGTGCAGAATCCACAACGAAAGCCCGTCATAAAGGCACCGGAACCTGTTTATGTGGCATCGGAACTTAGGTCATTTCAGGTTGCTCAAGATACTCGTCCAGCGGCTATTGTGAACAATCAGCAGATGCAGAGGAAGAGGATCTTGGAGCTTCCACCTAGGGGTCAACGGCGGCCGCAGCAGCAGGGATCGGGGCCTGGGCTTCCGCCTCATCTCCAGCCTAATCCCTTGTTACAGCCGCCTCGGCCGCAAGCACAGATACAACCTCGACCGCAGCCTCAGCCTCAACTACGTCCTCAACCTCAGCTTCAACCTCAGTCTCAACTACGCCCTCAACCTCAGCTTCAACCTCAACCACCAACTCGACTTCAACCACGACCATTCTTCCAGCCGCAAGCCCAAGCTCGACCACAGTTCTTACAGCAGCAACCACGACCACAAGCCCAACCTCAACCTCCACACCGTCTTCAACCTCAACACCAACCCCGTCTTCAACCTCAACCTCAACCTCCTCCCCACCCCCCTCCCAAACCCAACCCCCACCTAGCCACCGACCCCACCACCCCCCTCAAACTCTGCCCCCTCCACCAAATCCCACACCTCCCCTACCCTCAAAACTGGATGGTCAACGTCCTAGCCATCATCGTCTCCATATCCGACGTCCAGCCCTCCCCAATGCCACCAACCTTCAACCAAAGAATCGTCCGTCTCGCTGATCAATCTACACCCAAACATATCTTGCTGAATGTTTTCTTGGATGCAGAGGATTTCAATCCTAAACCCGGGGAGGTGGTACTGTTGATGGGAGTGAAGAATCATAAGTATGAGGGCGGGTGTTTGAAGAAGTATTGGAGTGATCGGCCGCCTGAGGGGTGTTTGTGGAAGTGGTGGGTTGGGGAGGAGGAGTTAAGGGGGGTGGGGTGGTGTAGGGGGGTGGTGGAGGGGTTGAGGGGGTGGTGGAGGGAGAGAGGAGGTGGTGGTGGTGGTGGTTGAATAAGGGGAATAAGGGAAGTGATGATTATGACGGGGTGTTGGTGGGTGAGAATTGGAAAGGGAGAGACGAGGAAGGATGGTTAATTGGAAGATGGAAAGCTTTGGAAAGTACCTCTAAAGGGTTCTGTTCCTTGTCGTAGAGGTACACATGAGCTAGTGGCTGCTTCCTTTGGTAGTCGTATACTACACTACGTTGAAGCTGGGCCTTTCCTGATGTGTTCTTGAAGCCGAATGAAAGCGGGATATGGAAGGAGAGGGCTGGGAAGAGTGCTAGGTTGTGGAGGAGAGAAGGAAAGAGCGACTGCCTAATGTTGCGGCTGTGTCTCTGTCATTGGATAACAGAAAAACTCCTTCGACGTTTGGAGGATGTGTCTAGTTCATGATGTCCATCCCCTTCAAATTCCTTGCAGGTCCTGAGGCGTCTGTGAAGGAAGGGCCGACCAAGACTCAGCTGTCTCGCGTTCACTGTCTGGATGAGCGAAATCATATCATCATTAATGGTCAAACACAAAACACAGTTTCCTCGACACAGCATCTCATTAAGGCCATTCAATATCGACAGCCAAACTCTTTTAGCACCATATCTACGTTATTTTGGGTCTTTCTAGCCCTTATATCCTCATTCTTCCCCATCCCGGCAGTTACAGACATTTCAACATCATCACCGCAGGCTCGCCATCCTCAGCTGTACGGACAGCAATGTCTACACCTCACAGCACGCGTCCTCTCCTCATACCCCAGATCACAAAAATTATCGTGAGCCATGTACAGAATCCAGCAGATCTCAAAAGCATTTCGCTTGTCTGCCGGTCTTTCAATGCTGCCGTGCGACCCCATCTCTTTCGGTGTCTGGTATTCCCCAGATTCGAAGTCTCAACGCCAGATTCTTCCAAGCCTCTTGCCTATCCGCTCAGCCCGGACTACACTCCCGACGGAAATACCGATATCGATTACAGTTTTACTGGCCTTGCGCGCTCTTTGACAATCCCCAGAGACATAGCAGCTGCGCACATAAAATCGGTTGGCAACTTGCCCAGGGCCCAGGAAATAGCACGGTATAAACGCGAATCTCTTCCAGTGTACCGAGCCATTAGGTGGTACCTGAAACGTACCCCTCTTCTAGACCATTTTGAGTCCATCGGTGTACCTCGACTGGTCCATCAATTTCTACTGTTGTGGGAATCCGTTCCCAAAATTCGATCGATCAAAATGGAGGCAAGGGGAAATGTCAGAGAGGAGCAGATTTTAGACACCGCAGGCGCAACCTTGGCTCAAGACCGGCCGGAATGTGAGTCTCATAATCCCAGTTCTCCAGATTCAATCCATGCATACTCCATCTTGATTCTGGAAACAAAAACTGACATCTGGTTGCCACAGTCCTGGAATCCCCAGATTGGTCTACTTTTGGAACCCGAACCTACAACATACCAGAGGCTCGTCTCACCTTCCCGCATCTTACTATTTTGGCCTTGCATGGGCTTCCGTTCGATGAGAATTCACGCCATTTCCTCAGTCTACCCACATCCTCATTCAGACTTCGGGAACTAGTGTTGGTGCTCAAAGGTGCGCCCCATCTAAGCTGCCTCGAACTCAGTGCCCGTGTTGCTGGTACCGGAAGACCGCGAGGCGCAATAATACAAGAGCTCTGTCGCAACTATCTTCACGCTGGAGGAAGGGCTCTTCAAAAGCTGCGCTATATCAAGCTTGGAAAAGGATTCGAGTTGTATTTTCCAAGGAACCCTGGATACAACTATAATCACCCGGCTGGCTTCTTGGGTAATCTATTGGACTTCTCCAGGCTCGAAGAGCTGCACTTGTTCTATGACGACTATGTAGACGGTCCATATCTTATAGAGGCACATCACCCCAAAGACTTCACTGGTATCAATCTTGCTTTCAACACGCATTTGGCGAGAAAGTTGATCCACGCCCTCCATCTTCCCAGCTTAAGAAAATTGACGTTGCCCTGGGCGGACGGCTATGCCTGGGAAATGATATACTACGATTCCAAGTTCACCCTGAGACAAAACCTGGTGATCAACTTTGTGGATGAATTCCATCTTCAAGACCAGCATCGACCACGCGGCGGCTTGCATCCCTATTCATATCTATGGCGTGTCCACACGCTACTCCGCCCATTCCCCTTGTCGGGCTTAGTCCTGCCCACCAACGGCATGTCCCTCCCAGAGCAGAACTTATCCCATCTTGTGTCCCTGACCACACTAAAGTCTCTCAAAACGATACTTCCTCCGTTGTGTGACTTTGGCTTTTTCTGTGCTACTCATGATACGACGCATGTCGAATGCAATCCCGGAGAATTATCGTCGACGAACATCAGCACGATTACGTGGCAGTTGAGACGTATTCGGAACCTCCGCGAACTTTGGCTGGCGGGAGATAGTCGTCACAAGTCATACAAGTGCATTGTTGAGCATATTCGATCTCATCATAGCTTGCGAATCGAGCATTTGGCCATGGCGTTTATCCAGCGATTTCGGAAGCTGGAGTATATCAGGATTCTGGACCGGGCGTGGCGGATTGCGAGGAGAGATGATGCTGATGATAAGGATAACGAGAAGGAGGAGAAGGAGAAGGAGGAGAAGGAGAAGGAGGGATATTGTAGTGATGATGATATGGGAGGAGAGGAAAGAACGGAGGCGGTGGCAAGGGAACTGAGTCCCTGGGAGGTGGAGAATGATGTACCGGATGCGTTCGATTACCGCACGCCGAGTCTGTTTAGGGGGAGGTAGTGCTGAGGTGTCATCTTCCTCTTGTGATGTTGGTTTTCTAGGATAGCAGTTTTGTGGTATTCGGGCTGCCCAGGTCAGGTGCTACAAGAGAAGAGCGTGGGAGGACGGAGAATGGAGATGATAAGAAGATAGGAACTTGGTTAAAGGACTTTTTCTATAGAAGGGCATTCATACGGCACTTCATTATAAGAGAAGAATTGAGTTGGACATGTCGGGGGCCTAGTACTGTTTGTTGTGAGTCTTTGTTACACAACTTGAAAGATTTGAGCACACCCCTTTCCCCAAGGGGTCTGGTTTCAGTTTTTTTTTCTCTCTGACATCTCCATGTGAATAATTAGGTACCAACGAGTATCTCAAGTGATATTTACTGTCGAGTCCATCAACATGATCGTCTGGCTTCTCCCATGTGGTGAACTATGACGATGATCTGAACGAAAGCATACCTCGGTATCACGGCGTTCTATACCTACTAATGTACATGCACATGTATTCGAGAGTCTTCTCGCCTCTACATGGTATGTATGATACATACCAAAGAAGTAGGTAACAGTGGCCAATAATGTGCAATGATGACTCGGTACCTGCTTTTAGACTACTACCTGCCCAGGGTAGGTAGGTACCTCTAGGTAGAGGTGGGTAGATATCTATCAAGATGTGATGTGATGTGGTGGGATGGGATGCTGCAAGTACGAGCACGAGCCGAGAGAGAGAGGGAGGAGAAAAGTATGGCAACTTGGCTGGCGCGTGGTAACTTGGTCAAGAGGGTGTGAAAACTGGTTGTTGAAAGGTTTTGCAGTTGATTAAATGGGGGAGAAAGGTGATGGTATTGTCACCTCCATGGGGCCGAGCAATAACCTGGAAGCTGAATGGGCTTTTGAGTGTCAAGTATACCTCTAGGTAGTAGGTAGGTATTCGAGGACGATAGAATGGCACATTGTAGTGAGGAGGAGAAAGAAAAGCCAAGAGTGGTGTGGTGGAGGAGTATTCTTGTTTTCCTTGTTTCCATTGAAAAAAAATAACTGGGCGATATCTTTCTGCAGCTTTGCTCATGGCATGGCATGGTATGGAAGTCAAGGCAAGGTAACAAAGGCAACATATTAGAATCGATAGATAAGGTAGGCAGCGATTCAAATATGTGCCATCTACAACCTCACATCACCATCTACCAACCTACCTATGCTTTGCAATGTCACCGAAAAACAAGAAGGATAACAATCGACCGCCAAGTACCTATACCCCACGATGGCCAAATATTTCTCCACGATGGGAAAGCAGGAAACGGGTAACGAAGGAAGGTGAGTATTGTTCCCACCTTCCCCTTGCAGTAGGTCGAAGCCCCATGCCCATGCCCAAGAAGGCCAAGAACATGCAAGGCAACGCAACGCAACGCAAGGAGACGCGAGACATGATCTGCCAAGATCTTTCTTACACGATGCGATCTTACTGTAGTGTAATTCGTCATTCGAATATCTCCACCTATAAGCCTCCATGTATGTCTCCAAGTGTAAGCGCTTCGTTCCGCCCCAACTGCCGAGTGCCGAACCCCCGTTTATAGCCGACCAATGTCGCATTTCCCATTTTGTTTTCTTACCTGGGTAGTGTACATAGAGGTACTTTGCGTGTGGTGGTGACACAACTCCCAACTCCCACTCCCGACTCCGAACATACCCCCAACTCTTAACTCCGGCCGGCTGTACTTGTTTTCCGGTTTTGCACCCCGTCGTCTTTGCGGCTTAGTGCTACCTACTCACCAGAGTACCACCCCACCACCACCACCCCCCACATGTTGTGTTTTCTCGCAGAGACTCGGCATTAATCCAAGACGACGACGTTCGGATTCGGAAGGTCAGAAAATTCGTTGGGGACGGGAGAGGAGGGGAGGGGTTGAATGCGACGTCTTGGTATCGAGTTCCTTTGTGGCAACATCTTGATCAATCCATCCATTTTTTTTGTTTGGGAAGAGGGGAGTATGGCTGTACTTCTATTCTCTCCAGGCACTTGCGACCTACAGCGCTATAGTCATGAGTTATCGAAAGGGGATAATGACAAGTGTCATTGCGTTTGTGAGATCGCATGCGAGCTGGTGAAAGGCGGATGGGAAGTAGGGAGTGAGAAGTGAGGAGTGAAGATCGGGGATTGAGAATTGAGGACCTCAATGGCCAGTGGCGGATACGACAAGGTTATCGACCATCAACTATCGGGACGGCGCGCGGGACGCTACGACGTCGCGTGGGTAGGGAAGGAGGGGAA